TGGGCCTGGGATATTTGTGCGACATACATTAATTTTTCAATCAGTGTTCCAAAACTTCACCCCTTTTCTCAAAAAGGAAGAACCAAACACTTTTTATTGACCCACAAGATATTACGAAGTATTTTTCAGTATCTCCAGTGAACGATTTACTTTTTTGTAAAACCTGATGACAAAGTACTTCTTTCTGGCATTTTTTGGAACAAAATATTTATGGAACAGAATATCAATGGTCTGAACATGCTGTCCAGACTTGAAGAACTAAAGGCTTATAGACATGTTATTACATTTGAATATGTCTATTTTTTTATAATAAAAAAACATGTTCCCACAAAGGGGAACGGGGGCCTAGTCGTCTAAGGCGCCGCAATTTGCAATGCGGAGTTGCTTCCCTTTAGCCACGATCGTTGAAAACTCCAATTACCCAACATCCAACTGCGTCATTCAGTTAAATGTTTAACCTTTTGATCCTAGAATCAAGGGGTGACGACTGGCCATGGAATTTGTCTTGATTTCATTTTGAACTGGTCATGGGTGAACAGGTTAGGGATTTAATTGGTGTATGTTACAACATTATTATGGCGGCACTGCAGACCATGTGATACCTTTGTTGCCGATACTTAATGTCACTAAGAGTCCATTAAAGGATGCAAAACATAATACTGACAACCCATGTGTGATCTACCAAGGTCCAAACATGTTTCAGCATATTTATAGGGCAACTCCACTTCCCCGTTCAATTGACAGAACGTACTTGTAGTCACTCACTTGTTCACTTTCCTACTATGTCACTCTGATTTTTCAGGGGGCACGGGTGGCACAGTCGTCTAAAGACCCGCGATTCGCTGTGCAGAGTTGCGTCCCTTGGGCGCGCCTGAAACCTATGATTGTTGGTTCGAATCCCGGTTCACCCCGATTATGTTTCTAGGTTTTTACAGCACCATACCCGTGCTCGTGGGTTTCACCGAAGTGGTAAACGTCTGAGACCTGCATCACTTCGAGCTTTCCTCCCACATTGAAGTAAGAAGTCGCGATATAACTGTAATACTGTTAAAAGCGGCGTTAAACCCAACTCACTCACTCACGTTGGGGTTCAAGGCTTGTGACACAATGACTTACTGACCCCGCAATATACAGATAGTGTATTAACAACTTGAAGGTGATCGTTTGTTTCGCGTCCAATGTAATCTGTTTCGGTTAGTAATCGAGACTAGTTCTTCTCTGATGTTGACGTTTTATTGCTGAGATCAATCGCCATGTCAAAACCGTGTCATCAACAAATATAGACAATTCCTCAGATTTTGCTAAATCAATATGCACAAGTCGGGGCTTTTAAACTGATCTATCGGAAGGTTTCAATTGTTAACGTATGAATTACTGCTTTCACTGTCACTGAAAGGTTCACGATCACCTCAGTAGTAGATGCACAGAAACACGGATATAATCAATATCGCGAATTGTTTTATCATGTCTATGTTTATGGTGTTTCCAAGCCAACCGAAAAGGTGTTGTGGCGAGAGAGACAAAAGTTTGACTAGTAAACCTTTTATCGCAGTGGGATGCTTCCTGTTGTCAACGTATAAATGGTACCTAGGGACTTTATTCTGGACAAGAAAATAATATTTTCATATTCAAAGATTGTACGATTGTTTACTTACACTTAATTTGACTTACAACGAACTTGGTACAATATTAACATAAGCATGTACAACTTAACTAAGCTCGGTTAATGGTGACTAGGAAATTTGACAAATCAAGTAGGTTGCAGGTTCCTATCCCGCCGAAGATGTGTGTGTACATAACGTGTTGTTGCAGTATGACCAATAACATTTCTATCATTCAAGAAGCTGACAATTAAAGTGTGTATGAGTACTACGATATGTCCTTAACACACAGAGAGAGAAACACAAATCCACACACACATAGAAACACAAACACACACAAATACACACACAGAGAAACACAAACACACACACACAGAAACACAAACACACACACACACACACACACACACACACACACACACACACACACAGAAACACACACAGAAACACACACACACACACACACACACACACAGAAACACTCTCAAAACTGTGGGACAAGGAAGGTGTTTAGGTTTGTGTTTATGATCTAAACACATTTTTTAGAGTGTTGCTTTGATTTGCAGCTTCTAACAATCATCAGAAATAAAGTTACAATATATACTGCCACATAACACAGGTGTATTGAAAGACGATACCGATTGATAAGTGTAAGTGAGTTGGGCTTCAACGCCGCTTTGAACAGTATTCCAGTTATATAACTACGTGTCAGCTTAATGTGGAAGGAAAGCCAGATGTCTCAGACATTTACCGCTTGCACGGGTATGATGCTGACAAACCTAGAAACATAAACGGAGCGAACCGGGATTCGAACCTACCCTATTAGGTTTCTGGCGTGCCCTAGGGACGAAACTCTGCATAACAAATTGAGGTGTCTCAGACGACTGGGCCACCCGTGCCCCCTAAACAGCAGGAAGATTGATGAAACAAAGGTTAACACGTACAAGCAAAATGATCAGATCTTCCATTGGGAAATGTCTTCATGGTCGTAAACATGACAGATCACCTCTGTGACCTTAAACTTCACCTAGATCTTCTAAAATCGGGTGTCCATTGGAGGTTTGCCACCTTAATGGATAAAAACGGTATCACCACGTTACTTAACAAACATTCAGTGGTCTCATTTACCTTGGCGTCTAACCTGTCACGTTTCATTAACTAAATTTACAGATAATGGCATATAAACGTCCCTACCCACGGTGTGTTGTACTGTTAATGGCATTGTTAACCTTCACAATGGATTTGGTAATTACTTCATCATGTCTAGATAATGTACTGCTTCGCGTCCTCGAGTAACTCACAGAACAGTCCTACAAGCAAGCCATGGAGTTGTTCCCGACCACCCTCACGTTGCTGATGTTGCTGTCTCCATCAGTGAAGCCTGACATATATGGGGATGTTGGAGACCTTCACGCGTCTCTCCTACGACGCTACAACCCATGGATACTACCACTCCATAACCAATCTGGCCCCACGTATGTTAATGTCAGTTTCCAATTGATCAATATAGACACCTTGGATGTGGTGCAAGAAATTCTCACAACGAAGCTTTGGATGACATTCGTCTGGGTTGATGAAATGATTCAATGGAATCCCATGGAGAACTGGAATACTACATATTTGAGATTTGAGCGGAAGACGATATGGACGCCAAATATTGTAATCCAGGACTCCCATGACAATGTTCCGTACCTCGGCTCTGATGAACAGCCCGTTGTCATATCTAACCATGGGATGGCGCGGTTGGACGTTGAAGTGAAAGCACAGACAACTTGCAAGATGATAATTACTGCCTTCCCATTTGATCAGCATGAATGCAAACTTGTAATTGGCTCGGATAACTATTTGCTAAATGAGTTATTTATATCCCATTTCCACGCAAATGAATTTTCCATTCTTGAAAGTTCAGAGTGGGAAGTGGTACAAATAAAGGGGCAAAATGAAACTGAGCTGACTCGTTTCTTTAATATTCACTGGTTCAGCGTTTCTATCAGTCTGAAGAGACAGTCGCTGTATTACGTGGTGAATCTTGTCCTGCCCATCTTGATCATCTCTAGCCTCAACCCATTCGTGTTCCTCGTCAAGGCGGAATCAGGCGAGAAACTGTCCATGTCAGTCACCCTTTTCTTGTCCTTTACAGTTTTTGTTACACTAATTAGTGGTATGCTTCCGCAAACCTCCGCGAGCACCTCGCTTATCTCCCTTTACGTATGTGTCCAGCTCCATCTGAGTGGCCTATATGTCATCTGCTGTGTTATCAACCAACGTGTCAGCCATATGAAAGGACACAACTCGGTGACACACTTTATGGCGAAAATTGGAGGTACAGTTGGTACAAAAAGATTCCAACTCCTTACAAAAGAGGAAGCACAAGAAGTGAACGGTGTAGCTGACAGAGAAACTGGTACTTATTTGAAATGTCTAAGTGAGGAAATGGACAGAATTTGTTTCTTCATTTCCTCCCTCATCTTTGCCACCTTGACCAGTGCTTTGATCGGCTTCATTATAATTTTACGAATTCAAGGAGAAAACAGTAAGCATTGTCATACAACACTGGATTGCATCTTGAGGTAATAACGTATCCTTAAATCTGTTTGATCGCTATGTTGATGTTAAAAATTTGTTCATGCTTCATTTGATCTCCTTGAAAAATCATACGAATTCGGAATATCAAATATGACTTCACAATCGGTAGATACAATTGGTTCATACAATGATGAGCACATTATTTATAACATTGCTTATCCTTTTGAGTGAGTGTATGAGTGAGTCAGTGATTGAGTGATGGGTTAACGTTGCATTGAATGTTATTTCCTTTATATACTGAACCGCAAAAGAAACGTCACCCCACGTAACCTTGCATGAAAAGTTGTCATTTAAATATCTGGGTAATTTTTATCAAAGTTTCTAAAATTTAACATTACATTGTCCGGAAAAATGAAATTTGATGATAAAAAAACAAAGCAGATGACAATAAAACCGATTGCCCAAAAACATCACGGCAACGGCCATGGTAACCCGATGCACGTGAGTTCCGTGCAAATTGAAATGCACATGCGTTCCCCCATTTTTTGCCCTATAAAAATCCACCCAGCTCGGATAACATTCATTCGTTATTGAATTGCTACCATATGCCAAGATTGACAAGCAATTGTACGATTGCAAGCTGGACAAACCGCCTGACAAGTAGCAAATGCATTTCAAGTCAATGTAACGACCATATACATGCTCCAGCAACGGTACCAGACCACCAACACTACAGATGGCCGACCACGTAGCGGAAGACCAAGGGTCATTCTGACACCACGTCATCGCCGGGACCGTTCAGTGGGCAACACATCACCAGCATTGACGCCACCAGCAGTGGAAAAGAGTCCTTTTCTCAGACGAGAGACGTCAATGTATCTCAACAGCAGATGGCAGCGAGAGAGAGTGTGGCGAGGCCGTGGGGAACCTTATTCGGATGCTTGTGTTGTGATAGACTCGTGGAGTGGTCCGAGCATCATGGTGTGGGGTGGAATTGGTCTTGCACAGTGGGTCGGCTCTGTGGTCTTCCAGAACATCGGTCCAGGGAGAGGCAATGCTGCAGGTCGGTACACTGATCAAGTCTTGAGACCACACGCCATACCTCATTTGGCACGTAGCCGCAACCACGAGTTTCAGCATGATAACGCCCGTTCCCACACTGCGAGAGCAACAAGAGACTTCCTCCAGCAGAATGGCGTCGGAACCATGCAGTGGCCTGCCCTCAGTCCCGATTTAAATCCCATTGAGCATCTGTGGGACGAGATTCAAAGACGGCTGAATGACGTCAGACCAAGGCCAACAACAGCAGCTGAACTGCATCAGCGTTCCTCAGAGTGTGGGCCCAAGTGCCTATGGCCTTCATCAACCGCCTCATCCATTCCATATATCGACGTTGCACAGCAGTAATTAATGCACATGGCGGACAAACGAGATACTGACTTGTGATGCCATTTTCTCAGAGACTAGTGTTGTGTTTCACTTTAAGAACATTTGACACTTTAATTTTAACCTTGATGATCAGTTTTGCGAAGTTTCATATTTTTAATATGTCTCAAAGTATGTTGAGAGTGTTTGGACAAAAAAGGTCTCTCATACATCTATCCATGGCGACGTTTCTTTTGCGGTTCAGTGTATCATTTAGACGAATTATAGTTTTCATATTTGTCTAAACGTACAAGCTATCGTCAGCGACTAAAGGGATGGTTTGTAAATCCTGCTGGGGTGCCATGCAGATAGCAGAGGTATTGTAGGTCCTCACGGTCCCCAATGTGGTGGCCTAACTTTGGTTGCTGGCGATCTGTAGCCCATGTTTATATTGAGTTGTTAAATAATTGTTTATTCTTGTCAATGTTTATCCAGTTATTGTACTGTCCATAGACGGCGGGTTTATATTCAGCCTAATGCTATTTATAATGAAATGTATCATTTGTTCTCGTCACGATATGGCTGAAATATTGCCATTGTGACCTTACATTTTAACTCACTCACTCACTCACTATGTAAGGGACAAAACTTATGTGTGCTCAGCTCGTGGTCGTGATGTGTGTTCTGGGAGACTGGCTTCTTAATGATTGTTTGCATGTCTTTTGAACACGAACATAATTGTATTTTTCAATTATACATGACTGAAAAACATATACTGATCATTAGTAGGGTAAATCGAATTGTAAGTTATATCATTGTACTGAAGCTTGATGGAAATATCGTGTCAATAGTGAACATATGTCTATATATGATGTTTTTCGTAGACTCCCTATCAAGGTGTACGTAATAGAATGTAGCTCTGAATTCATGATGAATGTATGCACGTCGATGTTGCCATTAGCAATGTAACCACTGTGATAGTGACAGTGTACCTTTGCATGTCCTATACCCAATCATATCTATGATACATGTTATCAAAACCAAAATGCTTTGTTGATGATGAATCGGGTCGATTTCAACATAAAGGTTCAAATAGTATCTACATTTCACAACTTTAACAACGTTCGAACATGCTCTTTCCACTATGACTTTAACATCATACGACTCATGCTCAAAGGTTTTTTATCAGTGTTGCAACACTGTCATAGTAAGGCTTTTACAAAGTTTTATGGCAGATTTGTGGTGGATATTTTTCAAATTTGACGCATCTGACCCCAAAATGATGTCCGAAGCAATTCCCACTGTAATGATCGAGTCACAATCGAGTTACACGGGGCTGCCTATGTCATGTCTTTTTGTCTTACATTCAAAGGCATACATTCATTTCAAATTAAAGATATTATAGCATTTTAGAAATTAGCAAGCGTTTCTGACTGGGCATGTGTATTCGTGGAACTGTGCGTGATTGAATCAAACTGGAAGTGAAAGTAATTTAATTATTTCTTTATTTCAAGTTGTTTTGAACTTGACAAGGATCTGCTGTTGCTGTTAATCACTTTCATGCATACCCTTGTTTTGTGTTTGTTAATCCTTATTAGATGTGTATAGGTCTGTACTGTGCTGTCTTACTTCACGTTTGCTTCACTCACACCAAAAATGGGCTTCACACATTGTACCGAAACGTTTCATCTTAATAGAATAAAAAAGTTGTCATCCATAAGATATCTTGTCTCTACTGAAGGCTTATGTTACGTCTTAAAAGATATGATCATGAAAGATGAACTACAAGCATAAATACGAATTTGTTTTGTTTTATATGCCTGGGGTCCGAATCAGAACCCTCGCAACAACGCTATGTCACAGTAACACATTGATGTACAGGGGGTAGTGTGGACACACATCATGCACTGTCTGTGAATGCTTTGTTAATATTATTCTAAACTGACAACACAGTGAGCAGTGAGATCTTAAAGAAAACAATCTAATGTTAGCATTGCCGATAGCATCTAGCCTTGCATATTGAATATTAACCACAAAGGACGAAACGCTGCCTTCCAATAGTGGTCTGCTTTATTGACTGTATAACGGCATTTGTGGACACATGGTGTTGACGGCCCTGGATATCTTATAGAATGTAGCACGCAGTGTCATCTGTATCTTTGTTCACTTGGAACTCACGTGACTGTTAATTCAGAGGCGCGTCATATAATTCAGAGGAGCAAAGGAGTGACAAGAGCATGTATGCTGCTACCTGAAAGGACTATCAGAGAAAAGCCATCTGATTTAGGCACAATCAAGTTGGCAGATTTCCTTAAAGATGTACTTGCTAAATACCTTTTCTTTGTTGGTGTTACATTTACCATCAGTGACGTCCGATATCTATGACGATGTTCTAGATCTGCATACTTCTCTTCTGAAGAAATCTAACCCATGGATCTTGCCTCTCCGCAATCAGTTTGACACTATGGGTGTTTCAGTAGAATTTGATCTGATACAATTACTATCCCTTGACGTGATACAAGGGCTTATCAAGACACACTTATTTCTGAAATTTCAATGGACAGATGAAATTATTCAATGGAATGCCTCAGGAAATCCAACATCTTTAAGATTTGAGAGATCGAAGATATGGACCCCAGATATTGTCATCCAGGATTCTCTTGAGAATGTTCCGTATCTCGGATTCGATGTTCAGCCTGTCATATTAACAACTCAAGGCATGGCACATATTGAGGTGCAAGTGAAACCACAGACGGCATGCGCCATGGATGTAACACGTTTCCCGTTTGATCAACACACATGCGTGGTGGTTCTTTCCTCTGATAACTATCAAGTGGATGAACTGTATATGTATCAGTTTGTTGCCCGTGGTAATGTCTTGGCTGAAAATGGAGAATGGAATGTGGCTGGGGTTGTTGCTCGGAATGAAACGGAACTGACTCAGATCTACAAAGCACATTATAAAAGCGTTGCTATTACTGTGAGGAGGCGACCTCTCTACTACGTGGTGAATCTTCTACTGCCTATGCTGCTCATCTCCACACTCAACCCCCTCGTGTTCCTGGTCAAGGCGGAAACAGGAGAGAAGCTATCCACCTCGCTCACCCTGTTCCTCTCCTTCACAATGTTTATATCACTTCTTAGCGGTATGCTACCCCAGACCTCCACCAGCACATCGCTTGTCTCCCTTTATGTGTGTGCCCAGCTCCATCTCAGTGGCTTCTATGTGATCTTCTGCATTGTCATCATTCGTGTCAGTCACATGAAGGATTTTAACACAGTGACGAGATTCCTTGCCAAATGTACCAGCAGAGCAAACAGGGTCCGACAGGAGACCATGAGAGAAGCAAAAGAACACGAAGATTACCTAAGTGAGATTGATGGTACTTACTTCCATGACGTCAGTGATATAATAGACAGAGTTTGTTTCTTTGTCTCCATCACTATCCATCTCATCTTGACAGGTGCGCTGATCTACTACGTTGTCCTGTGAAGGCTTTGGTATCTACATTTTACGATTTTTGAGGTACAATCAAAAATGATCCTTCTACGAAGATTTTCAAAGAGGGTCATGCAAACCCTTGCTCAAACTTTGTTTTATCAGTGGTATAACAAACACGGTCTTAGTAAAGCTTTCGAAAGTGAAGAACATTACCAAATATGACGCATCAGTGACAAGAAATATGTCTGATACAATTGCCTATTCTGACTTGTTCCATATATTCACCTGTGTTTGTAATGTGAATAATTGGCTTGCCTTTGCACGTGTTTGTGACTCGTGCCGCCGGTGGGACATTCACCTTTTCGCGAACACCTGATATCATAACTGTTTGATAGTAATTCATTAATACATGAATATGATATAATTAGAATCTTACCATGGACTCTACTTAGATTTGTTAAGAGAATGGAAAGGATTGTGTCGAGGGTTTTGGAATTCAAAAGATTACGATAGAACACATTTATTAGAAGAGATGAGAACATTTTTAACATGGCGATGGGTTAGGTTAATCGAGGGTATAATTAATTGGAATGCTACAGAGATAATGGATTCTTGAACTTTGTCATTAAAGATAAAGCATTCTTATGATTATGGAAATGCTTGTGACATTTTGATTAATAATATTCAATGGTGCCATATTGTAAAACGTAACATCATTAAACTTAACTCACTCACTCACTCACTCGACTCGATGTTCGGTGACAAGCCAAGGGATATATTGATCTGCATAGAAACACAAGGACATCGTGACCTATAACCGTTACACTCATTTCATTATATTTCTCTTAAACGGCAGGGACACAACGGAGGCGGTGCCAGATATATCAATACAAAAGCTGGGCTATCAAAGTCATATATATCAGTCATAAGATTGTGTTCCACGGATGCACATTTTTAGCACTGCGAAATTAACAGATGAAAATCATCGGTTGAGGTGTGACACATTAAGTGAAATTATAGCTTCCTCTGCACTAGTCAAATTACTGTTAAGCACATTTTTCTTGAGTGTGTTGATTTTAAACATATCATTCAACGCTTTTATAAAAATATTCATACTTTTTCTGAACGTTTCAAGCCGACAAAAAATAAATCTTAATCAAAACAGATTTTTGCCTTTGAATGTAATATTGACTAAGATTTAAGTGATTTTCAACTTCATTTTATTGCTTTTATTTTACATATGGTGAGACTGTAAACAGTTTTCGCTGGGACTAGCTGTAAGATTGTTGATTCGGCGAAAGAATCCCTCACTAACTCACTCAGGTAAAATTATAAGTCATTCTTGCAACTTTTTTTAAGGGCAAATAAAATCTGTGATAATCTGTGATATTTAGTCTGAATGTATACATTATTAATGCATTACTTGTTCTCGTCACGATATGGTTCGAACATCGCCCATGTTAAGTTAACTTTTGACTCACTCACTCACTATTTAAGGGGCGAAATTGATCAACACACACATTCTCAGCTCTTGGTGTGTGTTCTGAGCGACTGCTTCCTAAGTGCGGGGTACTTTGGGATGTCTATTGAACACGAACATAAGTGCTTTTTAAACATTTCGAAAAACATGTACTTATAGCTATTGTTTGATTGTTTATCATTATTATAATGAAGTAATGATTTAATTTTTCTATGTGTGTACATCGGTCATATGATACAAGTGTGTTTTAGTTTATTTCTTCAAGTTCGCATCGCTTGCTATAAATATGTTGTGTCATCACTATTTCGTTAGTAACGTAGAAATCGTGATAAAATATACAGAAATTACCAATTGCTAAATTTTAACCATAGAGACTTGCAAATGTATTGACAACTTGGGGTTAAGATAATTCAAAATGACGTTTTACATTGCTAAGCTTTTAAAACCTTTCTAGAATACCTGTTCTGCCATATCCTGTGTTGGATTCGATATCGTCAGTGCTAAAAGAAAATCGGGGTGACAAACACAAAGAAACTTGATAAATCCAAACATGACTAATTCTTTGGTTCAGAGTGTCCCTGAAGATTGACACCATTGTCTAAACATGACTCATTAAAACGACACTACGAGTTCAGATGAAATTGTTCCATTGTATGAAACCTACCATTGTTACATTCTTCGGAAGAAACATTAACAAGAACAGTAGCACAATGTTCAATGGTTTTATAATTATGTGTCATAAAATAAATTTTGTCGTCGCCCTACATTCGTCATAGTATTGATTTTAGTCTCATGACATCGGGGATGGATTGACAAAATGTCGGCATATAGCTAAGACGTATCTGTGAGGTGCTGCATTCCAAAGTCGTTTGAGAGGAAGGGCGTTAGCTGATTGTTTGAATTCCAGGTCCACAAAAGCACTCTGTTGGTCAGTTGGTCAAGCAATACAGTCTGTCTCATGTTAGTCATGTGGATTTTACAGTTAATTATTAGAATATGTTAATATATAGTCAGTATTCTGGGTTGGTCGTATCCTTCTTCGGGACAATATATCAAACATGAATACAAACGTCATCTGAAGTTAACTGAGAAAACAATATTTGAAATCCTGGTCATTCCCATTGTTAACATATACCGTATTCGACGTAATAAGAGCCCCGCTCTAATAAGCGCCCACGGCAATATTTGCTGATATATTGGCTAGTAAACAATCCTAATTAGCACCCCTTCCGATTGATCAATGTACACAAGACTTTTTTATTCGCGCATATGCACACTCGTGTGTTATATGCACCTTTAATTATGGGCAATTAAATTCTGGAAAAAATATATCTGTCGTACATAAACATTTCAGGCTGTCACCATAAACCACGAAATTTATCTTTCAACTCTTTTTTTTTCCACCAAAATAGTATTCTAATAAGAGCCCCCTATTTCTAATTTTGAGGGCGCTTATTACGTCGAATACGGTATGTGAAATTTGGGGGCAATACGTTTAGGCAAAAAATAGGCATTACCATTGGCACCAATTGTTCTCCCCTTCTTGCAGATCTGTTTCTTTATGTATATGAATCGGAATATCTGCTCGGATTGGCAAAATTAGAAATTAGAGGGATTTTTGTCATGAAGTTTAAATTCAGCTCATACATATATCGATTACATGATATCGTTCAAACACGGTCACATAGCCAAGTCCCTTCCACTGATTTACCAGCCTGAAATAAAAATGAAAGAGACCTGTCAAACCGTCTCATCTGTTTCCTTTTTAGATCAATGCATAAAGAATCAAATGAGACAAAAGAGACACATACCTCACCACATGACTGTATGACAAGAGTGATTACTTCAACTTTCCAAAAGTCAACTATCTGTTTGTAATATTCCAGCAGATCCAGGATTTGGTGCTAACATCTCAAAACGTTTGAGGTATAGTCAAGCATGGTCCTTCTGCGAAGATTTCAGAGAACGTCATACGACGCTTGCTCAAAAGTTGTTGGTTCAGGATCCACCATGCAAGGCCTTCGTATAAGTCCCCATGATTCCCAGTGAGGTGGTCTAGCTTTGGTTGCTTGTGGTCTATAGCCTGGTTTTAATTCATATGAACTAATCTCCTGCAAATTCTTTGTTTTATTATTGCTAAGGTTTGTTTTATATCTAAACTGTGATATTTACCTTACTGTTTTACTGTCCTTAGACGACAGGTCTTTAATTATAGTACTTACCTTGTTCTCATCGCGATATGGCTGCAATACTGCCGATGCGATGTAAAACTTTAACTCACTCACTCACTCACTCAAGGCCTTCGTAAAGCCACCGAAATAGTTTATGGTAGACATGTGGAGGACATTTCCAAATTTGACGCATACGTGACCGAAATGATGTCCGATGCAATTCCGGACGTTTGAGGCACAATCGAGTTACATGGGGATGTCTACTTCACGTCTAAAATTTAAAGTCTTACATTCATAGCCATACATTCATTGTACATTTAAGATATGGTATCATCAGAAATTACCTGGAGGGTCTGACTAGGCATGTGTATTCTTTGAACTGTGCCTATTTTAATAGAACTCGAAGTGAAAGTGATTTAAGTATTTTTTGTATTGAACTAGACAAGGGTTGCAAAACTCTGCGTAATGTAAGTGTTGCAGTCTCACCAGTTTGAGCTTAGTTCTAAGATAAGTATTGTCATATAGTTATTTATCATCCAAAACTGGCTCCCACAGGAGATATCGCTTGGGTGAGATCAAGCGATATCTATACTGTAGATATCGCTGCATTGAAATCGCATCACAAGGCTTTGCAGACCATTGTGACGTCATTGGTTACCATGACGTCACAATCAAATGACATCACTAATGGCACTGCTACTGAAGCTGTTAGCAGTAGTTTTTACACTTAAGACACTGCTTATTACTTTCTACAAACTGAAAAAGTTGGAAGAATGATGTTGGATGATAAATAAAATCTCACCCTCGTGTCTTTTGATATCAAATATATCAACACTCGTTGATAAAAGTGGAAAAAAATCCTCGGCAAGCCTCGGAGTTTTCCCACCTTTGTCAACTCGTGTTGATATATTTGATATCAAAAGACACTCGGGGGAGATTCTCTATATGTTACTTGTTTTTGAACACTCAGGCTGTAATACAAGCACACTTGTAGATATTAATCATGCCAGCATCTATGTTGTAGAACCGTTTAAATCATTGTATGGCTTGTTGTGTTCAAGCAAAGGTTCATCTCTGGTTGCTATTTGCAACAAATATAAAGGACATTTTGATTATAATAAAGTCGTTTGAGTATCATATGTAGGACGATCAAAATTACCTTTTTTGTTGCAATACCCACAGTCCCTTGTTATGGATTGCATTTCACTCACACTAAAAATGAAGAAAAAAAGGAAGGTTAGACTCATAATAGAGACGTTTATTGGAATGTTTACGGTGTCCATACCGTTGGCGTTCTGACCCAGTAGTGCTGTAGTTAAAACAGGTGTCATTTCCCACCTTGACTCTCGCCCTATAACACAGTTAGTTGAGTACCTGACTTGGGGACGAAATGTTGCTGTATTTTTTGCTGGTGCCATGTGCTGTGTTCACTCTTGGCTGTGCTAAAACTGTGCATATCTATGTCAGCCCAACTGGGTCGGATTCAAACTCAGGGTTTGTACTGAAGTGCCTTTGTAGTGGATGTATACATTTAAAATGTAGAGATACATTAGTCTGTGATTATATTTCTCTGATTAAGTGCATGTGAACATTTTCAAATATATACACTACAGGCTGAAATAACCTGAATGCATCTACTTTAGGCTTGAGGTGGGAAACCCTTTAAAGACCCTTGAGAAGGCAAAGTCTAAACTAGACGAAACTGGAATAAGTGGAAACAGTGAGTTATAACTTTCCTCGATGAGTGAGTGAGTATGGTTTACGCCGCTATTAGCAAGATGCCGGCAAATATTAAAATATCACGGAGGGGGACACCAGAAATATGAGGAATCGAACCCGGGCCCACTAGGCTACCCCGCAGCCACTCTACTCGATCAAAACGTCTAACTAGTTTGCATACAGTGTACTCAACTAGGTGGTAGAAATATATATATAAATACACCTTCTGATTATAAGTTTGATATGTATCCACTATTGATAAAACGCAATGGTCATTAGGGGGCATCGATGGTTCAATCACTAATGGCGCTGCGAATCGATGTACAGAGTTGCATATTTTAGGTGTGACAGAAACACATGATTCGAAAGACAGATTCGCTCTGATTATGTTTCTAGATTTGTAATCATGATACCCTCCCGTGCTCGTCGGTTTAATCAAAGCCGTAATCACTCGACGACCGTATCACTGTGGGCCTTCGTTATCAGTTTAACTAAAGCGTTGTCCGAAGCGGCGTTAATCCAACTCTCTCTCACACAGACAAACACACGCACGTTGTATTTACTTTATTTGGAAGTCTACAACTCTTAGAACATGTCATCATTATTATTTTTTTTATTTCAGCCATCTATGTTGAACTAATGAAGGGTTACTATGACCTGCCCTCCACCCTCCACTTTACATCCAAATACACGGCCCCGGTCACCTTCAGGGCCTACAATGACCAGGAGGTGCACGTGGTGAGTCTGGAATAGAGGTGTATACATACATATACTCTAATATCATTATATAATATTCCAAAATATTCCATATTATAGCTAAAATGGATAGAATTATCATAAAAACGCCCGCATGTTATCAGAAATGAGGGGGCCACTGTAACTTGATAATGCCCTCATATTACTTGACGACGGGCCATTATCACGCCCGTTGTTAGGTGACGTCATAGGATAGGGATAGGTGACGTAACGTTCAATAGTGACGTCATCTGGTTTGTTCTATGACGTTTCCATATTTGTAAAAGTGGGTCAGTGACATTCGTGTTGATTGCAGTAAATGTTTAAAAATCGACATTGTTGTTTCTTTTTATTTGATAACAAATTCCATCCATTTTAGCTATAATAACGGTAACGCTATTTTTCAGGGCATTATCATTTGCAGAAGCCCTCGGTCCTATCATTTGCAGAAGCCCTCGGTCCCTGGAAGACCTCGGGCTTCTGCAATGATAATGCCCTGAAAAATAGCGTTACCCTTATATTAAATACACCCAATGCATTCCAGATACGAACGAATGCTTCCAGGAGAAATCACTCTTATCTGTTAATTCTGGAAGTCGAATCCCAGTGGTGAGTTATTTCTACTTCCGGTTTCAGATTTCTGTGATTTCTCCGACTTTAACCATGTTATGGTTGATATATAACTGTTCCATAATTTTGCATAATGACTTTGCGTCAGTTTTACTTGTTCAAAATGCACGTTAATACTTGCTACTGAATTCCTGGCTCAGAATCTACTCTGATAAATAGTGACGTCATTATGGTTTGAACTGTGTAAATTAAATATCCATGTCCATCCTCATGGGGACTCCTGGTTAGAAAAGGTTTTCCTTAATACATGCTTGTTATATGAGGCGACTTAAGGCATCGGGTGGTCGGACCCGGTGGCTTGGGTGATTGTGTATCATTGTAGTCGGATTGTGTATCATTGTATCATTGTATCATTGGTGGCGTAGGAATTTGCTCATAATATCATTCACTGGATTGTCTTTTACAGATTCGATCACTTACAGGCTGGAATGACACGTCGTGATATAACTGGAATACTGTTATTATTGCGAACATGGTTATGTTGACATCAGTTATGTTTGTTGTTTAACGCTGCACTGAGCAATATTCCAGCTATATGGCGGCGGTCTGTATATAATCGAGTCTGGACCACACAATCCAGCGATTGAGATCATGAGCATCGATCTACGCAATTGGGATACGGTGACATGCATCAACCAAGTCAGCGAGCCTGACCATCCAATCCCCCTAATCGCCTCTTTAGATAAATATGGGTTGCTGAAAACCTATTCTTACCAATTATGAAAATTAATGACATGGTTGTTATGCTAGGAGACTGGCTACACAGCAATAAAATCAGCGTTCTTGACGCGAATGAAACTATGAATGAAATATTGAGTCAGTTTCCTTTTGTTTGAGTTCCATCTAATTTGAATCTGACCTTAACTTTCAGACGGGCGGCCAGCGGATCCCAGCATCCATGTTCCACAAGGTCACGGACAACTCTGTTCTTCAGATATTGCCACACCATGCCCGCGGCAAGGTACGGCTGAAAGCTTACCACTACACACAACTGTGTTTGTCGTATACTTTTCTATAATACATATATTGTTTGGTGAATACGAAACGAAAAATATTCTGCAGAGGGAGAGCCAATCATATACGAGATAAACCTAATAATAGTAACTACTGTCTGAAAAGGAATGTTTCAACTGTCTCTTTAAGATGATAAGTTTGAGGATTGTTTTATATCCAGGGGTAGATCATTCCACAATGAGGCTACTGCATATATGAAGGATCTATTTTCTATAAGTCGTTACAGCTTGTGTTGTTCAGATTATCATTTTGTCTTTTGGTGGTAGCGAACGCGTTGGTTGGTAAGGAAGTAAGAACCTACTGTTTTGAAATTTGAGGAAGTCTCACTGCATATTAGATACCTTTATTTAGGCTACGAATGTCTGGACTTCTTATTGTGTTTTTTAATGATTTATGTATTCATCATATATCATAGACGCAATGACCATGTGCAGATAATGGACATATAATTGATTTTAAAAGACACATTGTTCCCTGTTGGTCCGCAACTGTTCAATAACTGTCAAACTTTACAACTGTAGATGTGTCCAATGGAAGCATTTGCTCTCGGCTGTTAGCTCAGTCGGGCGATGGAAGACAAAACTCATGGTGAAGTTTTAGACGACAGTAGTCAGGTTTTTTAAATGGGTGAATAACGGTCCAGGTTGATAATCACCTGACAGAACAAAACCGGGACCGATTGGCCAATGTTCCCGGTGCGGAGACCCGCTCTGTCACTAACATACAAGCAGGAAGTCAGACGACGCCACGACAAGCCGTACAATCCGTCCGCTCCTGTCGATGATCTGGGTCGGTCTCCTTGATTGGACTTGTAAGCCAGGTTTTGTAGGTAGAGGAATTCCACCACGTGGTGCAAGGTCAGTGATCCACTTGCATTTACATACGTAAGATCAGGCGACGTGAGGGGGTGTTAATTGACATTAATAGATAAATCATTCTTTTTCTAGGTTGTTCAAGTTCACCTCCCGAGTGCTGGAATATCTGACTATGGCAACATCACGCGCTTTGGTTTCTACACGACCAAGACTTCATGGCTGGAGTTGTTTGTCAACGGAAACCCGTTACACCTGGCCAGGTACCCGAATGAGGTAGGGTTTCGTTTTCTTCTTTCATCTGAACGACTTGGTGGATTGGTATGTCTGTGGACATCCTTCGGTCCAGCGTGTACGTTTATAAAACCTCATGCTGTCTTTTCAATAATTAACATGAACAGCTGAACTAATGCCAACATACTATCAACTGTATCCGCTGCACATGTGTCCATTACATGCGATCCAAAGAAACAGGTAGCTATATAATGATGGAAGCGTTACTCTATGATGAGATGAAATTTTATAAATGACATTTTGTGTCATAGCTATATATTGCGAAGATAGCAACTAATAAATTTGGTCGTGATAGGCGACTTACTGGATCGGGTGGTCAGGCTCGCTGACTTGGTTGATGCATGTCATTGTATCCCAATTGCGTAGATTGCTCATGATGACAATCAATGGATTGTCTGGTCCAGACTCGATTATTTACAGACCGTCGTCGTACAGCTGGAATATTACTGAGTAATAACAAAGAAACAAATGATTCATCTGACTATTCCGTTTTATTGAGCAGAATCAATTATAATACACTTCCGAAATACCAAGCACTGAGACTCGAATAATCGGAGATTATGGCTGCCTAATACTGGGAGTTGTAACAGAGGCTATAACATATCTTTACAATGAATATGTACACCCAAGCAGTGATGCACCCATATTCAAACAGGGCCGGAAGTAGCCCCGTGGGTGAAGCGTTGGCTCGTCACGCCGAATACCCGGGTTCGACTCCCCACATAGATGCGATGTGTGAATTACAATGTTGTTCCCCGTCCTCGTGAACTCGCTCTAAATTGAGCGTTGTCCAAAGCGGAGTTAATCCAACTCACTTACTCACTCACTCGATCCCTCTCTACATTGTTGTAGTCTTGTAGCTAAACGAGTTGCTATTTCAGGGATACATCGATATAACGTCTGTGAAGGCAAAGCACGGCACCACCTTCACACACGGCTCCACTGAAGATGCGCGATGGACACACGAGAAGGAGCCTTGGGCCATTGGATACTGGTCAGTGTGTCAGGACAAGTGGGGCGATGGAAGCCAGGTTGTAGATGTGATGACGTGTCGTGTAAAAACTAAATGTATACACAGTTGTAAATATGAAAGGTCAACGCAAGGGAATAACCCATCTCTACATTTTGCCCAAACAGATTTCATTGGGCGTCAAACCAAAATAGCGGCGAAAATTATATGAACTGATCTGAAAATCAGAGATGACGTTGGTGTCCGAATTTGCGTAAAGGGTAAGCATGTCCTGCTTAGACGTCTTTGCGTTTGCCTTCTACTGCAAAATAACTACATTATGTTTTAAAGAGTCACGACTCATAGAGTCATAAAGATAAAAAAAAAAAAAATAGTATAAGTTATACAGTGTGGACAAAGCGCAGTCGGTTAGCTGTCGGGCTAACAGTCCAAAGGTCACGAGTTCGCGTCCGACCGAAAAACTGTTTGCTTGTCTTTGAGACATGTGACCTAAGGCAGAGATCGTCCTCAGATCGTTGTGGGAATGTATTCTAAAGGCGCTCCCATCACCAGTAGGTTAGGCATGCGAAATAGGTAATTTGTTTTATGTACAGTGTCGTTTGGATCAATATATCAGCATGTCACTCAAACATGGAAGCAAGCCAAAAGCGTCCCTTTGGGTAAACATGTTCATCAACAAACCGTAGCCTTTGCAGCGTGTTCCAATTGTCCTAATACGGCACTCAACACACGTGTACATGTTTGCATCCAGATACTGATGGTTGGTGGGTCTGATGTCGCTGTTTGTTTTCAGGTATTTTAGCTGGGCTGATGATGCAGTCAAAATAGCTAATATTGACGCACAGAAACATCAGATCACCTTGGCAACAAAGAACCGATATGGGCTGCGAGTTGGTGGGTGCTGACAATTACGCATCGTGCAATAAGCATGCACTGCAAATGTCCATGTGACCTTATCGATAAATATTAATATAATTATGTTCGAATTAAAAATCTCTGATACATTAATTACACGGTCATGTCAAATTCTGGAAAGAAAAATGTATATTCATGTAAAGCGACCACATGTATCCTGTCGCACATACATTCCAGAAAGCTATGAACGTGGGCTGGTTAAGAATCCAATATGAGTCCTAATTCTTCGGGGGGGGGGGGGGGGGGGGGGGCACGGGTGGCTCAGTCGTCTAAGGCGCCGCGATTCGCTGTGCAGAGTTGCGTCCCTTGGGCACGCCAGAAACCTATGATTGTGGGTTCGAATCCCGGCTGCCCCGATTATGTTTCTAGGTTTGTCAGCACCATACCCGTGCTCGTGGGTTTCACCGAAGTGGTAAACGTCTGAGACCTGCATCACTTCGGGCTTTCCTCCCACATTAAGCTGACACGCCGTGATATGACTGTAATACTGTTAAAAGCGGCTTTAAACCCAACTCGCTCACTCACCTAATTCTTGGATGGTCAACACCACACGTTGTATGTTTATGCAAAGAGATAAACGCCTAAGACCAGTATCATTGCTGGCGTTCTTCCCACATCAAGCTGACACGTCACAATATGTCTGAAATACTGCCCAATGCACCGTTACACCCAACTCAGTCACCGATGTAAAGCAAGCTGCGATGATTCACAAAAGAATGTGTATCTATACCAATTCCAGGGCACTACAACGATGCCACGCTTGCTGGTTTCTCCCATCAGGGCGGCTACTTCCGGGTGTTCAATATGCTGTCAGAGCTGGATCAGCCGGTGAGAATGCCATTAACGTTTTCCGCTGACACGCAATATTATTTATTTCCATCTGATGGCATATACATCAGGCAGACAAATAATGTATATATTAGGGGGTGACTACCGATGTCTTTTCAACTACTGTAAAAGCATTGGTGATAATATTGCAATAATGGTTCAACTATTTCGATAGCATTGCGTAGGCTTGATAAGAACCTGTACCAACAACCTAATTTAATTGCATTATTCGACATGACGGCAAAGTCTAACACCTCTCAACGTCAGCAGATCTGTACGTAATGGAGAAATCTTATCATATAACGGAATCGAGATATTTCTCTGACTTAAACAATGTTATGGTTGAAACGTGTATGTTTTTTTTTTAAAGAATTTCGCATAATGACCTACACTTGCATCAGTTTTATTTAAGAAATAAACGACGAGTGGAAGTATGCAGTCCCGAGTGGTTTCCTCTCCCTGCAGTGTTTTAATGTACGATAAACAACGACCACCAGGCGTTTATTTCTTACATGAGAGGTAGAACCTCTTTGATGATGTTAATAAAAAGTTCACGCTTTTAACATATTTACCCGTATTTAAATAATGATGACGCCCTGAATAGAATCCGACCGCGATAATGTCGGGCAAGTCCAATTTAAGAACAGGGGATTAAATCTAGTCTTTACCGCATATTCGCACAAGTTTCACGTCAATTATCTGTTCCTTTTCTCCCAATAACGATTTTCATATCTCTACCATTTTTTATGTGCGATCGTTCGGCCATTGCGTTCATCTGCGCTGTCCAGCTACATCTATGGGGAACAACTTACAAGACACGCACCCTGTCAAATATAACGTCGTCCAATTTACGACGTCATCAAGTTGTGAGCGCATGTTCAAATCTCCAGAAATGACGTCATGATAGAACAATGTTTTATTGTAAAATACACCACGCTTCGTTCTTCATTTTTCTTTGCGATTTATCGCGTTGCTATCTTATATGTGTTTATAATGCACGTTCAGAATAGCCAGTGAATTTCTGGCTCTGAGTTAACTGCAAGAACAATAGCGTGACGCCATTGAAATGGTTTAACTCTGATTATTGTCTGATATAAAGATGTAACATTAATTACTCTTTAAATAAGAAGTATTTTGGAGCAAAACAGATCGATACCTGACAAACATTGTTTTTTGTTGTTTTTTGTTTTATCGATACCATTAATTAGTTTTACTTTCCATTTTCGAGAAAGCTGTGTCAAGTCTCTTTCACAAGAGGACGTAATCCCATGACCAAAGCATTCGGATCATGGATAATTGCGTAGAATAGCTCGAGCAATCATAACATCCAATATATATTAAATATATATTTTTTGTTGTTTAACACTGAGCACAGCAATTTTCGAGCCATATGATGACAGTCTAATCTAGTCTGGAACAGACAATCCAGTGATTGACATCATCGATCTTCGCAATTGAGTTATACTTTGATTTGCATCAACCAAGTCAGCGAGCCTGACCACCAGATCCCGTTAGTTGCCTCTTACGACAAACATGGCTGAAGAGCAACTATAAACCGGAACTTCACGGGTGTATTTGCTATGTGCTGTCGCATCAAACTAATGTATAACTACGTTGCATCCGTAGCTCGAGAAACCATGACACCCCACATTTTAGACATGTGATATAACATCACACTAATGCATTTGTTATATCCTTGTAATGGAGAGAAAACTGAAACGAATTAACGGATTAGTCGATTCTTCCATATCACTATAGTTAATCTATCATTGCATAACAAAAGAAATACTTATGTATCGGGTGGTCCTAATCTTCTTTTGAGTAGTATACTTTTAAACTTTTTTTAGGGTGAATACTACATTGATAGATCAGCTGCTATTCTGTACGTTTGGCCGAATACTCCAAGCGGTGCTCTGTCAAACTCGGATGTCATATATGCCTCAATGGTGACAGATTGCATCACGTAAGTAGTGTTCGGTATCTAAAATGTGCAATGTTAAGGTCTATCTGATCCATGTTTCCTGTCTCGTACATCTACATCTTTCAGCACACACCTTGTGTCATGTGAAACTAATTCATCGTACTTTTCTGTTTTTATGTGCATTAACTTCCGACACATCTTTCAGGAATTTGTATGTGTTGTATTGCAAACCACCAATCATGTTATTACAGAACAGATAATGAAGTCAGCAATCTTCACTTTGAAGGTTTCTCGCTGGAAGCCTGTCGGCGGTACGGGTTTGACCTGGACAACGGACACAGCATTGGTTTCAAGAATATGGAGATTAAAAACACTGGTATTCGTTTACATTTACCATGTTTACAAATCATCAATCGATACAAGAATTAAATCTAAGCAGCATCACATATGCAGTCACATATGTACAATGTATTTGTTTGTTTGTGTGTTTGTTGTTTAACGCTCAGACAGTCCAGTGCTTGACATCATGAGCATCGATTAACGCAACTGAGATACGCCGGTCGTCAACCAAATCAGCAAGCCTGACTACCCGATCACCATGACAACCAGAAGGTTTGGCGTCTGACCTCAGATGAGAAGGTTAAACATATATTGACTTTGATAATAATTCAAACTTTTAATTGTAAGTAAAAACTAATACCAAAAAAACATGACATATCTTTAGTAGGACATGTGGGGGCCGTCGGGTAGCCTAATGGTTAAAGCGTTCGCTCGTCACGCCGAAGACCCGGGTTCGATTCCCGACATGGGTACAATGTGTGAAGCCCCTTTCTGGTGTCCCCCGCCGTGATATTGCTGGAATATTGCTAAAAGCGGCGTAAAACCATACTCACTCACTCACTCACTCACTCACTAGTAGGACGTGTGTTTCAGGTGGTTATGGAATCCATTGCTCTGGTGACTGTCGGTCTGTGACGGTCTCTATGTCTGAGATACATCACACCTGTGGAGGAATCGCAATCACAGGTAAGGCAGGTGGCAGCCGGACTGTGGAAAGCAATGGTGAAACAAACTGAAGGCGATATTATATGTTTAGAGTCCGTAGGTTAATATCCATGGACTCTGAAATACCATTTGGGTGCTGCGAGAAAAAATCTTGAAGCCAGGAGAAAACATCAATATATTTTCTTAACAACATACATTCAAAGATAAGACGACTCAGGATTCCGATGAGATACAGCTTCAAAACGATCCTAGCTGAGATTAATCCAAACTAATTATGTTAAAAAAAAGATGTCTTAAGTTTACGATAGGCTACAGTTTTAAAAGGATCTTAGTTAAGATTGATCTTTATAACTAAGATTAGTTTAGAAACTTTCTTAGTTAAGATTAATCTCAACAAACGTTGATGTGTTAAGTTACGATAATATTTTCTCTTAAATGTCTTTTTTTATCTACATAATCTTCATGATACATTATTATTGTGGTTTAAAGGGGAAGTGTACACGCAAAAGTTACTTTCTTTCTTTTTCTAAACAAAACGCAATTTTAGAATTAATTAGAATCTGTGTTTGAAAATATACACTAGTTTTTTCACGGTGAAAGTAGGAAGCGCACAATAGTGTGAAAATGATATGCCGTTATGTGGCCTTCGTTTTTCGAGCTAAACAGGCCTGAGTTATCCCCCTTAGATTATGACGTAATTGGTGCCAATTCAACTGGGTCCCTGTCTATTCTCAACGCAAAAGATATCAAGTACCAGTTTGCGGTAAAACAACATGGCCTACGACACACTCCGGCGCAGTGGTGACTCAGCATAACACTATGCTAGCTGGCATCTGAGACGCAAGAATCACACACCTGTACCTACACCACGTGAAGCGGCTCTAACAAAGCATGATGACGTCATAATGTTTATCAATGTGTACCAATGACGTCATATTGCAAGGGGCATAAGCCATGGTGTTTTTGTTATGGAAATAGAACACTTGGTAAATGTGAAAAATATAAATAGCTTTAATGCGAAAAATATGTTAATTAATTGTGATATTTTTTTATTTTTGTCTATGACACTTCTAGGGTAACACTTTTAATGTGGAAAAAGTACAAAAAAATAGGTTCATTTCCGTGTGAACTTGCCGTTTAACGAACCCTAAGATATGCAAGTACATATGGCATTTCGGCATAGGGCATAATCATGTGATTAATACTCTTACAACAGTGAGGTATTAATTGTGTAGTTCTTGTGGCTGTTTCTGTTTTAACAAACAGGTGGTGACCGGAAAACACTGGCACCTTCTGGTAACCTGATAGAAGACAACCACATCTGGCAGTATGCACGTGTAGGGGCCGTGGGTTACAACGCCATCAGTCCTGGAGGGGTGGGGATATCCATGCGCTACAACCACATCCACGACGGCCAGTACACGGGCATCAGATGGGCGGTAAGGCAAATACTGGTTTAGAGATAACATCAGGGCAATGCGTGTTTCATTTCTGTTACGAGAAATATCAAAAGAGATATACATCACAATATTTGTGGGTATTTGTCAAATATGAAGTATTGCCAATTCATTTGTTGGAGTATAAATGACGTTGCAAATAGAATAATTATCACCTTGGCATATTAAGCACAAACGTGAAGATCCGTGTAAGAATGTGTCTTCAGCAACCCATGCTTGTCGTAAATGGTTGTTGCGTGTCATCGTATACCAATTGTGTAGATCGATGCTCATGATGTCAATCACTGGATTGTCTGGTCCAGACATGTTTACTTAGAGACCAATGTCATACAGCTGAAATATTGCTGCGTGTATCATTAAACAACGACCGGACAAAACAAATCTCAAACGACTTATATTCATTGAGCTACGACCAAGACAGGGTTTCTATGTGTGCAGGGTATATAATGCCCAGGATTACTCAACGGGTCATTATGATCCATTAAATCATTCATCTGTCAATTGATGAGAAAGCTATTTCTGCTGTCTCCAGGGCAACGACCACGTGATGGAACACAACCACTTGCATCACCTGTGTGCCAACTCCAGTGACTGTGGAGCTCTACACGCCGGGCGAGACTGGACCATGGTATTCGTAATAACCTTATTACACATTAGTTATTGAAAAGGACAAACAATAAAAATATGTACAGAAAATAGAAGAATGCATGTGTGACTGTGTGATATTATGCAAAGTCTAATTGGGCACTCAGAATGGTTGGCATTCAATGGTTGACACGGTAACATGTTGAACTTGGCTCTCAGAATGACTGGTACTTAAGGTTGACAAGGTAACATGTTGGACTAGGCTCTCAAAACGGCTGGTACTTAAGGTTGTCAAGGTAACATGTTGGACGAGGCTCTCAGAATGACTGTACTCAAGGTTGACAAAGTAACATGTTGGACGAGGAACTCAGAATGACTGGTACTCGAGGTTGACAAGGTAACATGTTGGACTAGGCACTCAGAATGACTGGTACTTAAGGTTGACAAGGTAACATGTTGGACGAGGCTCTCAGACTGACTGTACTCACGGTTGACAAGGTAACATGTTGGACTCGGCTCTCAGAACGGCTGGTACTTAAGGTTGACAAGGTAACATGTTGAACTAGGCTCTCAGAATGACTGTACTCAAGGTTGACAAGGTAACATGTTGGACGAGGCACTCAGAATGACTGGTACTCGAGGTTGACAAGGTAACTTGTTGGACGAGGCTCTCAGAATGACTGTACTCAAGGTTGACAAGGTAACATGTTGGACTCGGCTCTAAGAACGGCTGGTACTTAAGGTTGACAAGGTAACATGTTGAACTAGGCTCTCAGAATGACTGTACTCAAGGTTGACATGGTAACATGTTGGACGAGGCTCTCAGACTGACTGTACTCAAGGTTGACAAGGTAACATGTTGGACTAGGCTCTCAGAACGGCTGGTACTTAAGGTTGACAAGGTAACATGTTGAACTAGGCTCTCAGAATGACTGTACTTAAGGTTGACATGGTAACATGTTGGACGAGGCTCTCAGAATGACTGTACTCAAGGTTGACAAGGTAACATGTTGGACTAGGCTCTCAAAACGGCTGGTACTTAAGGTTGACAAGGTAACATGTTGGATTAGGCTCTCAGAACGGCTGGTACTCGAGGTTGACATGGTAACATGTTGGACTAGGCTCTCAGAATGACTGTACTCAAGGTTGACAAGGTAACATGTTGGACTAGGCCCTCGGAACGGCTGGTACTCAAGGCTGATATGGTAACATGTTGAACTAGGCACTCAGAATGACTGTACTCAAGGTTCATATGGTAACATGTTGAACTAGGCTCTCAGAACGGCTGGTACTCGAGGTTGACATAGTAACATGTTGGACTAGGCACTCAGATAGTGAGTATAGGTAGAGTCTATTGTTCGATTTCGACTGTAGCATGAGTAAAATCCAACGCCAGAGTATAACCAGTCTCGATTATATGCTGAAACGGTTCCAGGCAAAGCAAAAGCAAAATAGTAATGAAAATTATGTGAATTGATCACTGGAAAATCAGGGATGACACGAAAAAAAGGATGTTCGCGAAAAGGGTAAGCAATTCGCTATACACCACCCATGATTATGCTAAGCATGTTGTTTACATAAACACAAACCATCATCAGAGAGGCAACGTCATCCGCTACAACTACATCCACCACACATTGAGGAATGTCCCCGGTGCCCAGGTCAGAGGCATCATGCTGGACGACCAATACTCCAGCGTCACCATCGAGCACAACGTCTTCTATGACGTAAGTTCACTTTGAACTCGTGAAGGTACACTTTCATAAAAAACGGAAGATATTTCTATACAAACATGTTGTTTTGTTCTTGGTTATTAAAATTTGACGAATTTCACAAATAAAAAGAAAAATAACATTTCATTTTTTCTGAAGCATCAGTACACAAATTGTTGATAACTGTCCATATATGATTTCAATTTGTAAACACATGCTCAGAACGAGGTCCATGCCAACATCGGCGGTGGCCGTGACAACATTATCCGCTACAACGTGTTCTACAACGCCACAGGGGACGGTGTACAGGTGGACGGTAGGGGCTTGTATCATGCTAACGGAGGCGAAATAATGCAGCACCTGAAGGTAAACACTACTAACAGTAAATAACCTACGGCTCACAAAATATACAACTCCACTTTTGATAAGGATATGTTCATCTAACCATAATACCCAAAACTGATAATGTTATCAAGTGTATAATTAAATAGAATGACATCATCTGATTATTCCTATCAAAAGTTTAATAGTATACATTCTCATCATTACAATTCCCACCATATCAAAATACACACCAGACGTAACTTTATTCAATAATTGCCTGTTCATTTATCATAGAGCAATTTGTGCAATAATTCACTCTTTCACCATTCTATGTTTTGAAGAAGAGCTGGTGGATTTCTTAATTTAGAAATTGTTTGGTTGCAATAAGAATAATTTTAGTTCGTTTTTACATTTTTCTGTTTATCGGTAAATAATTACATTTATATTAATATGTAGCCTAGATTATTTACTATTCACATTGACACGCCATTATAGGCCATGCCGTACACCAACCCACTATGGACGAGTAGATATCCAAAACTGGCGAATATGACAAACCCAGGCCAACCAGCAGGTAAGTCGGATTATCATTACCGTATTCGACGTAATAAGTGCCCCGCTCTAATAAGCGCCCACGGCGATAATTGCTAAAATATTGGCTAGTGAACAATCCCAATTAGCACCCCTTCCGATTGATCAATGTACACAAGACTTATTTATTCGCGTATAATATACATTCGTGTGTTATATGCACTCTTAATTATGGGCAATTAAATTCTGGAAAAATATATCTGTCGTATATAAACATTTCAGGCTGTCAGCATAAACCACGAAATATATCTTTCAATTCTGGTTTTTTTCCACCAAATTATATTCTAATAAGAGCCCCCTATTTCTAATTTTGAGAGCGCCCTGGGCGCTTATTACGTCGAATACGGTACTCGTTAAAATTTATAAGCCGACTTGCCGTAACTGGCGACTATGTTAGTCGTAAGAGGCAACTAACGGGATCGGTTGGTGAGGCTTAAATGTGTTTTTAAAAACAGATTTTACTCCATTTCCAAGTTCATTTACAGCCCAGGTAGAAGACATAATAGAAACCTATTAATGGAAGGCTTGTATACACTGTTTGATTATACAATGACAAAATAATTTATGAACGTCTCATGACTATGGACGGAGAGAAGAAGTCAATTGCTTCCATTTCTAACGATAACAGGGGGCACGGGTGGCCCAGTCGTCTAAGGCGCCGCGATTCGCTGTGCAAAGTTGCGTCCCTTGGGCACGCCAGAAACCTATTATTGTGGGTTCGAATCCCGGTTCGCCCCGATTATGTTTCTAGGTTTGTCAGCACCATACTCGTGCTCGTTGGGTTCACCGAACTGGAAAACGTCTAAGACCTGCATCACTTCGGGCTTTCCTCCCACATTTAGCTGAAACGCCGTGATATAACTGGAATACTGTTAAAAGCGGCGTTAAACCCAACTCACTCACTATTATGATAACAATGGATTCTGTTGTTTTTGTTTGTAATATATTTCTTCAATTTGACAAATATCACTCAATCTTTGAATACACTAAAGGACGGTATTTATTTATGAATACTTGATAAATAAATGAATCGTTTTGCTGATAGCAGAATGTGGTTAACTACATGATCATATGTACATAATTCAAACTTGAAAGTGGCCCGTGAAGATCCGGGGTAATCTTGGATGCGATGTTAAACCCCCATTTCACCTCACCTCATGTTTAAATATCGTTTATATGAGGACAGTTTAAGAGCATTAATAAAAGATTCAATGTCAATGATTCTAAGACTACCATCCCCATATAATCGAATCATATATATTTCTTTTAATCTTATCCTTTTTGTCATTCAATTTTTATATACAAATTGTGTGGCTCGCTGACTTGGTTAATGAATGTCATCGTATCCCAATTGTGTAGATCGATGTTCATGATGTCAATTACCGGATTGTCTCGTCAAGACTCGATTATTTATAGACCGCCGTCATACGAGGGCTGGTCAAAAAGTTTTAAGCCTGGCTAACTTCCAACTATGGGTCATAGCAAAGAGCACTAGTCAATGTATATAGTTCATTGCTAGTGGGGGCGGTCGGCAACATTGCAAGTGTATTTGGTCTTTTGAGGCCGTTTGTATATTAGTGACAGCTAGTTGAACGCCATAGGGGTCGAAATGGACACAGAAATGTAAAAGAACGAGTACCGAGCAGTCATCAAGTTTTTGACTTCAAACAAATGTACTCCCCAAGAAATTCATGACCGTATGTCACAAGTGTCTGGTGATACGTTCCCTAGCTATTCCACTGTCAAACGTTGGACAGCTATGTTTAAGGCTGGGAGAACAGACCTTGATAATGACCCTAGGTCTGGGCGTCCCTCAACCTCCGTCAATGAAGATTCAATCAAGGAGATAGAAAAAAATATACTGTCAGATAGATGTAGTACCATTGCTGAACTTGAGGATGACACAGATCTAAGACACTGATCCATTGAAACTATTATTCATGAACATTTACAGACGAATAACATATCGGCTAGTTGGGTGCCAAAGTTTCTAAATTCTGAACTGACATTGTCAGAGACAATTTAGAGCAAAACGAAGAGGGTTTCGTCAATTCAAACAGAGATTAGTAATGGGTGATGAAAGATGGGTTTACCACCATGAGTCAAAACGTCAATCCATGGAATGGCACCATTCCACTACTCCGGCACCAAAGAAATTCAAGTCTTCAAGATCAGTGAAGAAGGTTAGAGCCACTGTGTTCTGGGATGCAACGAGTGTGATCCTTCTTGATTACTTGGAAAGTCAAAATTACCGATGCCTACTATGCTGATTTGCCTCATCGCCTGAGAGATTATATCAAAGAAAAGCGTTGAGGAATGCTGACTGCTTGAGTTCTACTACTTAATGACAATGCCTCTTCCCACACCCCTCGACTTTCAAGGGCTGCTGTGCGACAATGTGGGTCCGAAAAGCTTCCTCACCCTGATAGAACACCTTCGTGCACAGCGCTATGACGACAACGATTACATCAAATATGCCGTGAATGTGTTTTTAAGGGTAGCTTCAGAAAACCTCTGGAATTGAAAAGCGTCACTGTCGATATGAGAAGTGTATTGAAGAGCAGGGAGATTATGTTGAAAAATGAATTAAAAATACTTTCACAATTGTTGGTTTTGTTTATTAGGCTTAGAATTTGTTTACCATCCCTCGTACAGCTTGAACATTGCTGAGTGCGGCGTTAATCAATAAACAAGCAAGCATAATATTTTCTCATGAGGGGAGTACACTGGTTTTTAGTTTTGATGAAGATGGGCCTCATGAGCTTCGAAGGTTTAGATTTTAGCATTTTTGTATTTAAAACAAACACATAAATGTTTGTACTACTCGCTGGTCATATTTGTGGCGATCATTAATCCTAATGTGTGGTGTACAAAGAGGACAGAAAGTTTGAAGGGTGTCTATGGATGAAGTGAACAGTTCTATTTTAGCAAGTGTTTAAGCGAACACCTTGTGTCATGACTCCTTATAATTTGCTTTTTGCACCAATGAAATCTGTTTCTCAAACAATCGATCTTTAATGTGACCCGTGAAAATCCGGGTTAGAATCAGCCTTCAATAACCCATGCTTGTCGTAAGAGGCGACTATGCTTGTCGTAAGAGGCGACTAATAAGGGATCGGGTGGTCAGGCTCGTTCACTTAGTTGATGCATGTCATCAACATGTATCCCAATTGTGTAGATCGATGCTCATGATGTCAATCACCGGACACATCTGAAATATTGCTGAGTGCGGCGTGAGACAAGAAACCAATGTAAATACCAATTAATGTATACGAACGCATGTATGCTCCGCATCAAACGTTCCAACGTGTTCAAAAACCAACGGACCCGTGAAGATCCGAGGGAGAATAGGTCTTCAGCAACCCATGCTTGCCGTAAAAGGCGACTATGCTTGTCGTAAAATGCGACTAACGGGATCGGGTGGTCAGGCTCGCTGACTTTGTTGATGCATGTCACTGATCCCAATTGCGCGGGGATGCTCACGATGTCAATCACTGGATTGTCTGGTCCAGACTCGATTATTTACAGACCGCCGTCATATAGCTGGAATACTGCTGAGTGCGGCGTTAAACAACAAACAAACAAACGTGGTTCTTTGGTACTCCAGCACGACCCAACACTCGTCGCCTGTACAAGAGGATATGCATATTGAAACTGCTAGCTAATCGTACTGTATGTATTTCCAGGCAACCAGGGGGCACGGTTGGCCCAGTCGTCTAAGGCGCCGCGATTCGCTGTGCAGAGTTGCTTCCCTTGGGCACGCCAGAAACCTATGATTGTGGGTTCGAATCCCGGTTCGACGCGATTATGTTTCTAGGTTTGTCAGCACCATACCCGTGCTCGTGGGTTTCACCGAAGTGGTAAACGTCTGAGACCTGCATCACTTCGGGCTTTCCTCCCACATTTGGCTGACACGCCCTGATATAATTGGAATAATGTTAAAAGCGGCGCTAAACCCAACTCACTCACTCACTTATTCCAGGCAACCAAATCTACAGCAACATCTTCTATAGCCTGCCCGGGATCCCCAGTGTATTCTACAGCAGTGGCAGCATGGAGAGACAGGACTACTTCAATGTTTCGAATAATCATAAGGTAGCTACATGTTAATCTGGGGCGGTGGGGTAGCCTAGTGGTGTAAGCGTTCGCTCGTCACGCCGGGTTCGATTTTCCGCATGGGTACAATGTGTGAAGCCCATTTCTGGTGTCTCCCGCCGTGATATTGCTGGAATATTGCTTAAAGCGGCGTAACACCAGACTGACTCACTCACATGTTATTCTAAATAAATATCTAGTCAGTGAAGTAAGTTACAATGGGGCACGGTTGGCAGAGTCGTCTGTGACGCCACAATTCTTGTGCAGAGTTGCGTCCCATGGGCACGCTAGAAACCTTATCTATGGTCGTGGGTTCGAATCCCTGTTGGCCCCGATAAAGTTTCTTGGTTTGTCAACACCATACCGTGATCCTGGCTTCTACCACAGTGGTAAACGTCTGAAACATGCATCACTTCGGCGTGTATCCCACATTAAGCTGACACGCAGTGATATAACTGGAATGCTGTTAAAAGCGGCATTAAACTCTGTTACTCACTGAGCAGAGGTCTTTCTGTGGTTCCGCTCATTCCAGACCCGTCTTTTTTGTCTTTGCCTTGTCAAGGGTCTTCATAGAAAGTCCCACCTCAAGCCTAAAGTAGATGCATCCAGATTATTTCAGCCTGTCGTGTTAAAACAATATTTGGAAAAATAAATTTACAACTTTCTTCGAACACTGTTAAAGTCTCTTTGTCACATTGCTGGACAAATATTTGTGTGTTACAATTATATAACGTTAAACATAAAAATGTATATACAAATAATATGTTTTTTTCCAACTGAAATGCTCATAAAACTCATTTCACAGTCTGTATCACCAACTGACTTCTGGTCACCTGATGATGATGACTTCCGGGTCAGATGTCATGCGCAGGAGTGGGCCAACGCCATAAATTTCCCTCAGCCAATCGACGTGAACCACGTGGGGCCACGTCGTCCAACTGGGCCTGTCTACATGCAGCAACGTCAGTCTAATTAAATTACCACACTTATTATCTCAGGGTTTACACGAAACGAAATGAGCGTGGTTATTTGCTTCTTTGCAAAACTCAATTCACTCCTTCAATCACATAGCGACAACTTATTGACTCTTTGGCATGCAGTCTAATAAAATGTTCCAAATGCACATACAGTATACAGGGGGCGGTCGGGTAGCCTAGTGGTTAAAGCGTTCGCTCGTCACGCCGAAGACCCGGGTTCGATTCCCGACATGGGTACAATGTGTGAAGCCCATTTCTGGTGTCCACCGCCGTGATATTGCTGGAATATTGCTAAAAGCGGCGTAAAAACCTTACTCACTCACTCACTCACATACAGTATACAGACAAGTATGTCTGTCCGCAACTAGTTTACACGTATTAGCAAAAGCACCGATTATTATGAGTGGCGGTGTAACAATGGTATCTGAAATCTAGTCATCTTACTACAGCCAGACAAACTCACAAGTCCCCAGCTCATCCTGCTGCATGTGCAGGCACCATCGCCCCAGCAACGAAGACACCACAGACGCCATACTTCTCAGATGGCTCCGGACCTAACACCATCTACCCCAACATCCAAAAACATGGTACTTCTAAAGACCAAATTAAATAAATGATAAATCGCCATCGAATTGATACCGTGAATCTTTTCAGTGATAATGTCAACATTATCATTCGATAATCAATCAAGAGTTAAAAGGTTGACTTTATTTGAATCACCACTGAGGGACATTGAATTTGTTTATTGAATCTGCGCTTTGTTTTTCTAATGCCGATACAGGTTGCTGGCTCGTCATCACTGGGTGCCCACTTCACCCCATCAGTGGCACACATCGAGACGTGTGGGGGGAGCAGCATGAGCAGGCTGGGGTGAAGGAGGAGAACTGTCTGCAGCGGGCAGCAAAGGAGTGGCGGTACTGTGGCTCCCCCGACAAGGAAACTGTCACTGCAGTCTTCGGACCTACAGGTTTGAGTTCTTATTGAAAATACGCTTCTTACTTCACATGATATGAATAAACAGAAGTAGTGGAAGATAGTTGTAAATAATTTAAGTCACTAAGATAACATTTCTGTTAATCTAGGTGATATGACCGTGGCTGGAGACCATTGGTACTTCGTTATAGTTGTAAAAATGTCTTCAAGACACTTTTCTGTTGATCTTTTATATAGTTGCTATGACCGTGGCTGGGAAACATTGTTACTTCGCTATAGTTGTCAAAAAGTCTTTAAAACACTGTTTCTGTTGATCATATAACTAGGTGCTATGACCATGGCCGGAAAACATTGTTACTTCGCTGACTATGGCTGTCCTACACACGGGACACCCAGCCCAGGGCGGCTGGAGGTAGACGGCTATGGGGAAACCCACGGGGCACTGACCGAGGAGGAAAAGTGTTTGGGCAGAGCCCCTGGACAATTTGAGTACTGTGGGTCCGATCCTGCACACCCGTACACAAGTATCTATGGCCCCACAGGTTAGATCAAACTAGTTTTTACAATGCTTTGATATTATTTACAGATCATCAACCCGCATACGCTTACTCATTAGTCACCTGATTAAGTGTCGACAAGAGCCCTAAAAACTGTCAATAAGTTGTTGTCCATACCGCTTCATGTCGCCATGTTCTCCCAACATCTAGATGCCCATCAAAGAATTATTTAGAAAACTTTGTCAGGTCAATTTAATTGTCTTTTTCGAGAGTTTTATGTCGAGTTTCCATAACAATGTATATGGACCAACAGATTAGACACCTGTTATCAGAGAGGGGCGGTCGGGTATCCTATCGGTTAAAGCGTTCGCTCGTCACGCCGAAGACCCGGGTTCGATTCCCGATGTGTGAAGCCCATTTCTGGTGTCCCCCGCCGTGATATTGCTGGAATATTGCTAAAAGCGGCGTAAAACCATACTCACTCACTCACTGTAATCAGAGATATAGTTCTTATTATGAAATAGCGAACTAAAATGTCATTAAATTTTAACTGTTAAAAACATGTGTTGATCTAGCTCTGCCAGTGTCCTTTTACATGGACTATTATAGTGAGTTTAATGGGGTATGGTATCATATCTATTTCTTAATAATATAAAAGGCATTACAACATTTCTGATTTACGACTGATGGTTTCGTACAAGGTTATTTAAGGTCAGGTAATCAGTATATAAAAATGTTTCTTCATTTCAAAGTACTTAAGAATTATCTTCAATATGTTTTTGAGTTTAAGGCGTACAGACGTAAAAAATACTGTGTAAAATATTATTTATTCTTCTAAATAAATACGTCAACAACAATAACTTTACCGATTGTTATTTAATCAATAAGACAGGACTCACTGCAGACAACAATACGAAACCAGTGACATCGTTAAGCAAATAGTGTAAGACAAACCCCTCCCATTCCATTATCAGCCAATCAGGAGTCCGTTAGCAGGCGTGGCCTATTTTTTTCCATGGCAACGCAAAACAGGTTGCTTTGTTAGCCAATCACTTTCAATTTATTTATATACAACTTCATATAGGAGGTATAAGACATGCTGGAGGCGGGTGTTGGGTCAAGATCTCGTCCTGTCCCTCTGAAAACAAACTGACTGGCTTCTTCTACGACGCCTGGGGAGCCACCAACCTAGATACAGGTGGTATAGCGCATGTGACGCACATCGTGACCAACTCGTGTTATTCCGGAACAAGCCTAATAGCGACCCGTACCCCTATCCCGATTGGATGCGCAAACGAGCATTACTTCAAAGAGGGGGCACGGGTGGCCCAGTCGTCTAAGGCGCCGCGATTCGCTGTGCAGAGTTGCGTCCCTTGGGCACGCAAGAAACCAATGATTGTGTGTTCGAATCCCGGTTCGCCCCGATTATGTTTATAGGTTTGTCAGCACCATACCCGTGCTCGTGGGTTTCACCGAAGTGGTAAATGTCGGAGACCTGCATCACTTCGGGCTTTCCTCCCACATTAAGCTGACACGCCCTGATATAACTGGAATACTGTTAAAAGCGGCGTTAAACCAAACTCACTCACTCACTTAAAAGAATTGTCAACTTGTTGCGTGATGATTCACGTATATCTTCCCTAAAAATATCATGATATCATATATATTCCAGCTGCTATTGAAAGCACACAGGGACTTACAGTAATATACAGTATGATTGAATACATTTAACTGTATCTTTGGTTTCTTTTTAAAGGCAACACATATGTAAAATCAAAAATTATTCCTGAGGAATTCTTTGACCGAAGTACTCGAGTCATACGCGCATTCTGATTGGTTTGTGGTATTTTTGCCCACAGCATTCGTCGATAGGGGGACGAGTCTTCCTGTAGGTTCCGGAAAGGGGCGAGTGGTGACGAATGATGTGTCGCTCTTCTCTCGTGAATAACTAACATTGAATATTTGTTGTTTGCTGTTGTGAAGCACCGCTATTTGCATTCGTCACTATTAGTTGAGGCGAGGTGAAATGGAGTTTAATGTCGCGTCGCACTTACATAGCGACGTGCATGCACGTGTGAGAGAGAGAGAAAGAGAGTGAGAGAGAGAGAGAGAGAGAGAGAGAGAGAGAGAGAGAGAGCGAGAGAGAGAGAGAGAGAGGCTGGTTACGCTACTAATTTGACTAAAGCCGATTTTATCGTGCTAGCACACTTAGGTACCATGCTGCAGTTAACCTGAATATCACACTCAGACACAGTATACTGACTCCGAGCCGACAGTTCTTCTTTTAGCCCCTTAATGCCGAGCGCCAAGCAGGGTAACAACAGGTACCATCTTTTCACGTTTTTTTGTATGACGCGGCCGAGGATCGAAATCCGGATCTTCCGCTCTCCGTACAGACACACCGTACGTCGACCAAGGAGGCGGTCTTGTTATTTGTACCTGGTTTACCCACAAATAGCGTTCAGCATTATCGTGTACATATATTTCAGATCATGAGCGCAACGAATGCCTGGCCCGAGCTGATTACTTCTGGCAACACTGTGGGTCAAATCGAGACCTCCCCGTCACAGCCTACTACAAACCAAGAGCTGTGTCTAAGACTGTCCCCTGAAAATACACCTATCACATAAAACAACAGTGACTCATTTCAGTTTTTTGTTTGTTTCTTTCAGTGACGTCATATTGTCACAATAAACATCCTTAAACATTTAACATTAGTTCATAAGGGTCGAGTTACATTTATAAAATGTTTAGCTGTATGCTCTTGACTGGGCCGACATAGTAATCTAAGGAGCCACAATTAGCTGTGCAGAGCTGCGTCTCTTATGAGTGCCAGACACCTATGATGTGGGTACGAATCCTGGTTCGCCCTGACTATATTTCTGGGTTTGTCAGCATATAACAATCTCGTGGCTTTTATCAAAGTATTCAACTCTAAAACCTACATCACTTCGGGCTTTCCGCCATCATGAGGCTGACACGCCGTGATATAACTGAAATATTGCTCAAAGCGACCTAGCCTAAACAACCAACCCTAACACTGTTTACGGTCAAAGAAGGTATTTGCGACAAGTGGAATAAATAATATGGGGATTCTCAAAAACTCAAAAGATTTGCTTCATTTTTTGCAATCTCAGAAAAGAACCACATTCAATTATGTCATAACCTCTGATTTTTCAGCAACGTACACCACACCATACCACAAACTTAAGGGAAAACGTCATTGCTTGATCCATGGGGTATTTGTCACCAAATGGGTTTCCGTACATATAGTGCGTATATCTGGAGGTCGTCACCCTACATTCGTCTCTTTACTGACTTTACGGATACCATCGGGGACGGGTTGGCCAAAGTGACTCCATAACTTAGGCGTCCCTGGGTGCTGCATTCCTTAGTCATTCAAGAGGCCGTTAGTTCGCCACAAGCAATCAGTTGGTCAGACATTTTCCAATCTCATTCAAATCAGATCTTAGTTCTGCAGCTGGCTACCGCTAAACAAAGATCTGAGGACATCCCATTACGGGTCACGTCAGACCGACCTTGCGCGAACTTTGACCGACCAATGGAATGACCAATCAGAAGGCAGCTTTTTTGTGCTTTACGGCAGTAATTTCAAATTGGCGACTTCGAAAAATTCTCGATTACAAATTTGAAACCTGAACAAAAAAACATTCTGGAATGGCTAATAGATGGTCTAGATTGTAAGGATTCAGTCTTTAAACCCGTAACTATCGTTCGGAATACCCCATGTTAAAGATTTCTAGACTGCATGATTAGAAATCATATTCCGACTGTCAATTTCATCATCTGGTAAGCAACGCTCTGATTGGTCGGATGAAAGGTGATTCTGACGTGACCCCTGATAGGATGTCTTCAGATCTTTGTTTAGCGGTAGCGAGAACTAATGTCTGATTTTAATGAGATTTGACATTTTCAGGCAATAGTCTCTGTTTGGTCATGCAGATGCTACGGTTAATGATTACAACATCAATATTATAGTCAGGAAGAGAATATATGGATTTCAACTTCTTTATTTATGAGGAACACAAGGTTCCGGAGTATATGCTTGCTCCTTTATCAGAGCATTCACCTGAGGAATGAGTCAGTATTCTCCGAAACGTTGTGTTCCTCATAATAAAGAAGCTGACATTCATATATTCTCTTCCTTATGTGTATCACTTCTAAATGCCTTTCAAAGACCAGTCAGCATTTTGTTCGTCGTATCCTTCGTTAGGAAAATTGTCAAAAATGAACGCAAATTTCATCTGAAGCTTACTGAAAAAACAGTGTGTAAAATGCCGAACTCCCTCATTGATACCATCTATGTGAAATGTTGGAACATTCCGTCGGCTCCCCTTCTTGCTGATCTATTTCTTTATACATATGGATTGGAATGAAATAGATTGGCTAACAAAGAACAGGGCATTTTGACCAGAAAGTTTAACTTATGTTCAGCCACGTCTGTTTCACATTTACATATATGAATAACAACTCAGAGTAACAAGAAAAACTCCCAAGTCTGCATGACAGGAGGGATGACGTCAGCGTTGCAATAGTCAAGCAATGGTCCAGCAGCTGAAAACTTTGATCTACATTTCGCAATTTTTCAGATGCAGTCGAGCATCCTTTTTTACTAAGATTTCATTCCGGGGTAGAATAGGTCTTCAGCAACCCATGCTTGCCGTAAAAGGCGACTATGCTTGTCGTAAAAGGCAAATTGGATCGGGTGGTCAGGCTCGCTGACTTGGTTGATGCATGTCATTGATCCCAATTGCGTGGATCGATGCTCATGATATTAATCACTTGATTGTCAGGTCCAAACTCGATTATTTACAGGCCGCCGTCATATAGCTAGAATATTGCTGAGTGCGGCGTAAAACAACAAACCAACCAACCAACCAATTGAGATTTCAAGGAGAGTCATTGGACACTTGCACAAAAGTTGTTTGATCAGGGTAACACCATTCACGTCATCAACAAGGCTTTCAAGAAGTTTCCCATGGAGAATATTTGCCCCACACCGAAGCACATGTAGAACATGTGGTGTCCCCTTAGGAATGTGACTTTGTTCGAAATGGATGTCTGTTCACCCAGCAATGAATGGGTACCCGGTAGGATGTGATGGTGATGTGGCTGTTAACCATCAAAACATCCGGAATGGCATCACAGTCGTCATCAAAACGTCCAGGCTTCCTCTCAAGATAAACTGTTATTACCAATGTGTTACCAATTAAGTCTAAACAATTCAGTTACTTGAACCACTGCAGCATGGGAATCATCATTTAATGAGGTCAAATATTCTTCCATCATCAAACTCAAAGTGTTTTTAGAAATGTAGGTATTAAACGTCAAACTGGAATCTCGTATCACGGAATTGATATATCTTTGTCGCTCTTTATCCGCTACTTATGGATCCCAATTTCGAAAATCAATTGTTTTTCCAACTTCATTCAAGGGGGGCGGTCGGGTAGCCTAGTGGTTAAAGCGTTCGCTCGTCACGCCGAAGACCCGGGTTCGATTCCCGACATGGGTACAATGTGTGAAGCCCATTTCTGGTGTCCCCCGCCGTGATATTGCTGGAATATTGCTAAAAGCGGCGTAAAACCATACTCACTCACTCACTCATGCAAGGGGCAAATGATCAGATTCAGTTCGTGGTGATAATCTCAGGAACATTTCGAAATAAGCCATATGTAATAAGGAATAATCATATATTCATGGCTCCACACAACGCAAGAAGCTGTTTCCCACAAGTGTTTACCACAGTATCACAAGACACTCCATGTCAAATGAATCTTCATCATATTAGATTCATTAACAGGCAAAATTTTGGATCATCGTCAGGATTATAAGTGGGTTCAGCAGCTGTCCTCGCATTAAAGTCTCCATATATGATGTACATAGAATCAGCCGAAGATGTATGTTCACACTAATTTTGTCAACTATGCAATCGCAGGGAATGGTGCGGCCACCATGTTACAGAAATTCGTCAACCCGAAAACAGTGCTTCCAATTCATCTGGACTGAGCTAAATAGGCGCTGTTTTGGGAGAGATCGTAGATACTTGGACTTAAAGAAACGGATAATAAACGTTGCACCAGATGGAGGATTGGTGTGGACAAAACGGGAAAGGGATCCCAGATTTTATCTTAAACATGTGCGCGAAGTGTATCAAAATCCCCCAAACAAAACCAAAAATACATTGGACAAGTGTGGATCTGATGACCAAACTCAGTTTTGTGTGTGAAAATGCTGTGAAAGGAAAGGAAATCCATAATTAAAGTTGTCTTGGAATATGTGTATTGGAGTTTTCTTTTATCGTAAGTACAATATTATCTAGATATGTCTAATGTAGGTCAAAACATCAAGTATATTTCTTTACTTATTTATTAGTTGCTTATGTGCAATGTGATGTTGATACACGTGACATGTTCGTATATTGTAGGCCTAATCAAGCTAAGAAATATTTGTGCAATTCTGGTGCTTCAAATTAGGCCCCTTCCTAAACACTAGTTGAAAAATCTATAATTTAAAGTTTATAAATATAATCTGATTATTGTGTGGTATAAATCTAACTGTTGAATCCAAATGACCAAAACTAAACACATATCTGTAAATTTCTGACTGAACTGAGAGAATCTTGTTGTCAATTTCGTATTTATGTATCGTTATGTATCGTAACCGAAACTATTGATCTGCTGCTGTTCTGCCGTAAAAATGTACAAAACAATACCCTTTGACCACAAACGCATTGAATGTGTCACATGTACACATGACCATGTGCTTTGCTATTTATAGCACAACCGTAAATAAGCTCCGCCCACTGTGATTGATGCAGACGCCAAACACGATCGATTCGATTTTTTATGATAAAACGACAGAAAATTTATCGACTTATATCTAGATATGGAGCCATTTGTGGTATCCTGGGTTTGTCATTCAAGTTGATACAAAGTTTGACGGTCAATGGTGATCTTGTTTGCGTACGGTTTTCAAAAAGCTTCTCCCGACACTCGGTTGTTTACATTGGCAGTCATTGTTCGAAACTGAAAAAAGGCCACCTTGGGGGACATTGATAGTCAGGATGGGGCGTTAACCTCCGCCGCTGGAAACCGCTGTGCTATGTGAAGGTCACACAGAGATTAAACACAGCTTGGTAAACCTGGGGATCACATGCATATTCTGGGCGACTTCCACCCACACTTCGTTCACCTCTGACAGCCACCCGATCCGTGTCTGGCCGCCCGCCTGTGTTACTGAATATACTGCGGAGCTAAATGCTGACACATTAAACCATGTCTCAAGTAAGTTCTTCAGTTGGACCTTAATATGCATAATTATGAAACAGTACACCGTTGGGACACCACACACATATAACACAGCTCAACCTGGTACAGCGAGTATACATTCATGATCCCCGGGGACTTCCACGTCTATTTCGTCCACTATTGACGGCCACCGGATCTCTGTGTCTGCATGTATATCATCGCCGACTCGCCTGTGTTACTGGATATGCTGTAGAGCTATATACTGACACATTAAACCATGTCTCAAGGAGGTTCGTCAGTTTGACCTCAATATGCGTCTGTGTAATCGTGAATCAGCATAGTTTCGTGTGGACTGACGCCATACATGGCCATGCATGGTTTCCATCTTAATATGGCACTCGATTAAACGCAGGCTTCTGTCATATCGCTGAAATATTTCGTTGATGGAGTAAAAAAACAGCCAACAAAACAAACAGACCTATATGCGAATCTAAGTGGACACTGTCGCGTGTTACCTGTCACGACTGCTGTGACCTGGTTCACTGCAGCCTGGAACCTGCCCGGTATCCGTGCCAGCGCTTCAAAACTTATCTCGCTCACCACCGGGGCCAAGGTCCACAAAACAACCTTAGCGTAAAGGTGATCGTAACGCCCATACCATAACATAGGCTTACGATTGTAGCGCTGAGGTCGCTTTGTTGAACGAAGGCCGTGTTTGTCACCTGGATGTCTGGCTACCGTTGTCTACTGTCCTCTGTTTGTGGATAAGCTGTAGAGCTATTTGTGTGTAAACATTCAACCATGTCTCAAGTAAGTTCTTCAGTATGCTCTCAATATGGTAATGGTGAATCAGCATATTTTATGTACAAGCTGACGCCACACACAGTTTTCATTTATATGACAAATATGAGAAAACAATAGCTCCGAGTGTTGCTTGTCGATGGAGGCGACTTAAATGGAACTTCATCTTGTTTGACACCATATCTGCTGCCTAAATACGGGTAAACATAATGGGCGTGCACAAGCAGTTCTCCTCATTAGACGCAGTCACAGGTTCAGCACCGCTTGCGCCATATTTCCATAGCATCGATGGGGTAGCCTAGTGGTTAAAGGGTTCGCTCGTCACGCCGAAGACCCGGGTTCGATTAACAAAAACACAGCTCACATTTTTGGTGTAAATAAAAAACTCGGCTTCCATGTGCTTGAAAAAATATAAGTCAGACTCAGTTAATAGTCTCGACCACAATGTGGCCATCTTCATTAATACTGAGTATTTCGTGAACAAAGCCGTAATCAATGAGATAAAGACATCACCATGAGAGACAATATGTATGTATGTTTTATTTATTAATAATCATTTCAAGAGGCCATATCATGCAGGTCACTGTGTTGTATCTTCGGACAAGGTCATGGCCACCGCTTGTCACACTTTGATATGACTGAAACAGTTGTTGACTGTGATGACAAATGACCACTGAGCATCATTTACCCTCACTTGGAAAACAACAACATAAACATGTATATACATAAAAATAGTTAATTGAAATAACCTATTCTGACGAGCAAAAGAAACGTTACCAACAACATTGTTTGTTCCTAAAAACAGAACAACCAATGTCAAAGAAGATACTTGTATTGTCAAAAGACATGAAATTACAACATCATTACATATTATGCCATGAGAATCAAGTTGGCCTAAAATGTACCTTATAGCAGTTTGAGATGCATCAGTTGTGAGGTGAGGTGAAATTTGGTTTAACGTCGCGTCCAAGATTATTGCACTTATAAAGCGACGTGCATGTGCGATGTGTTTGTGTGGCTGCTTGTACTAGTCCGGACTGATACCGATTTATAGTGCTAGCCCACTGAGATACCAAGCCGCAGTTTAACATGAATACCCTACTCAAACACAGTATACTGACTCCGAGACGACCAGTCCTTGCTCTAGCCCCTTAATGCCGAGCGCCAGACAGGGTCACAACAAGTACCATCTTTTAACGTCTTTTGGTATGACGCGGCCGGGGAACGAACTCCGGACCTTCCGCTCTCCGGGCGGACGCTCTACCACTAGACCACGGAGGCGGTCACGCATCAGTTGTGAGGATGAAGGGTTTGTTTTGGTCGGGATATGCAAGGATGGGGGCGGTTGTAAGGTCTTGCTTTAGATTTTCGATTGCCTCTTGGCAATTGTTGGACCATTCGAAAGACGCATCTTTTTCAGAAGGTTGTAGAGAGGCTGATGCGATGCCTGAAAAGGAGGTGGTGGGGGTTGGGTGGGGAGTGGGATCAGTGTGAAGGATTAACATGGATGCCATCTTTGCTGAAGATATGCCCCAAGTAGGTGACTTGTTTTGTCGCGAACTTGCTTAGTTTTAGAGTGAGTCCTGCTTCTTTGATCTTTTGGAATACTGCTTTGAGGTGATACAAATGTTCTGAAAACGTTTTAGAAAAGAATATATGATGTTATAATATGTAACGCCATTTCATTTCTTTTAGTGCCTGAAATGGTTTACTGAAATGCAATAGATGCATTTTTTAGGCCGAAAGGGAGGCTATCCAATTCAAAAAACACCGTCAGGTGTAATGAAGGCTGACTTGTGTTTTGTTTCTGGATGGAGTGGTATTTGCCAAAAGCCACTAGCACAATCTAGGATACTACAAATGCGGTCATGGCTGCTTATATATAGCATCAAACGCGGTAGAGAGAAAATTATAGGTTGATAACTGTATTGAGGCGTCTATAATCTACGGTAGCGGTAAGAGCTATCCCGCTTTGTAACCATGACAACTGGAGAGTGCTATTCAGAAGAACTGGGCTGAATGATATTGGCTTCTAACAATTCTTGCACCTGTCTGGAACATTCTTTTCTAATGGCTGTGTTTTGCTTATACAAAGGGAGCCTAATGGGTCTGGCTTCAACTGTTTCTATTTTGTGATGATGTAAGTGAGTATGTCCTAATTCTCACCACCCTGAGGCAAAAACTGATCTTTGTGATTGGAGAAATGCATTTTACTGTATACTTGTGTTTTCAATATTGTAACTATTTTTAAAACGCTTTTGAAAACAAAAGCTCATCGACGTTCAGGGGTATTGTTAAAGTGCAAACCACTTAAAAAGGTTTCTTTAAAACTTCATTTAACACAAAATACGTAATTGTTTCAATATGTTTCCAAAGTGCACAGACATTCTCTCTCCTTTTTCTGTTTAATGTACACAGCAAATATTCAGCGTATCCCCCTATTCATAAACCCCCTCCGGAGAGGACCCTTAATCCCTAGCGCTATTTCGAAATGTCTTTTAACTCCTCCTTACGTCGCCGGATCTTACGCATGGTCTTTTCTTATATAAAAATGCTTTATAATACTGTACCCGGGAAGATTCCGGGTTAGAATAGGTCTTCAGCAACCCAAGCTTGCCGTAAAAGGCGACTATGCTTGTCGTAAAAGGCGACTAATGGGATCGGGTGGTCAGGCTCGCTGACTTGGTTGATGCATGTCATCGATCCCAATTGTGTGGCTCGATGCTATGATATTAATCACAGGATTGTCTGGTCAGGACTCGATTATTTACAGACCGCCGTCTTATAGCTGGAATATTGCTGAGTGCGGCGTTAAACAACAAATCAACCAACCAACCAGCTTTATAATACTGCTATTTTCATTGTTCTGTTTTAAAAACACCTACATCTGCACAGTTATTATGTTTTACATGACTCTACCCAACAAACCTGGGAACCGCCACCGCCCCACACACCAAACACCCTACCTCCCCTAAATATGAAATGGTCCGCCCTTATGTTTGGTATATATGAAAACATAGAAGCTGTGCTTAAGATTTTCAATTGTATGCTTTACACATCAGCATCCTCTCTGTCACTTCAGACACACTTAGTGGATACTCCGGACGACGGCGGTGACACACTCACCTCGGTAAACGACAACGGCTTCCTTATGCCCGACATCCCCGGCGGACCAGGCATCCAGGGTGTTCGTTCTGTAAAAATACGCGACGATGACATCATTCTCTGCGCGTTTCCTAAATCAGGTAACATTATAACACACCATGAAACCCACTACCACTGTATATCTGGTAGGATAATGTGTATTTGTTAATAAGTAGCTCTTGTAAGCATATTTCACATCTCAAATGGAATATAAGTTAGAGAGGATATGGTTAAATATCCCATTGTTCTTGGTACATATAACCCGCCACGACCAAACTTATGGGTATAAGAGTGCCTGATATTAAAAATACAATCACTGCTCAAAAGATATCTTGGATTAAACGTTTGTTCATTCAAAATCCACACTTACCACTCTTGATTAATTATATCACTCCAACACAAATTGATTTTCTGCAAAATTGCACTTTTTTAGAAAAAAGGTTATTAATGATAGGACCAATGTATCCTGGAAATATGTTTGTGGTAAAATACGAATATAAGAATACTGAACACACCTGTGTGTTTTAAACATTACTTGGGAATAGGTATTAATCTTATAAATAATTTGATAGATGAGAGTGGGCATTTTTTTAGATCTTTTAGACCTGAAACAGATATATGATTGTAAAAGACATTCTGTGTCATATTATCTTATACAAGCAATAAAACAATATCTCAAATGTAAGAATATATCCCTAAGATCTAAGTTACATCTGCCCTTTATACCATATTTCCTTAAAAACTTAGTGGAGATGGGGAATGTAGTATATTTTATGATATATTAAATAAGGTACCGAACAATATGATATCCCCAAAACACATTCAAAGATAGGTGAGGTGAGGTGAAATGGGGTTTAACGTCGCGTCCAAGATCACTTATATAGCGACGTGCATGTACGTGTATGTGTGTGTGGCTGCTTGTACTAGTCCGAAATGATGCCGATTTATAGTGCTAGCACACTGAGATACCATGCCGCAGTTTAACATAAATACCCAATTCAGAAGCAGTATACTGACTCCGAGCCGACCAGTCCTTGTTTTAGCCCCTTAATGCCGAGTGCCAGACGTCTTTTGGTATGACGCGGCTGGGTATCGAACCCCGGACCTCCCGCTCTACCATTAGGCCACGGAGGCGGTCTTTCAAAGATGGGTACTAGATCTTGCCCTTAACATGATGGGAAAAAATGGCAAATGATTATACGTAGCCCCAACTGATATAACCCGTCATCAAAACAAAATTGGTTCCAATACAGTTTTATTCAAAGAATTATACCAACAAACGAGTTGCTGTTCAAAATGGGATATAAAGAATCATCTCTTTGCAATTTTTGTAAACGAGAAAAACAAACGTTAATGCACATGTTCAAATAAACAAATTTCCTTACAATATTTCCAACACAAACAAACAAGAAATAACCAACTCATATTACATCAACAGAAATATATCATATTCACAATGTAAATACACACAGTTCATACAATTTTGGTCCCTGTCACCATCTTGTCGTGTAAACCCAGGAACTTACACAATTCCAACAAAGATGTCTTGCCATCCTGACACTGGAATATCTTTGTTTGTTATTATCCAAAGATATACTTTGTAACTTATATGTAGTTAAGATTGAATGTGAATTATATTCTGTGAACGTATTCTTTGTGTACTCCAAAAAGAAATAAAATAATATTTTTTAAAATCTATTTAACAAAATCCAAAAAAAATCTAGAGGTAAAAAACATGCAGTATTGTGATGATAAAAGTCTAATTCTCACTCATAGCATCATTCATCATTCATCATTCATTCAAAACAATTTGCTGGTTTCTTAAATTATTCAAATCCGGTGGTTCGAAAAGGACACTTGTCACACGCCATTCTAACAGTACGTGGTCATGCAGATTTGTCACGTGACTTCTTTCTTCTTCCTAGGAACCCACTGGGTGTTTGAAATAACACGAGAACTCCTCACAGGGGAGATAATTGAAGATGACGTCACGATGAGCCAGACTTTCATGGAATTTGGTCCAGAGGAGAGGTATGCCGACCTCCAGTCTCCCAGGATCCTCAACTCCCATTTGCTGATGAAGCATCTGCCAGAAGATGTTATCAACAAGAAAATAAAAGTCATTACCATTCTACGAAATCCAAAGGACGTAGCTGTTTCCTTCTATAATTTCTTGAAAACGGTTCCATTTGCCAAATACAAAGGGGAGTGGAAGAACTTTTTGCGACCCTTGTTTCAGGGAAAGTGTGAGTATCATACTTCTTATAATCCTTCTTTCCTGTAATCCTTTGTTTGTTGCTTAACGCCGCACTCAGGAATATTCCAGCTATATGACGGCGGCCTCTAAATAATCGAGTCTGTCCAGACAATCCAGTAATTGACATCATGAGCATCAATCTACGCATTTGAGAAACGACGACATGCATGAACCAAGTCAGCGAGCCTGACCACCCAGTCCCGTTAATCGCCTCTAACAACAAGCATAGTATCTCAATGCTCGTTCTTGTAATCCTTCTTCCTGTGATCATCATTCTTGTAATCTTTCATTTTGTGAGCACGTATATGTAGGTATAAACATGAAGAGGGATATGAGTCAGTTCAGTTTAACGCCGCACTCAAACGCATTCGATTAGTAGCATTTCGTCCTATTCAAAGGCTATTCTTCCTATAACCCTTCTTCCTATATTCTTCTTTAAGCATTCTTCCTCAATGTTTGTTTCTGTTACAGTTATGTATGAATCATGGATGGACTATGTTATTGACTGGGAGCAAGTGAAGAAGACCAATCCTGATCTGCCTGTGTTGACTCTCTTCTATGAGGACATTAAGCAGGTGCGGTGGGGCAACACTTTGTTGCAGTTTCTTGTTGAACGCCGCTGTCAGCAATATTCCAGCTATAACACGGTGGCTTGTAAATGAGGGAGTTTTCGCCATACGAATCAGTTTAACAAAGCCTTTGGAGCGGATGACGCGCAAGCCACCAAGCGACCCATTTAGTCGCCTCTTGCAACAAGCAAATGTTACTGGGGAATGATTCTAACCATGAGTAGCGAGTATAATGTTCAGCGGGTCATCCTGTGGATACATTAAGCACATATGTCGGGGCAACAAGTGAACACATTAAGCACGTATGTCGGGACAACAAGTGGACACGTGTAGCAGGTATGGCGCGGGAACACGTGGATACATTAATTAGGTATGGTGAAGCAACACGTGGATACATTAAGCAGGTATGGTGGGGCAGCACGTGGATACATTGAAAAGGTATGGCGCGGGAACACGTGGATACATTAGGCAGGTATGGTGGGGCAACACGTGGATACATTAGGCAGGTATGGTGGGGCAACACGTGGATACATTAGACAGGTATGGTGAAGCAACACGTGGATACATTAAGCAGGTATGGTGGGGCAACACGTGGATACATTGAAAAGGTATGGCGCGGGAACACGTGGATACATTAATTAGGTATGGTGAAGCAACACGTGGATACATTAAGCAGGTATGGTGGGGCAACACGTGGATACATTAAGCAGGTATGGTGGGGCAACACGTGGATACATTGAAAAGGTATGGCGCGGGAACACGTGGATACATTGAACAGGTATGGCGCGGGAACCCGTGGATACATTAGGCAGGTATGGTGGGGAAACAAGTGGATACATTAAGCAGGTATGGTGGGGCAACACGTGGATACATTGAAAAGGTATGGCGCGGGAACACGTGGATACATTAATTAGGTATGGTGAAGCAACACGTGGATACATTAAGCAGGTATGGTGGGGCAACACGTGGATACATTGAACAGGTATGGCGCGGGAACACGTGGATACATTAGGCAGGTATGGTGGGGCAACACGTGGATACATTAGGCAGGTATGGTGAAGCAACACGTGGATACATTAAGCAGGTATGGTGGGGCAACACGTGGATACATTGAAAAGGTATGGCGCGGGAACACGTGGATACATTGAACAGGTATGGCCCGGGAACACGTGGATACATTAGGCAGGTATGGTAAGCAACACGTGGATACTTTGAACAGGTACGGCGCGGGAACACGTGGATACATTAAGCAGGTATGGTGAAGCAACACGTGGATACATTAAGCAGGTATGGTGAAGCAACACGTGCACACATTAAGCAGGTATGACGGGGCAACACGTGGACACATTAAGCAGGTACGGTGGGATTACGCTTGGACACATTAAGCAGCTATGGTGGGATTACACGTGGACACATTAAGCAGGTATAGTGGGGCAATACGCGGATACATTAAGCAGGTATGGTGAAGCAACACGTGGATACATTAAGCAGGTATGGCGGGTGAAGTCGTGGACTCATTAAGCAGGTATGGTGGGGCAACACGTGGATACATTAAGCAGGTATGGTGGGGCAACACGTGGATACATTAAGCAGGTATGGTGGGGCAACACGTGGATACTTTGAACAGGTACGGCGCGGGAACACGTGGACACATTACGCAGGTATGGTGAAGCAACACGTGGATACATTAAGCAGGTATGGTGGGACAACACGTGGACACATTAAGCAGGTATGGTGGGGCAACACGTGGACACATTAAGCAGGTATGGTGGGGCAACACGTGGATACTTTGAACAGGTACGGCGCGGGAACACGTGGACACATTACGCAGGTATGGTGAAGCAACACGTGGATACATTAAGCAGGTATGGCGGGGCAACACGTGGACACATTAAGCAGGTATGGTGAAGCAACACGTGGATACATTAAGCAGGTATGGTGGGGCAACACGTGGACACATTAAGCAGGTATGGTGAAGCAACACGTGGATACATTAAGCAGGTATGGTGGGACAACACGTGGACACATTAAGCAGGTATGGTAGGGTAACACGTGGACACATTAAGCAGGTATGACGGGGCAACACGTGGACACATTAAGAAGGTTTGGTAGGGTAACACGTGGATACATTAAGCAGGTATGGCGGGGCAACACGTGGACACATTAAGAAGGTTTGGTAGGGTAACACGTGGACACATTAAGCAGGTATGGCGGGGCAACACGTGGACACATTAAGAAGGTTTGGTAGGGTAACACGTGGATACATTAAGCAGGTATGACGGGGCAACACGTGGACACATTAAGCAGGTATGGTGGGACAACACGTGGATACATTAAGCAGGTATGACGGGGCAACACGTGGATACCTTAAGCATGTAATGTGGGGCAACACGAGGATACATTAAGCACGTATGGACGGGCAACACGTGGATACTTTGAACAGGTATGGCGCGGGAACACGTGGATACATTAAGCAGGTATGGTGAAGCAACACGCAGATACCTTAAGCAGGTTATGGATACCGTTAATGAACAAGTCAAGAGGAGGTGAGGTAAGTGGTAAGCCTGTTGTAATGTCGTATGTATAAAGATAAGATGTTGGAGTGAATTAAACTTGATGTCACTTCAGGATCAGATGCGGGAGATGAGGAGGATATGTGAGTTCCTGGGTGTTGAGAGAACGGATGAGTTCCTGTCTAAAGTCTGTGACAACACAACACTGACGGCCATGAGGACCCACAAGAACAGGGAAAATAATCGAAGCAGCGTTTTTAGAAAAGGTATTGATGAGTTTTCTTTGTTAGCCTACATGTTGGACTCTCCAGGGCAAGACATAAGGTTTTGTAATAAGATATTATCGGCATACTTGCGACTGAAATGGGAATATTTTAAGTGAGTGATATTCATTGGTTTCTGGCCCCTGTCCTGTCTAGCATTCTAGATAGCGACCATGAGACGTAGTAACAGTGCTATAACAAATGGCTTAAAAGTCTGCATGTAGGTATGACAAGAGCACTTGCGTCTGTTTCAGGCGGAGTAGGCGACTGGAAGAACTGGTTCACTGTGGCCCAGAATGAGTGGTTTGATCAGCTCTACCAGGAGAAGATGGCCGGCTGTCACCTTCAGTTCAAATTCACACTGTGATTTGACAGTGTACGTTGGTCGAATCCACGGTCATAGGTTTAAAGAACGCCTTACAAACAGTCCTCAGTGAATTGTGGCGCCTTACACGACTGTGCCACCAGTGCTGGAGGAGGAACTGGCATTATATTAACTCTGCGAGATAACCAATATTTAAGGATTGACTGAGGTATGAATCGAAAAACCGATGTGCAAACTGTATGAATCCGCGTAGTCCAGCAAAGTAACGGCGGACACTACTTCGAGAGAGTGACAGAATGTTATTTAGGCCTCAGTTAGCAATATACCAGACATATATATAGCAGACGGATGGCTGCAAATAGTGAGGTGAGGTGAGGTGAGGTGAGGTGGGGTGAAATGGGGTTTAACGTCGCGTCCAATATTATTGCACGTGCATGTACGTGTGTGTGTGTGTGTGTGTGTGTTTGCCACAAATAAAGGCGTCTGTCATAAGTTTTATTAAAAGTTTGATCTTTTATTAGGAATTATAATTTTAAGAAATGTCTTTCTTTTAACACAACATATCTCAGATCGCTTAAAAGTACTTTTTATAAAGTTTACCGTAAATTGTATTTGATGTTTTTGTTACGGTTTTTAATATAAATCATAAATTCATTACTAAAAGTACTTTCAAATTCAGAAGAAAGAAAAAAATGGCAAATTTTTAATATGTTTTAATTTTATAGCAATATCTTTTAGTTAAGCTCAGATATTTTTCAAGTAGAACTCGATCCCCAGCATTCAAAACAATAGTGCATTAGTATAATTGCCAAAAGCCCATTTTAACAAAATAACAGTACATTTTGAATATGTAAATATGAATAAGAAATGCAAAATGTAAAGACATGGGAGTAGTGAGTATCCAGTTGAATATCTATAATACCGTTTTTATTGCTAACGTATGATATTTACGATACGGAAACACGTGCAGCTAATAATCTCTATATATTTTCGTCTGCAGCTTATTCCAAAAGAACGTCCTTTAGTTGAAGATCCGGGATAGAGTAGGTCTTCAGCAACCCATGCTTGCCGTAAAAGGTGACTATGCTTGTCGTGAGAGGCGACTACCGGGATCGGGTGGTCAGGCTCTCTAACTTGGTTGAAGCATGTCATCGATCCCAATTGCGTGGCTCGATGGTCATGATATCAATCACTGGATTGTCTAATCCAGAATCGATTATTGACAGACCGCCGTCATATAGCTGGAATATTGCGGCGTAAAACAACAAACAGACAAACCTTAATTTGCTATGGAGCCAAATGCATGTCATAGTGACAGTATAGAGCCAGTATATATGTTACAGTGACGGTATGGAGCCAATATGCATGTCATTGTGACAGTATAGAGCCAGTATATATGTTACAGTGACGGTATGGAGCCAATATGCATGTGTTAGTGACAGTATAGAGCCAGTATATATGTTACAGTGACGGTATGGAGCCAACATGCATGTCATAGTGACAGTATAGAGCCAGTATATATGTTACAGTGACGGTATGGAGCCAACATGCATGTCATAGTGACAGTATAGAGCCAGTATATATGTTACAGTGACGGTGTGGAGCCAATATGCATGTGACAGGCAGACAGACAGACAGACAGACAACAGTCACTCATGCGCTACATCATTTTTGAGGGGGCGAATTGGGTTCTAATAATGTTTTGGACAGCAGATCTATCACGTGACGCGTACGCCAGCAAAATGTGTAAGGAAAAGTCCAAAGACCTCTTACATATTTACTTATTTGACCAATGGCACGGGTATGGTGCAGGCTACTGCGGGTCCTGTCATAACTAAGCGACGTAACTCTCCACAGCGAATTTCGGCGACGATACAATAATAAACTTGTGCCAAACCAAACAAAGACAGTGCCAAAATATCCAGGAAAAACAGTGGTGAACCGCCAAGAACGGAACCAGCAGCAGTTACAAGGGTTGGTGCATGGAATAAAAGTATGTTTTTCTTTCTTTTTTATGTAAATTCATATCATAATTTTGCGGAAATAAAAAAGTACATCCTCATCAATGGTGTGTATTTCGTGAGCAAAGTCAAAAAATTTGACAGAGAGACATCACCATGAGAGACAATATGTCTGTAACCTTTATTTATTAGTAATCATTTCAAAGCTTTCATTTCAAGAGACCATATCATACAAGTCACTGTCCTTGGACAATGTTATTGACTCCGCTTGTCCCACTGTGATATGACTGAAACAGTTGTTGGCTCTGATGTGAAATGACCATTAAGCATCATTATATCCTTACCTGGAGATGAGGTGAAATGGGGTTTAACGTCGCGTCCAAGATTATTGCACTTATATAGCGACGTGCATGTACGTGTGTGTGTTTGTGTGGCTGCTTGTACTAGTCCGGACTGATGCCGATTTATAGTGCTAGCTCACTGAGATACCATGCCGCAGTTTAACATGAATACCCTACTCAGACACAGTATTCTGACTCCGAGCCAACCAGTCCTTGTTTTAGCCCCTTAATGCTGAGCGCCAGACAAGTACCATCTTTTAACATCTTTTGGTATGACGCCGTCGGGGATCGAACCCCGGACCTTCCGCTCTCCGGGCGGCACTCTACCACTAGACCACGGAGGCGGTCTCCTTACCTGGAAAAAAATACAACATAAACATATAAATTAGTGAGTGAGTGAGTGAGTTGGGTTTAACGCCGCTTTTAACAGTATTCCAGTTATATCGCGGCGTGTCAGCTTAATGTGGGAAGAAAGCCGGAAGTGATGCAGGTCTCAGACGTTGACCACTTCGGTGAAACCCACGAGCACAGGTATGGTGCTGACAAACCTAGAAACATAATCGCGTCGAACCGGGATTCGAACCCACAATCATAGGTTTCTGGCGTATCCAAGGGACGCAACTCTGCACAGCGAATCGCTCCGCCTTAGACGAGTGGGCCACCCGTGCCCCCACATATATATTATCAAAGATATTTTTTGCAATAACCTACACTGACAAGCAAAAGAAACGTTACCAACCAACATTGTTTGTTCCTCAAAAACAGAACAGAGCCAATGTCAAGGAAGATACTTGTATTGTCAAAAGGCATGAACGAATCAAGTTACGCCATGAGAATCAAGTTGGCCTAAAATATACCCATTTACGGTTTGAGATGCATCGATCAGTTGTGAGGATGAAGGGTTCGTTTTGGTCGGGAAATGCAAGAATGGGGGCTGTTGTAAGGGCTTGCTCTTGACTAGCTTTTCGAATGTCTGTTCCCCGGGGTAGAACAGCATGTGTCCTCAGCACCCCATTGCTGGTCATAAGGGGCGACCGAGTTGAGCAGCCTGTTTGATGTGGGCAGAAAAAGAGAGTCTGGCTGTTGAGGGCGCCGGAACCGGCAATTGTGCTCCTCGAAAGACGTAAATGGCCATTACAAGTTATGACATGAGACTGAGTGAGTGAGTGAGTGAGTGAGTGAGTATGGATTTACGCCGCTTTTAGCATTATTCCAGCAACATCGCGGCGGGGGAAACCAGAAATGGGCTTCACACATTGCATCCATGTCGGGAATCGAACCCGGGTCTTCGGCGTGACGAGCGAACGCTTTAACCACTAGGCTACCCGACCGCCCCTTCATGAGAATGAAGTTGGCCAAAAATATACGTTATTGTAGTTTGAGATCCATCAGTTGGGAGGATGAGAGGTTTGGATTTATCGGGATATGTAAGGATGGGGGCTTTTCGATTGCCTGTTGGCAAATGTTGGACAATTCAAAAGACGCATTTGTTTTCAGAAGGTCGTTTACAGGGGAGGTGATGCCAGAGTGAGTGAGTGAGTGAGTATGGTTTTACGCCACTTTTAGCAATATTCCAGCAACATCACAGCGGGGGACACCAGAAAGGGGCTTCACACATTGTACCCATGTCGGGAATCGAACCCGGGTCTTCAGCGTGACGAGCGAATGCTTTAACCACTAGGCTACCCGACCGCCCAGGTGATGCCAGAAGTAGGTGATGAATTTGGTTGCTTGGTTTTAGTGTGACATTGGAATGGTCAACATCAAGGACATGACATTGGAATGGTCAACATCAAGGACATGACGTTGGAATAGTCAACATCAAGGACGACTCATGACACAAACAAGGGTTTTGAGTTTATTTGTTTCAATAAGCAATTGTATGAAAAGTATCATAAAACAATCAGTTTGTAAATGTATATCTGAAAACAGATAATGTAACCTAATGGTTTAAATAATTCAACAATTCAATAATGAATATATAACTGAAAACATTGTGATGGGGAAAATGGTCCTCTTCAATATTGGGAGTCCAAACGTCGCTATATGCAATAAACCAGAAGTTGTTATCCATAAAGTATGCTTTTCTTAATTATTTGTCTAGATTACCAATCAAACATTAACATGAGCTTAATTAAACACTGACCCCTTTTCGGATGTTTGTGACATTAAAAAAATACTGGTGTGATTTATTGTCGGAAACACAACAAAAGAGTATTAAACTGACAAACAGAATGACTGGCACTACCATCAAATAAATAATGGAGGTTACACTAGCAGTCAATACCGATTCGCTAGGCGAAGAAGTGTAAAAACAGTCATATCAACAACGCTGACGAGTATCGGCACCCAGCCCACACATGAATCGGACTGCCACATAATACAGAGAACAATGGTCATTGTCAACCAAGGAACCACTCTGCAATCAGTATCGGGCATATCCAGTACTGACCGCCTCCGTGGTCTAATGGTAGAGTGTCCGCCCGGAGAGCGGAAGGTCCGGGGTTCGATCCCCAGCCGCGTCATACCAAAAGACGTTAAAAGATGGTACTTGTTGTTACCCTGTCTGGCGCTCGGCATTAAGGGGCTAAAACAAGGACTGGTCGGCTCAGAGTCAGTATACTGTGTCTGAGTGGGGTATTCATGTTAAACTGCGGATGGTATCTCAGTGTGCTAGCACTATAAATCGGCATCAGTCCGGACTTGTACAAGCAGCCACACAAACACACACACGTACACGTCGCTATATAAGTGCAATAATCTTGGACACGACGTTAAACCCATTTTACCTCACCTCACGTATCCAGTACTATCCACCCCTCTCACTGACACCATTCGTGAGTCATCCTCCCATGCAACTGATTGGAAGTCTGATTTTCGACACTGGGATCCCCTGCCATTCCTGGACAATGCCTGGGTCAGTTCATTCAGGTTTTGACATGGACCTCCCACCTGGCGGCCAAGGTAATCCCAAAGGTGTTCAATTGGGTTCGATGAAAGGTCTCATCATTGTCATTGAGAATAACGTCCCTTATTTTTGTCCTTGACTTTGTATGCGCTGTGTTTACTCGCGAGAGGACAATTTAATCGTTCTGAAAATCTAGACCAAAGGGCTTTGACATTATTTTTCGGAATGTGAATTTGAATCAGGTGGTGCTTAACTCATGCTCAAGTGTATAATCTGAGGGAGACAATATATAGGTTCTAATCTCTCAATGATTGTCATGTAATGCTATCTATATCCAATGTAGACATAGATTTTTCCTTCATAGGAAATAAAAATAAATACTTTAAATCATCCCATAAATATAAATGGCAAGACTCCATATTTGGCACACAGGTGAGTACAAGTTCACACAGAATCAGCAATGTCACGTGACCCACACATCTTTCTGGTATCTCTCACATCTCTCAAGGTCAGCCAGATACTGGATGGCCTTGACCTCTGATACACAACCTTGACCTTGTATGACATTGATGAGAGTAGCGTGCACATCATGAGCCATATTCCTTGCATCCCCGCAGATGTAAATGTAGGCACCTTCCTGGAATGGCATCACATGAAGGTGAGGGTCAATTTTGGTTTGTTGTTTAACGCCGCACTCAGCCATATTCCAGCTATATGACGGTGGTCTGTAAATAATCGAGTCTGGACCAGACAATCCAGTGATTGATATCAAGGGCATCATTCCATGCAATTGGGATATGATGACATGCATCGACCAAGTCAGAGAGCCTGACTACCCGATTCCGTTACACACCTCTAAGAACAAGCATAGTTGATCTATTCTACGCCCGATTTTCATGGATCATTGAGAGTCAATGAACACTCTTGACCATGTGAGTGAGTGAGTGAGTTAATGCTTTACATCACATCGGCAATATTTCAGCCATATCGTCACAACAAATTATACGTTTTTAATACATATATTAAAACTAAATAAAAACCTGTCGTCAATGGACATTAAAATTACTAGAATATCACAGATGCATATTCAGAACTAGCATACAACTATAAAAAGATATCACTATAAGTAACGGTACAATATAAAAAAGGGCTATAGATCACCAGCAGCTGACTCTTGACTATGAGTGAGTTTTTTGAAGATATCTGGTACTGTTAAATTTTAGAAACTTTGACAAAAGTTATCCAGATATTTAAATGACAACTTTTTATGCAATGTTACTTGGGGTGATGTTTCTTTTGTGGTTCAGTATATATCTAAATGTTCCTCCTTGGAAGAGAGTAATGTCATGTAAGAATGAAGACAAATACCCCTTCATATTCATCCCAGGAGGAAACTAATGCCATGTAAGACCCGTGAAGATTCGGGGTAGAATAGGTCTTCAGCAACCCATACTTGCCGTAAAAGTCGACTATGCTTGTCGTAATAGGCGACTAACGGGATCGAGTGGTCAGGCTCACTGACTTGGTTGATACATGTCACCGATCCCAATTGCGTGGATCGATGCTCATGATGTCAATCACTGGAATGTCTGGTGCAGACTCAATTATTTTACAGACCGCCGTCATATAGCTGCATGGAATATTGCTGAGTGCAGTATTAAACACCAAACCAACCAACCAACTAATGTCATGTAAGCGTGGCAATCCTTATGGGGATGCATATCTCTTCATGTTCCTCCCAGGAGGAAACTAATGTCATGTAAGCGTGGCAATCCTTTTGGGGATGCATATCTCTTCATGTTCCTCCCAGGAGGAAACTAATGTCATGTAAGCGTGGCAATCCTTTTGGGGATGCATATCTCTTCATGTTCCTCCCAGGAGGAAACTAATGTCATGTAAGGGTGGGTATGCTTATCTCTTCATGTTCCTCCCAGGAGGAAACTAATGTCATGTAAGCGTGGCAATCCTTTTGGGGATGCATATCTCTTCATGTTCCTCCCAGGAGGAAACTAATGTCATGTAAGGGTGGGGATGCATATCTCTTCATGTTCCTCCCAGGAGGAAACTAATGTCATGTAAGGGTGGGTATGCATATCTCTTCATGTTACTCCCCGGAGGAAACTAATGTAATGTAAGGGTGGGTATGCATATCTCTTCATGTTCCTCCCAGGAGGAAACTAATGTCATGTAAGGGTGGGGATGCATATCTCTTCATGTTCCTCCCAGGAGGAAACTAATGTCATGTAAGGGTGGGTATGCATATCTCTTCATGTTCCTCCCCGGAGGAAACTAATGTTATGTAAGGGTGGGTATGCATATCTCTTCATGTTCCTCCCAGGAGGAAACTAATGTCATGTAAGGGTGGGTATGCTTATCTCTTCATGTTCCTCCCAGGAGGAAACTAATGTCATGTAAGGGTGGGTATGCATATCTCTTCATGTTCCTCCCAGGAGGAAACTAATGTCATGTAAGGGTGGGTATGCATATCTCTTCATGTTCCTCCCAGGAGGAAACTAATGTCATGTAAGGGTGGGTATGCATATCTCTTCATGTTCCTCCCAGGAGGAAACTAATGTCATGTAAGGGTGGGTATGCATATCTCTTCATGTTCCTCCCAGGAGGAAACTAATGTCATGTAAGGGTGGGTATGCATATCTCTTCATGTTCCTCCCAGGAGGAAACTAATGTCATGTAAGGGTGGGTATGCATATCTCTTCATGTTCCTCCCAGGAGGAAACTAATGTCATGTAAGCGTGGGTATGCATATCTCTTCATGTTCCTCCCCGGAGTAAACTAATGTCATGTAAGGGTGGGGATGCATATCTCTTCATGTTCCTCCCCGGAGGAAACTAATGTCATGTAAGCATGGGGATGCATATCTCTTCATGTTCCTCCCCAGAGGAAACTAATGTCATGTAAGGGTGGGTATGCATATCTCTTCATGTTCTTCCCAGGAGGAAACTAATGTCATGTAAGGGTGGGGATGCTTAACTCTTTATGTTCTTCCAAGCAGGAAACTGTGTCATGTTTTGCTTGCAAGGGAACATCCTTAAACATAAACAGATCCAGTTTATTTCAAAAAGTTTTTAGCAAACTGAGCATGGCCAGTCCCAGTATTATCTCTACACCACTGCTCAACAGCCATGGCAAGTTACTGAGCTGTGGTCACTGACCTGGCTGATGAGGGTCCAGATAACCTGGGCGTCCTCCTGCAGGAGATGCTGGACATACACCTTGCTCCGTCCCTCCCGAGAAAATGCCGTCCTCAGTCGAATAGTGCCAGCTGCTGACAGTCTCTCTGACAGATGGTATAGGATATATGTGAGTAATGAATTCTCCCTGACATGATATAGGATATATGTGAGTAATGAATTCTCCCTGACATGATATAGGATAAATGTGAGCAATGAATTCTCCCTGAAATGATATAGGATATACGTGAGTAATGAATTCTCCCTGACATGATATGGGATAAATGTGAGCAATGAATTCTCCCTGACATGATATAGGATATATGTGAGTAATGAATTCTTCCTGACATGATATGGGATAAATGTGAGCAATGAATTCTCCCTGACATGATATAGGATATATGTGAGTAATGAATTCTCCCTGATATGAAATAGGATATTTGTGAGTTATGAATTCTCCCTGACATGCTATGGGATAAATGTGAGCAATGAATTCTCCCTGACATGATATAGGATATTTATGAGTTATGAATTTTCCCTGACATAATATGGGATATATGTGAGCAATGAATTCTCCCTGACATGATAGAGGATATATGTGAGTAATGAATTCTCCCTCACATGATAGAGGATATTTGTGAGTTATGACAACACTATCAATCTGCTGCTTTACTGACAACTTTCCTTACATACTTTAAGACATTAACAATTCTCACTAACCAAGTTCATCACGGTACAAGAAATCTTTGTCTCTGCAACGGCAGCCAAAATATAGGAAAATCTTGCCATGGGCTGGTTCATGTTCTGGTGAAGGAAAAGGAAAACATGAATAGATTTTCTTCTTCAATACAATTGTGATTATGAATATATTTCTACTTTAACACAATTGTAATGATGAATATATTTCTACTTCAAGGAGCCCGGGTTCGCCCCGATTATGTTTCTAGGTTTGTCAGCACCATACCCATGCTCATGGGTTTCACCGAAGTGGTAAACATCTAAGACCTGCATCACTTTGGGCTTTCCTCCCACATTAAGGTGACACGCCACGATATAATTGGAATACTGTTAAAAGCGGCGTTAAACCCAACTCACTCACTCACTCACTCACTCACTCACTCACTCACTACTTCAAGGGCAATGCAAAACATGACTATTTCTACTTCAATGCAATTCTGATGATGAAAAATATTTTTACTTCAAGGGCAAGGCAAAACATGACTATTTCTACTTCAATGCAATTCTGATGATGAAAAATATTTTTACTTCAAGGGCAATGCAAAACATGACTATTTCTACTTCAATGCAATTCTGATGATGAAAAATATTTTTACTTCAAGGGCAATGCAAAACATGACTATTTCTACTTCAATGCAATTCTGATGATGAAAAATATTTTTAATTCAAGGGCAATGCAAATCATGACTATTTCTATCTACTTCAATGCAATTCTGATATGAAAATATTTTTACTTCAAGGGCAATGAGTGAGTGAGTGAGTGAGTGAGTGAGTGAGTGAGTGAGTGAGTGAGTGAGTGAGTGAGTGAGTGAGTGAGTGAGTGAGTGAGTGAGTGAGTATGGTTTTACGCCGCTTTTAGCAATATTCCGGCAATATCACAGCGGGGGACACCAGACATAGGCTTCACACATTGTACCCATGTCAGGAATCGAACCCAGGTCTTTTGCGTGACGAGCCAACGCTTTAACCACTAGGCCACACAGGGATGGAGTTTTGATGGTTTGTTGGTTTGTGTCACACAGCAATGTTACAGCTATATGACAGTAGCCTGTAACTAATCAAGTCTGGGCCAGACAAACCAGTGTGTAATATTAGGAGCATGCCATCAAGGAATGATAACACAATCAAATAAGTCTTGGAGCCTGACCATCTGACCCATTAAGCCATCTGTTACAAGAAACAGGATGCTGGGTCTATTTCTAACCAGGAGGGAGATGTAAGTGAACTGACCTCGCTCCTGCATGAAGGCTCGGAAGGGAGCCAGTCCTGTCCCTGGACCAATGAGGATAATCGGAGCTACAACATCTTTGGGCAACCGGAAGTCATCGTTCGGACTGATGAACACTGGACACATGTCTCCTACAGTCACTCGATCCTGGAGGTCACAGGTCGTCACCCCCGACCTTGAGACACCCAGTGTTTCATAGCGCACCACTGCAGCCGTAACACATACAGTGTTCCTGTCCTGTATGAAGAGCAAGATGTCAGATAGATAGTACTCAACACATGAGGGGAGGATGATATAGAGAGGTACTCACCACGCGAGGGGAGGATGATATAGAGAGGTACTCAACACATGAGGGGAGGATGATATAGAGTGGTACTCAACACATGAGGGGAGGATGATATAGAGTGGTACTCAACACATGAGGGGAGGATGATATAGAGTGGTACTCAACACATGAGGGGAGGATGATATAGAGTGGTACTCACTACGCGAGGGGAGGATGATATAGAGTGGTACTCACCACGCGAGGGGAGGATGATATAGAGAGGTACTCACTACGCGAGGGGAGGATGATATAGAGAGGTACTCACCACGCGAGGGGAGGATGATATAGAGAGGTACTCATCACACGAGGGGAGGATGATATAGAGTGGTACTCAATCCTCGAGGGGAGGATGATAAAGAGTGGTACACAACACATAAGGGGAGGATGATATAGAGTGGTACTCAACACATGAGGGGAGGATGATATAGAGTGGTACTCAACACATGAGGGGAGGATGATATAGAGTGGTACTCATCACACGAGGGGAGGATGATATAGAGTGGTACTCAATCCTCGAGGGGAGGATGATAAAGAGTGGTACACAACACATAAGGGGAGGATGATATAGAGTGGTACTCACTACGCGAGGTGTGGATGATATAGAGTGGTACACAACACATAAGGGGAGGATGATATACAGAGGTACTCACTACGCGAGGGAAGGATGATATAGAGTGGTACTCACTATGCGAGGGGAGGATGATATAGAGTCGTACTCACTATGCGAGGGGAGGATGATATAGAGTGGTACTCAACACATGAGGGGAGGATGATATAGAGTGGTACTCATCACACGAGGGGAGGATGATATAGAGTGGTACTCACTACGCGAGGTGTGGATGATATAGAGTGGTACACAACACATAAGGGGAGGATGATATAGAGAGGTACTCACTACGCGAGGGAAGGACGATATAGAGTGGTACTCACTATGCGAGGGGAGGATGATATAGAGTCGTACTCACTATGCGAGGGGAGGATGATATAGAGTGGTACTCAACACATGAGGGGAGGATGATATAGAGTGGTACTCATCACACGAGGGGAGGATGATATAGAGTGGTACTCACTACGCGAGGTGTGGATGATATAGAGTGGTACTCAACACATGAGGGGAGGATGATATAGAGTGGTACACACTACGCGAGGTGTGGATGATATAGAGTGGTACTCAACACATGAGGGGAGGATGATATAGAGTGGTACTCACTACGTGAGGGGAGGTACTCAACACATGAGGGGAGGATGATATAGAGAGGTACTCACTACACGAGGGGGAGGTACTCAACACATGAGGGGAGGATGATATAGAGAGGTACTCACTACGTGAGGGGAGGTACTCAACACATGAGGGGAGGATGATATAGAGAGGTACTCACTACGTGAGGGGAGGTACTCAACACATGAGGGGAGGATGATATAGAGAGGTACTCACTACGCGAGGGGAGGATGATATAGAGTGGTACTCACTACGCGATGGGAGGATGATATAGAGTGGTACTCACTATGCGAGGGGAGGATGATATAGAGTGGTACTCACTACGCCAGGGAAGAATGATATAGAGTGGTACTCAACACATGAGGGGAGGATGAAGTAAAGTGGTACTCAACACATGAGGGGAGGATGATATAGAGAGGTACTCACTACGCGAGGGGAGGATGATATAGAGTGGTACTCAACACATGAGGGGAGGATGATATAGAGAGGTACACACTACGCGAGGGGTGGTACTCAACACATGAGTTGTGGATGATATGAAGTGGTACTCACCATGCGAGGGCAGGATGATATAGAGTGGTACTCACTACGCGAGGGGAGGATGATATAGAGTAGTATCTGGGCTGCAGTGGACGTAGGCAGGTTAGAACGTCACAAAGAGTGAGGCCAACCGACTCAAACTCAGAAACAATGTCCCTCACTTCTCTCTCATCCAGGTAAGCGTGTAATGCAGTGTTCGCTTTGGCCAACTGGGTGTAGAAGAAAGCTGATCTAGAAACACCTTATTTTGTACCTGATCTAAGAACACCTGGCCAACTCCACATCTTCTCCCCTCACCCTCCACCCCACCCTAAGTTGTACCTGATCTAAGAACACCTGGCCACCTCAACACCTTCTCCCCTCACCCTCCACCCCACCCTAAGTTGTACCTGATCTAAGAACACCTGGCCACCTCAACACCTTCTCCCCTCACCCTGCACCCCACCCTAAGTTGTACCTGATCTAAGAACACCTGGCCACCTCAACACCTTCTCCCCTCACCCTCCACCCCACCCTAAGTTGTACCTGATCTAAGAACACCTGGCCACCTCAACACCTTCTCCTCTCACCCTCCACCCCACCCTAAGTTGTACCTGATCTATGAACACCTGGCCACCTCAACACCTTCTCCCCTCACCCTCCACCCCACCCTAAGTTGTACCTGATCTAAGAATACCTGGCCACCTCAACACCTTCTCCCCTCACCCTCCACCCCACCCTAAGTTGTACCTGATCTAAGAACACCTGACCACCTGCACACCTTCTCCCCTCACCCCACCCTAAGATGTACCTGATCTCAGAACACCTGGCCACCTCAACATCTTCTCCCCTCACCCTCCACCCCACCCGAAGTTGTACCTGATCTAAGAACACCTGGCTACCTCCACACCTTCTCCCATCTACCTGATACTTCATACCATGTGGACAATATGAATCTTTGAAACCGTTAAGCAACTTCAAGAAATTTTTACATACATTTTTAAATTATCAAATTTTCTCTCACTCGATCACTATGAATATACAATTAACGATTTTACAAAATATATCTCTGCTACAATACCACTCGAACCAACATATTTACCCCCTTGTCCAGAAGCTTCTGAAGACTGTCTGTGTGTCTGCTGTCTTTATTGTGTATCTTCTGGAGTAGCTTTGGTGGAACATGCTTGATGTCATAATACCGCAACAGAGCTTCCTCCACGCTCACCTTTTCTGCATGGACAGTATAGATATTGGCAGTTGGAGACAAGGCGAGCAAAGGTTTGTGCGTGTTGGGAGTTGGGGGTGGCGAGACACCTTGTCTGCATGGACAGTATAGATATTGGCAATTTGAGACAAGGTGAGCAAAGGTTTGTGCGTGTTGGGAATTGGGGGTGGCGAGACACCTTGTCTGCATGGACAGTATAGATATTGGCAATTTGAGACAAGGCGAGCAAAGGTTTGTGAGTGATGGGAGTTGGGGGTGGAGAGACACCTTTTCGGCATCGACAGTTTAGATATTGGCAATTGGAGACAAGGCGAGCAAAGGTTTATGCATTGGAGTGGAGAGAGAAAGGATGATTTGCACTGCAATCAGTATTAATCCAGCTTTATCACATCTTCCTGAGGCAAAGGATTTAACTGACTGTAAAAGTCCAGTTTGCACCCTTGGTCAACTAGGCTGGAATTTTGTGGCTCGAACATAGCGCCATCAGTAGCTATTACGAGTTATATCCCTTCTATGTCCCTCCTACTGACCAATCAGATTCCACCTATTATATTACTTGCATTTGCTTCAAACAAAATGGCGGTCCCCAGTCAGGAAGATCTGATCGATAATCAAGATCTATATTGAAATAAAACAGGTCTACATGAGCACCTTGATTACAAACATGAAAAGATTTGGAAAATATCTGCTGATGCCGAGTTGGCAGTAAACATGCTTTGCAAATCATGAAATTAGTCCGTCCGTCTGTCCGTCCGTCGCCAGGGTAAGAGGACACACCATCAACCCAGTCACCGAGTCTGAAACCAAATCTATGTGGTCACCTCTTACAACCAGCAGAGGTTGCTAGTGACCTATTCTAACCCAGAATTCCCACGGGGTGTTGAAGCGACATACAACAAAACCTAGTTATCTCCGGGAAGGTTAATGGTGGGAACATCTTCACCTACATTACCCACAATATGTCAATCAAAATGGTTTCCCACACAGTTCTGGCTCTACCACATTTCTACATTTTTATATGCCAGAATAAACAAAACTTCAAATCCTTGTCTGGGCCCTGTTGCACAAAGCAATCCTAGCGCTAAGGTGATCCTAACACCTACATTTTAAGATAGCCGTAGCGCTAAGATCGCTTCGTGCAACAGGGTCCTGAACGAAAATGTAGTGAGATTTACGTTTTTTTTCAGTTTTTCTTTATTAGGATCATAATCCTTTTTTCAAAAACTATCATTAAACAACGGTAACCCACAGTACCTGGTGCTGGTTCATACGCCCAGGGTGGCGTGTCCACCTCCATCTCAGGAGGCACCCCCAGAGTGGACAAGATGGCCGCCACGTGTGCTGGGTCATTCTGTGGGTAGATTCCTACAGCATCTCCTGCAACACAAGGCCTGACTGGGAGACTGAGGTTGTGAAGGCAACAAGAATTAGCTCACCAAACTGCCTCCCAACATTCTACAGAAGAACAGCGATTGGAGAAACCAGTAGTGATAGTGTAAGAATATATATCCACATCGTAGGATGATGTTGTCATAGCGACTGATTTACGACATCCATTGTCTGAAGAACATTTAATTGCAAAGGCTCATTACCCTGGAGCCATGACATCTATATGCCTTGAAACATTTAATTGCTGTTATTTATAAGATGCTTATCCTAATTGTTAATCCCCATTTTTGTGTACATCGACCAACTGTCATCCTGAACAGGATGTGCAAGTATGTCACTGATGATTTACTGTTTACATTTATATTTATTACTTACTAAATGTCAGGTGACCTTGGCTATATAAGCCTTGGTCCAGAGAGGAGAGTAGAAGAGGAGAGAAAGGAGAAAAAGAAAGGTCTTACCCTTAGCCTAACCCTAGCTAGGCTAACAGCAATTAAGTGTTTCAAGGCATATAGATGTCATGGCTCCAGGGTAATGAGCCTTTGCAATTAAATGTTCTTCAGACAATGGATGTCGTAAATCAGTCGCTATGACAATGTGATCATTTTCACACCCATTCAATGGTAGTTGCCTACTGTCACGACCAATCCCACTTTATTACCTACGAGGGCAAACATATCGGTCTTTATAAAAATCATATGTGCCCTAGGGTCATATCACGTCATGAGACAACAGTGCATTGTTTCCGTCATCCACACGGCATTGTTGATATCATTCGATTCTTATTGTGACGTGAGGTCGGAATGACGTCACACTAGAAACGATGTCATAACTGAAGATTGTTAACATCAATTGACAAATTGTGGTTCCGCTGCTGTTGTGTCTTAAAATTCGTCTCTGTATGAAGACATTTTCTTCAGAAATAAAAATAACATTTAATTTGTGTTCATGTCATACTATGTTTATGACACTCGTGCCTAATTTCCGGTATTTAGACACTCACGTCGTAAACATATTTACCTGCTGTCCAGATCTCTCCCCATGTAATTACCCATTGTCCAGTTCCCCTCCCCCCATATTTACCTGCTGTCCAGATCTCTCCCCATGTAATTACCCATTGTCCAGTTCCCCTCCCCCCATATTTACCTGCTGTCCAGAACTCTCCCCATGTATTTAACCATTGTCCAACCATAGCCTGTTTTAATACTGTGCCTACTACATTCTGTGTTTAACCTGTGCCTACTTGTCTGTGTTTATCCTGTGCCTACTACATTATGTATTTATACTGCGCCTACTTGTCCGTGTTTATCCAGTGCCTACTATTGCATTTTTATCCAGTCTCTACTACATTCTGTGTTTATCCTCTGCCTACTTCTCCGTGTTTATCCTGCACCTACTATAGCATGTTTACCCTGTGCCTACAATACCTACCACAAGTTTGGCCATGAAAGGCTTGTGTCTACTGAATCCTGTGTTAATGTCTGATGGCCTGATGTCAAGATAGTCAAAGGTCGGTGACACACTGACATTGGTCACAGCTGACAACACATCACTCGTCCACTGGTCAATCACTGGCCACTCCTCCTGGTCTACATCCTGGCACTTTACAATCGGCACAGCTCCGAGTTCTAGAAGTCTGTAAACAGATGCCTGGCTGAATGGACAAACGAGCCTGGGATTTTTTTTAAAAATAATTTTGTGAAAAAATAATTTTGACTCAAGTTTAACAATAAATCTTAAATTGTGTGCTTGTCTTGCTGGATGGTGTGAACAAAAGCACCAAATCACTAACAATTTTATAATAAAACTAAAACCCAAGCACATCGGTAGACAAAATACAATGTACAAATATAGGGCCACAGATTAACATATTAATTTGAAGATGTCTAAACAAGGCTTGGACTCATCTTCTTGCGGCAAGGGAGTTAACTATTGAAGTCCAGTTTCCACCCTTGCTAAACTAGACTGGAATTCTGGAGTTACATTTTGTCTGGACTAACGAGTCTATGCATAGTCCAACGAACTACACATTCAGTTCTTAATCAACATGGATTTCAATGTGCAGATTTCACTCGACTGCAGGATTTGCAAAGGATGTGTACGTTCAACTTGGCGTCGACAGAAATTTTGCAAATCTTTTCATGTTTCTTATCAAGTGATTTGATGCACTTCGCAAGGTAGCACTTGTTTTACTACAAAAGAGATCTTGACTTTCAAACAGATCGTCATGACCGGGCGCCGCCATTTTCTTTGAAGTAAATGCAAGTGATACGAGAGGTGGAATCTGACTGGTCAGTAGGGGAGACATAGAAGGGACTCAACATATTATAGCCACTGCTGGCGCTACGATCGAGCCCAGAAATTCCAACCTAATTCGGCAAGGATGGAAACTGGACTTTTAGAGTGAGTGAGTGAGTGAGTGAGTGAGTTGGGTTTAACGCCGCTTTTAACAGTATTCCAGTTATATCACGGCGTGTCAGCTTAATGTGGGAGGAAAGCCTGAAGTGATGCAGGTCTCAGACGTTTACCACTTCGGTGAAACCCACGAGCACGGGTATGGTGCTGACAAACCTAGAAACATAATCAGGGCGAACAGGGATTCGAACCCACAATCATAGGTATCTGGCGTGCCCAAGGGACGCAACTCTGCACAGCGAATCGCGGCGCCTTAGACGACTGGGCCACCCGTGACCCCTGGACTTTTAGAGGAAGATGGGGTTAGACTATGTACAGATATCTCTGACATCCACCTACCTGGCACTGACTGTTCTCCCTGTATGGCAGTAGTGGGGGTAGTTGGAATCCCCTAGGGCCAGTACGGAGAAGTTGAGATGTGCAAGCGGCTTTGTCATGGCTAGCAAGCTGTCATAGAATGGCCGGGCTTCCGACGGGGGCACACCTGCAGGTGCACAGTATCAACAATGGATAATAGTGTTCCCTCATGTGAAATTACATAAGGAAGGACACCTGCTTGTGCACAGTATCAATAATGGATTAAATAGTAGAGTATTCCCATATGTGAAATTACAGTAGAGAGGGCACCTGCAGGTGCACGGTATCAATAACAGAAAATAGAGTAGATAATTTCCATATGTGAAATTACAGTAGAGGGGGCACCTGCAGGTGCACAGTATCAATAACGGAAAATAGAGTAGATTATTTCCATATGTGAAATTACAGTAGAGGGGGCACACCTGCAGGTGCACAGTATCAATAACGGATAATAGAGTAGAGTATTCCCATATGTGAAATTACAGTAGAGAAGGCACCTGCAGGTACACAGTATCAATAACAAACAATAGAGTAGAGAATTCCCATGTGTGAAATTACAGTAGAGGGAGCACCTGCAGATGCACAGTATCAATAATGGATTCTAGATGTACATGGAATTACAATAGAGAGGGCACCTGCAGGTACGCAGCATCAATGATGCATCTTAAGAGTGTTATTTTCAAACCTTAAGGCCCAGTAGGTTGTTCTCACTCACCATCACCACTGGTTGAGATGATGATCAGGCACAACTGTTCAGTATTCAGGTCAACATGGGAAAAGTTCCGGACATTAACCAGCCTGGGTTGCCAGGGATACTCATTCTGGCTGGATGGTTCCAGGTCACATAATCTGACAGGAAACAAAGCAATTTGTGAAACACAACGTTTATGTTTATAGTAAACATAAAGAGCAAGTAAACACAACATAGCAACTTTGCAGATCTTAATACTCTAGTTCTTACTTAATCATAAACATTTAACCAAACTTAAATCTGAAAAAGAGAAATACCGTAAAATAGACAATAAAAAATGACTGGCAGACAGAAAAATACGCCCCTAGGGGGAATCCCCTTGCTGAGGGTAAAAATGGGTTCCCGGTGTTTGATGACTAAGTGTCCAGATAATACTGGAAAAAACTAATTTTGATCTAGACCTTACACAAATACAACAATTTGTTGGCTGGACACCATGTGTTGGTCGAAAATGATTGTTAGCAGGTTAGGATCCTCCTTTCAGAATAAAATACTGAATTCCTTGTAGGGTAGGGACGGGTAACTCGGGTACTTGGGTCAGGTTTGTCCTGATTTGGACCTGGGTACCCACAGGAAAAACCAAACCCATGGTTAGTCATGTCATAAATTGTTTAATGACAATAATAGTCCTGTTTACATGTGATGTTATTACACAATGGGTAACACAGCTCATATTTGTTATAGTGACCTCCAATAGGTGAGTGATATAATGTGACATGATACAGGATAAGCGCCTCATTAACCATGTTACTTCCTGTGTCTGCAAAAGCCTCATTAATGAGAGTCAACTTAACATTATTCTGATGTGTTCAAACAGCTGATTGGACATAGATGCATAGAACAGATATAGAGCTTACTTGTTGAACAAAGTTTTGGCCAGTTCTTCACTGAATCCATATTCTGTTCCATACAGCACCAAAATCTGCCGGCCAATGCAGTCATACCGCCTGTAGTATTGATTGACTCGAGGGCTTTTCTCACTTCTAGCGTCAGGCTCACTGACATCTGACAGCATTAATTGCCAAGATACATATATATTTTCAGGCTTTTCAATAAGACAACAGACAGAATGAAACAAGTAATTTTTCAAATTAAACAACATTAAAATGTAAAGTCTAAAATTCTTAAGCTGCCAAATACTAATCAACAAATATTGCCCTTGAATCTTTTAATTTTTAATGGTACAATTGAAAAGAACCCATAGCCTGGGTTGTATTCCATAGCTGCCAGGATTGGCTTTCAGGGTTCTGAATCCGAGCTAGTTTCACCGTGATTATTATCCTTGGTGCTTCTACATTACGAATGGTTTTCCCATTACAAATAGGAGGGGTCAGGTACCCTAGTGGTTGAAGCGTTCGCTCGTCATGCCAAAGACCCAGGTTCGATTCCTGACATGGATGCAATGTGTGGAGCCAATTTTAGGTGTCCCCCACCGTGATATTGCTGGAAGATTGTTAAAAGCGGCGTAAAAACCATACTCACTCACTCACTCACTCATTACAAATGACAGTTTCTCTGTGGGACAACAATGTCCCAGTTGCTTTCTCCTTTCATCTCCATCTTTTATTATCTGGGATTGTATTGATTTCAGCAACCTGTGTTTGTCATATAAAGTGGCTTAATGTATCAGGTTGTCAGGGCTGGGTGACCTGGTTGGTTGTACGTCCTCATATCCCGCTCATAACATTATCATCTGTTCCAGATTTATTTACAGGATAATCATGATAATGTCATACATCTGGAATACTGCTGAAAGCAGCTCATCGTGAGAATACTGCCGAGTGCTGGCACGTTAAGAAATCATTAAGCATCACATATTTTCATATTTGATTAAATACTTAATATATGGCAGATATTAGTTTTATATCAAATAAAAATCTTCAGGAAAGGATTGTGGTTACTGTCTTCTTTGTTTTATGGTCTCTTGCATATATCAGAAAAATGTAACAAGTCGTACCAGTGTCGATGAAAGCATCTATAGATGTATCCTTGTTTAGATTATCAGGTGAAGATCTCACAGTTCTCCAAATGTAATAGAAAATACCCACAACTCCAACTACTGTGTACCACATTCTAGGTGGACTTCAGTTACAACCCTGCAGACAGCTGATCGTGGAGATTTTCTCTAGTCTAATCTAACCATTCAAAATGTAAGTCAGAAACAAAACAGCCAATCCCCAAATCCGTTCATTGTTAATTATCATCTGTTCCATATGTGGTGCTTCCGTAGACATACACTTTCGATGAATTAAAACAAGTATATTTGATTAAGTAACAGTTTTTGTTTTATTATTTGAAGCCAAGGGATGATTTGTAGTTTGCTGCAAATCCGACACCGCACTTTGGCAGACTTTCTGACAGGTCGATCTGTAACCGCCCACTTTGACTGACTTCCAGTCAGTCGGTAACTGAACACTCCGAAACCGAAACGAGAAAGGACAACGACGCAGCTAGCAATGATATTGCCACACTGTCAATAGGTTTTCAATATCAGTCTCACACATGAACTACTGCCACAACGACCATCTTTATTGGTACATAAGTTCGAAGTCAAACGTTCAGCCAAGCAGCAGTCGGCTAGGTCAAAGGTTGAAAATATGACCGGAAGTAAACAACACTGCACTCTTCAACTTCAGAGTCACAAAACTGTTTTTGCAATATAAATTCCATTAAAACGAATCAAGAATCACTATTAATGTAAAATAATTAAGACACTTAACCCACTTTGAATAAATGTCCCCTAAAGAATGCAGTTGGTACAACGACTACTTTATACGCTTTATCAAGTAAGTGGTACTATGTAGCAATCACAATTCGTTTTTTCACACTACTGGCAACGATCATAAATGGCGGGGAATTTGGTGTCAGGATTGTCAACTGTAAACCTACAGTACGTAAAAGATAATTGACGACAGCTTGTCAGTAAAACTCTGCTCGTTGGAATTAAACACTTCCATATTCATGCATTTATAGGTCCCTTTTATATTTATAACTGATGCTATGTAGGGTGGCTAGTTAGTATTTGGTGACCGAAAAAAACCCGTTACTGATATTCAGTGATTTGGTAGCCTACTGGTAGGAAAGAAAGTTACAAGGATGAAGTTATAAACCTTTTGTTTAAAGCATTTATGGCTCTCGATGGTTCTCCACACAGGTTGTTGGTTTGTTATATCTTCTTGCCGAAAGTGTTTTTCCCATTACTTTTATTCCTAAAATCTAGAATTTCACTGATAATGGGACCAATAATATAGAGATAGTGGAAGAGGCTTTTGGGGCCTATTCGACGTAATCAGCGGTAATAAGCGCCCACGGCGATATTTGCTCATATGTTGGCTAGTGAACAATCCCAATTAGCACCCTCCTGATGGATCAATGTACACAAGACTTATTTAATCGTGTATAATACGCACTCGTGTGTTATATGCACCCTAAATTACAGGAAGTTAAATTCTGGAAAAATATATCTGTCGTGTATATTTAATACGCATTTCAGTCTGTAAGCATAAACCACAAAATTTACGATCTTTCAACTCTTTCACCCAAATTATATTCTGATAAGAGCCCCCTATTTCTAATTTTGAGAGCACCCAGGGCGCTTATTACGTCGGATACGGTAGTTAACATTATTGCATTGAATATCACAGGACCATGTAACTAATAATAATAACAACAAATTCTCTCAGACGAGGCCTCATCTAAGATTTTTTTGCGATTTATTTTGTTATTATAATTAGTTACATGGTCCTGTGATTTAATGCAATGTTAAATTTTAATATTAAAATGATTATGAATTTGAGAAAATTGAAACCTTTTTGAACAAAATAACATTTTTTCCCAATTTTCTTGCCAAGGCCAATTTGTTTGAAATCCTAGATAAATCTCTGTGTAAAATAATGTGAACTATTCAACCATGACTTTTCCAGACAGGTGTCCTAGGAGATGTGTCAGATAGAGTGATGATGATGTCTTGACATTGGTCCATGCAGTACAGAAAACACCACAGCTCACAGGGGTCACCATGGTTAAAGCGGACAAGAAGAAGCAGGCACCTGAAGATAAGCAAGATGTAAGGTTTTTTATGGATGTTACACTTCTTTTCTTTTAGAATCAAGAGTTTTGCAGGGAAAGAATCAATCACCATAAGTCTATGTGAACAAGTTTTCCACAAAATCTAGTTACGTTACATAAACTACTTGTCCAAATTAATTCGCTGACTAAGTGGATTTAATTTACGTTGTTCATCCCTGGTCTGGGTTTAGGCTAATTTGATGATTCAAAATGTTTTGTCAGCGTACATATATTTTAGGTGTCACATTCATTGATACTTGTATATATTTTATTTTCAAACAAGAGGAGGTGAAATTCTTAGTATTTCATGTTTGTACAGTATATATTACAAAATGAAACTTTGTAGTTTGAATAGCGTTGAACATTTTTATATATTTTTTCAGGGAGACAAGCAGAGATCAATATCGTCATTCTTTGAGGTATCTATCATGTTTATGAGGTCATCTGGATGTCAGTGAGGTCATCTATATGTCAGTAAGGTCATGTGTGTCTCAGTGTATGACTTGCAAGTATTTCAACAAGTGATAGTGATACTTCATGAGCATACGTTTGTCAAGTCACCAGTGTTCAGTAGTAGTTAATGTGTCATGTTCTTTACATAATGGTATTTAATTTAAAGTAAAGGGTGCCATTATGTAAAACATGCTTTGTCGACTGCTATTTCCCTACCTTCCTTGGGATGTGGATTGATGGGCCAGTTCTCTAAGGCACAGTAATTCGCTGTGCAGAGCAGCGTCCCTTGGGCATGCCAGAAACATGATTGTGGGTTTGAATCCCAATTCAACCCGATTATGTTTCTAACTTTGTCAGCACCATACCTGTGCCCATGGGTTTCACCGAAGTGGTAAACATCTGAGACCTGCATCACTTCAGGTTTTCCTCCCACATTAAACTGACACGCCTTGATGTAACTGGAATACTGTTAAAAGCGGCGTTACACTCAGCTCACTCAGATGTGGTGGTCTACTGGCGAAAGTATCCACTCATACTCACTCGCTTAGCTTTGATCCTACATGTGTGAAGCACCTCCAGTCACTCACCAGCCCACTCCGTCACTCGCTTGCTTCTCACCCATGAAGATCAAGGGTAAAATAGGTCTTCAGTAACCCATGCTTGCTGTAAAAAGCGACTATGCTTGTCGTAAGAGGCGACATACTTGATCAGGTGGTCAGGCTCGCTGACTTGGTTGATGCATGTTATTGTATCCCAATTGCTTAGATTGATGCTCATGATGTCAATCACTGGATTGTCTGGTTCAGACTCAATTATTTACAGACCGCCTTCATATAGCTGGAATTTTCATGAGTGGGATGTTAAACAACAAACTCTCTCTCTCTCACACACTCTCTCACTCTCTCTCTCTCAATGACTTCTCGCTCACACTCACTCACCCACCTTTCCCCTCTCACTCACTCACTCACTCACTCACTCACTCACTCATACATTCACACAAGTGATGACTGCCAATCTCGTTAGCCATTATTTCGTTTTGTATGTCAGTCAAGATGTCTATTTAATGTTTGACCTGTTCTTGTCTCCAGAAGAGCTCTGCACCTGGAGCTGACCAGAGGAAGCTGTTCTCCAGTGTGGGATCTAAACTGTCCATGAGGAAACCATCCACTTCAGCTCAGCAAGGAAAACCGCTGTTCCCAACCACCCAGGAGAAACCAGCACTCTCAATCCAACAACAGTCAGGGCCCGGCAAGTTTACCGGAGTTAAACAACAACATGGTGCGAATGACAAAAAGTGTGAAATGGAACCAAGAAGTATACCCGAAACTCAGTTCCTCTCACCTGACAAGTCATGTGATCCTGTTGCCATGGTTACTGAGAGTCCCGACATCATGATACCCGACACACCCGAGGAGGCCAAAATGGGGAAGATGAAGAAAAAGATATTCATCAGTCGAAGCTTCCTCAGTGTCAATAGCAACCCCATCACCAGAGCCCCGCCGCCGAAAGTGGTGAAGAAACATAAATCTATGTTGACTGGCATGGTGTCCGTGTCTTTCAACAGTCCTGGTGACAACTCAGATGATGTGGCAATAGAGAGAGGGTTAGTGAGGGAGGATGCTGTTCTGGATGCTCCAGGTGATGACGGTTCCGAGGCACAGACCCCAACTAAAACATACAAATGTGATCGTGTTAAACGGCTGGCAAAATCTGGCATATCACCCTCATCAAAACGAACTTTGTATGCGGATTCCGATGTCATGCAGGACAGAGACACTTGCTCATTAGAAAACAGAGTTGCTCATGCTTCAGACATCAAGGGTAAGAGTAAACCCCTGCCTGAATCTGTCCCAGAGAGGAAGACGAGGGTGGAGAGGATTCTGTCCCACATGAGTGCAGGCCGAGCTGTGGGAAGTGTGAGCCGGAAGCTGACCGACTACCAGCTAGGGGCAGCCCCCTCCTCCTCGGGGGTCTCAGATGGTGGGGGTGACGATGAGTTGCTGGGGGAGATTCTGGGAGAGCTTGGAGCAAAGTCTGAGTCTCGGGCAGGTGGGGTCGCAGAGAAATGTGTTCCTGGTGCTAACATGTCAAGAACTAAACAGAGGAAGGTGTCACAAACACATGTTGATGTTGGTGCCATGACTGAAGAGGAATTAGAGCTGTTCCGTACTCTTGATACTTCGTTTGAAGTTGACAAAGGGGAGACAACTCCCGAGTCGGAATCTCCAAGTATTATTATGCCAAGGAGAAAGAAGAAAGACATCGACAATGCTAGCAAAGCTCCTGTGATGAACCTTCTTCTTTCTCATCCTTCCAAGGTTAGCCACAGTGGAGGGTTATCACAGGGGTCAGAGGTCATGGAGGTCAAAGAGTCATCACAAGGGTCAGAGGTCATGGAGGTCAGGACTCCATCGCCGACCTCAAGTCAAGATCTGTGTGAAGAGCTGTCTCATCTGTCACCTTTCAAAGATGTCAATCAGTGAGTGTTTTTATTATCTATGCATGGAGTGCATGCATGATCATGCACTGTTGGACATCTTCAGGAATCATTATTTCATTATAATTTAGAGTTTTTGAAAGGTTTAGTTTGAATACTTACATGTTGATAATTTTGCGTGGTGGCACTTGGTCCTGTGCACAGCACACAGGTCACAAATCAGGTAAACACTTCTATAAGCCGACCTGAGGACGACTTTGGCCATGTGCCAATACAGACCTGAGCAATTCACTGCATCCTCTAGTGTTTGATAAGAAAACTGTTCTCTTGTGGCAAGATCGTTCAGTGAGCTCCCTCCTGGGTGACTTAATCGTGTACCACCCGAACATCATCTGGCTTGGGGACTGCGCTGAGAGTGCACTTACAAGAACTGGTTTGTCTTTTACCACAATGTACCGTATTCGATGTAATAAGCGCCCAGGGCGCTCTCAAAATTAGAAATAGGGGGCTTTTTTTAGAATGTTATTTTGGTGAAAAAAACAGAGTTGAAAGATAAATTGCGTGGTTTATGCTGACGGCCTGACTGTTTATATACGACAGATATATTTTTCCAGAATTTAATTGCCCATAATTAAGGATTCATATAACACACGAGTGCGTATTAGACACGATTAAATAAGTCTTGTGTACATTGATCAATCGGAAGGAGTGCTAATTGCGATTGTTCACAAGCCAATATCTTAGCAAATGTCGCCGTGGGCGCTTATTACGTCGAATACGGTTATTGCCTTGACTTAGTTCCTTCTTAATCATGTTAATATTCTTTTCCACAGCGGCCCGATAGTGGGGATTTGTGTTGGACTCATTATTGTCAACCCCAGCCTCCTGAATATCACACATCCTAGCACTGTCAATAATGTGAAAGCCTAATTTCAAACCAATCCATTTCTTGTCCTCATCACCCTCATGTGTTCCCCATGCAGGGAGATTTCCTGCTAGTTGGCATTCTCCCAGTGGCTTCTCTGAAAATGAAAATGCATAAAATACGCATCAGAAATGCAGAAATATGCAGTAAAATAAAACGTTACAGATACGCTACAAAAATAAAACTTGTGCGTATCATCAAAATAATGTGAAGTAACCCTGCGTATTCGATTAGCAAATCAGCAACTTATTTTGAAATTATAAACGGGCATTCCGTCAACCTTGCCAAACTCCACGATGACAGTTACATCATGATCATTTGCCATCACATTTTTTTTGTGAAAGTATCGTGGTATTTTTCAGTCCTATAAACATGATAAAGCTCTCAAACCCACACGAAACCAGTTTGCAGGGCCAAGAAGAATAGAGTTTTTAAATATTTAACTTAAATACCCAGAATTTGAATACCCAGATAGAATTACTGATACCCAATGATTTTTAAATGCATGGGTAAAATTCCCACAACACCAAAAGCTTATATGGAGCTCTGTCTGCTGTAGGGATGTGTTGCTGAATCTGTGTTTTCTCTTGACGAGCATCAACCGACACATGACCTGCATTAACTACGAGCTGTCAGCTCTCCAAACCTAGTTCATGCTGCTGTTTCCTGTACACTCAATCATATGCAAGGACAGGGCCAGCTAAAGGATTGTGCAAGTGTTGACACTTTGATTACGTATGCAATACAGTTCTAAATGGTTGACGAAAAGACGTTAAAAGATGGTACTTGTTGTTACCCTGTCTGGCGCTCGGCATTAAAGGGCTAAAACAAGGACTGGTCGGCTCGGAGTCATTATACTGTGTCTGAGTGGGGTATTCTTGTTAAACTGCGGCATGGTAACTCTGGGCTAGCACTATAAATCGGCATCAGTCCGGACTAGTACAAGCGGCCACACACACGCGCATGCACGTCGCTATATAAGTGCAATAATCTTGGACGCGACGTTAAACCCAATTTCACCTCACCTCATCTTAATGGTTGATGGTGTAACTTGGTCTTCAAGCGTATCTCCTGTAGGATTTTAAGACTTGCCTCCATGAAATGCATTTGTGATACTTCATCCAAAGTGGGTTTATGATTGTTAAGAGAAAACGAACCATTGGCGAGTGAAAATTCGAGTCGGCCCAGTTCATCACTCTTAGTGCTTGTCGGCTGAGATAATCATGGTAACTGCAAATATCCATGTATTTCCCCCTAACTCTTTCATCACTGGCTGCCCCAGAGTTATGTCCCTCGTCACAATATGGCTGAAATATTGCCGATGTGACGTAAAGCATTACCTCACTCACTCACCAGAGTTATGTCCCTTGAAACCCTGCAGTCCCTGACCCTGACAAGGCCTGCACACTGGCCTCCCTGGCAGTATTATTGGAAAATCACACTATCATTTTTGATGCACTTTTTCTACCAGAAACTTGCTTTTAATATACATTTATCATATACCATTGTAAAGAGGATTAAGTATACTTTAATATTCTTTGTTGTTATTGTCTCTAACCTTTGTTATTTTCTAATTACAGGTGTTTACAAGTGAAATAAAACTTGAAAACACTGAAAAAATGAAAACAGACAATGAACATGATGAATTTTGGCTCAAATTGTATTAAAAATCACAAAAATAAATCACAGATACAAGGTAACATAACACAGTGGTCTTGTCATCTTGGACGGCACAGGTAATCCCAGGTGTTACAGGTAAATTCTCTTCATACACATCTGTAAACAAATAAACAAGTTTACAACTCTTGGTACTGACTTTCTTTTCTATACTGATGTCACATATTACTTATGGTACACTTACAGCCTCGTTAACCCAGGGAAACTTGTCAACACAGGTAAACTCGTTAACACAGGTAAAAACACAAATATTTGATTTATTTTGTTCTTTTTCAGGATTTGCAAGAAAAATTAAGTATTTAAAGTTTTTAAAAAGTAATTTATCACATTACCTGAACATTGAACCACAGCTACCATAAGAATGACATCACAGGGAAGATATCACAGATTGATCTGAAGAGGGAAAGATTGTAAAAGGACGGAAAGATCATAAATTCAAGTTCTGCAAATATACAAGTTGTGATAACATATTTACAATACACTGCTATTTACAATTGCATAATAAATTAAATCAGTACTTTATTAAATCAATTAATTCATAAATAATTATTACAGTTACTAAATTTTAAATTAAGATGTAAAAAACAAGAAAACAAATATGAATATGGAAATAAATTTTATTCAAATTGAGCGAAATATAAGGACATACGACAAACCGGCAAACCACAATTCGGATTGCGATCAGAAAAATAAATTTAAAAAAAAAAGAAACAGATACGTCATGCCACTCACCTTTGTTGTTGTTGTGATCGCTCGTTCACGTGTAGGCTGCATTCTCATTCGTCGCACTGATAATCTGTTCAAACACAGAATCATTATAAAACAGTTAGAAAAAATCAAGAGCACGACTCTTCACTCACCGTGTCAATATATAGCCTTGATTCCGGTCGCCTCTTCAAAATCCCTCATGTCTCCACTGTTGTGGTCCCTCTACCACTCCCATTCTTGAAAGTTGGCGGGGGGGGGGACACCTCGTCGAAACCGCCAAAATCTTCACCAAAATATTCGCGAAATTCCCTCTCCCTTTCGCGTAAATTATTCAATTCAAACACATTATTATTCCCGATAGAGTCGTTGTTAATCATCTGATCGCTATCCGAATCGTAGTTGGCCGCCATTACGCTTGATTTACGATTCAAGCGAGAAAAATACCTGTAGCGAAAACAGGTGACATATCCGTGATTTTCGCGCCAAAAAGACGGGGAAATTCCATCGAATGAGGTGTCATTACGTGTAGATCTCGTTTCCATATTTAGAACGAGATTACACATGAGAAAGGAAGTAGAAAGAGCGATTTTGTAAACATGCTCGCGCCGCCCGATTTATCGGGCAGCCGTGTGTGGGACTTGGACAGTAGCTGCCCGATTTTTCGGGCAGCCGGGTTCTGGGCCATGGTTGGGGTGAAAGGGTTAAAACTGACATCTGATGGCCATGATGTACATAGAGGTCTAAGGTAGTCAGACTAGAAATCATACCTGTACCGTCCCTGTTGGTGGTCGGTGATGGCAAAGAAATTTGTGAAAGCTTGGCGATGTCATCGGCGGACACTCATGTTGCAATCATCATTCTGAAGTTCCGGGTCCCTTCCTGGCCCGTCATTGGTTGCTTTTTCTGTAACGGAACTTGTTGATCCAGCCGTCACTGTATCACTCACCCATTCTGCCTCAGTGATACAGCGAGTTCTGCAACTCCTCTTTTCAGCATCAACAGCTGTCTGGCACATGTCTGTCGATTAATTCTTTGGTAAACCATTTGAGTGTTGTAAGTGACGAAAAGCCTAACACAGCAAGTTCTCCATCCATTGATGGTGCTAGTCGAAATTTGTCAGCCCATCGTGTAAAGGCTGTTTCGCCGTCATCAGAATCCGTCTGAGGTTGGACTCAGATGTCGTTTTGTCAGAGATTCACGTTTCTTATGTTTTGTTAGCTTTTCCTCGCCTACCTATCTTACCGACTTCTCGTCCACCACCAGCAGCAAGCGACAGTCCCTCCAATATTCTGATTGGCTAAACCAGGATAATGAGTCCTGTGACCCCTTCCAAAACAGATTTATCTAAAGTCTCCTCATTTACACATTATCATTTATCATTATAGTTTTGTTCAATCATTTTGACCAGATCAGTATCACATTTTATGCCAAGTAGTTGAAAAGGCCCTTGATTCCAGTTAAGATTCCATTGTGTGCATAGTTTTATATTCAATCTTTTTAGGTGAGCTACAGCGACATGTCTTGATTTTTGTGTTTTATTGTGATGTTTGTGTTACCAAGGTTATCCCCAAGAGGTTGGCAGACCAAGGTTGTGTTGAGTGTGTTACTGTATAGATTGTGTTGTTGTGTTACCAGGGAACATCCCTAGGGGTTGGCAGACCAAGGTTGTGTTGAGTGTGTTACTGTATAGATTGTGTTGTTGTTTTACGAGGGAACATCCCTAGGGGTTGGCAGACCAAGGTTGTGTTGAGTGTGTTACTGTATAGATTGTGTTATTGTGTTACCAGGGAACATCCCTAGGGGTTGGCAGACCAAGGTTGTGTTGAGTGTGTTACTGTATAGATTGTGTTGTTGTGTTACCAGGGAACATCCCTAGGGGTTGGCAGACCAAGGTTGTGTTGAGTGTGTTACTGTATAGATTGTGTTATTGTGTTATCAGGGAATGTGCTTGTCGTAAAAGGCGACTAACGGGATCGGGCGGTCAGGTTTGGGCGGTAATCCCAATTACGTGGATTGATGCTTATGATGTCAATCACTGGATTGTCTGGTCCAGACTCGATTATGTTACAGACCGCCGTCATATAGCTGGAATATTGCTGAGTGCGGCGTTAAACAAAAAAACAAAAAACAGGGAACGCCCTAAGGGGTTGACAAGTTTATGTTTAGTGTGTTATGTATAGATTGTGTTATTATGTTTCCAGGGAAAACTCCCCGAGGTTGCCAGATCCTGGCTGTGCGGCTGACAGATTTAACCGCTACAGGGTTTCAGCAGTGTCACATGGAAGGTCAGTCTGTGTATACAGGTCATGTGAGCTTATTTCTTGGGCTGCTTGTCATCTGCTGAAAACAGCTTCTTCTTGGAAACCAGAGACTGTCTCTGAAACTTGGCATGCATGTTTTCCCCCATGATGATACACAGAGATTACCACATGACTGTCTGTCAGCTACTATTTATCTTCATTTCAAAATGTGTCTAGTGAGTGAAAGTTGTAAGATAAATGGCATTTATTACTTGCCCGTGAAGAGATCACCTGTTTTATAAACATTCAGCTGTATTATACATTGTGTAATACCAAAACCCGTGCTTATGTACTCTCAGGACATGTTTCACGAACAAATATTGAAAGCTCTCAACATCCCTTTGCTTATTCAACGACATTGCATGTGGAGATGATAGATCACTGAGAGGAGCTTATGCACACTCGATGACCCCAGCAACCTTGTTGCTAGGCTGACGTCACATGGCATTGTTTCGTCGATGGATCTTGCAACAAAATTCCACAAATTACGTCATCGGGTATTGTGACCTTATTGTAAACTTTGAAGTGCAAGGTCCTGTTCCACAAGGCGATCGTATTGTAGCGCAACGACAGTCGTTAGTCTAAGTTAAAGTATGTGAGTTGCGATAACCTTAGCGCTACAATAATTTTGTGGAACGGATGCCTGAATTCTAAAGCTGGACTGTTTCGCTCGTCAGATACCAGAACTATTCACTCGTTTAATAAAATTGGTATTACACGGGAGCTCGTTTAGTATTCTATATATGACAGGCATAAGAGTTGTAATCTGTTTCTTACATACCCTAAAATTGCACTATTTTAGTTTCGAGTTGATGCATATTTTGTCTATTTCATGATCGCAGTGGCACATTGATACATAGCACAAAGGTGAAGAATCGGGTTAGAATTGGTCTTCAACAATTTATGTTTGTCGTAAGAGGCCACTATGGGATCAGGTGGTCAGACTCACTGATTTGGTTGATGCATGTCATCGTATCCCAATACGATGTCGGTCACGGGATTGTGTGGTCCAGACTCGATTATTTACAGACCGCCGTTATAAAGCTGGAATATTGCTGATTGCAGCGTTAAACATGTTAAACAACAAACAAACAAACAAACCAAAAAATCATAATGGTGTGTCTACTGGTTTTGTTTTAGGGAGGAGGTTGTGCTGAATCTGGAGAGTGTTGGTGGCGGTGACGATGCAAGAGACAGTCATAGAGAGGCAGAGCAGAAGTGTGTTCTGAAAGGCTTCTGGTGAGAACAACCTGATTCTATTTGCTTCTTGTTACAATGTGTAGCCTGACATTAACAGGAGTAAGTAAACAGAGATCTGTTGAATTCCATCTTCATGAGGCAAGAGTTAACTGACTATAAAAGTCCAGTTTCCACCCTTGCCGAACTTGGCTGGTATTATGGAGTTAGATTTTGGCTGGACTAACGAGTCTATGCATAGTCCAATCAAAATCGCGCACCGAAATCAAAATCCAGTTCGTAAACTGTCCTGCAGAGTTCGGTCAATTGCAGGATTTGCAAAGCATGTACCGAGAACTCATTGTCAACAGATATTTTCCAAATCGTTTCATGGTTTTAATCAAGGTGCTCACGTGATTTGATGCACTTCGCGATGTAAGACCCGTTTTATCACAATATAGATCTTGATGGTCTGTCAGATCGTCTTGACTGGACCCGCCATTTTGTTTAATGGTCAGTTAACTCTCTTGCCTCGGAAAGATGGTTGAATTCATGTACGTGATCACTTTCAAAAGGGTGCAACCACTAGAATAACATTAAAACCAAGTCTTAAAGAAGGAAACACAAGAAAGGAATGACGAGGCATTTTGGGCCCAGACTCTTTATATATAATTAGCAAACTTGATATGGAAGTTATCATGATTATCAGATATGTTCACATAGAATTGCAACACATGCACGATTTTGGATTTATAACAACACTGAATATATGGGTAAGACAAGAAGAATGATTTTCAGGAAGTGTTCTTCTAATTCTTTAATATGAGCAAGGCTTTGACCCCACGCTGATTTTGTTATGAGACGTACATAACGACTGCAATCATAGAGTAATAATTGTGAAAGACCATCTTCCCGAGGCAAGAGAGTTAACTGACTATAAAAGTCCAGTTTCCACCCTTGCCGAACTAGGCTGGTATTATGGAGTTACATTTTGGCTGGCTAACGAGTCTATGCATAGCCCAATCAAATTCGCGCACTGAAATCAAAATCCGGTTTGTAAACTGTCGTGCAGATTTCGGTCGATTGCAGGATTTGCATTGCATGTGCACTGCCAACTCTTTGTCAGCAGATATTTTCCAAATATTTTCATGTTTTTAATCAAGGTGCTCACGTGATTTGATGCATTTCGCGATGTAAGAGCCATTTTATCACAATATAGATCTTGATTATCGATCAGATCGTCATGAGTGGGCGCTACCATTTTGTGTGAAGCTAACGCAAGAGACACGAGAGGTGGATTCTGATTGGTCCATAGGAGAGGCTTAGACATAACTGGTAATAGCCACTTAGTGGCGCTACGATCGAGCCCAGTAATTCCAGTCTAGTTCGGCAAGTTAAGTTTTAAAGTCAGTTAACCCTCTTGCCACGGGAAGATGGTGAAAGACTTGGTCATGGTTAGATTTCCTCTTGCAGTCGAAAAATCACGCCTTTTCACTCTTTTAGCCTTTTTTATATATGATCATGTGAGATGTCCCAAAAGATTGTACATGTAGTTTTAAGAAAAAGGGCTAGGTTTTAGTGGTAAGCCACAATTATTTTCGTACCAACACTACACAGATTTCCATGAGTTATCCTACCTCTTTCTATGTCTGTTTCAGGATGGACAGTCATGTGTCTGAGGGGGACATTGTACATGTCCTCGCTGATTGCAGTGACGGTGTATATCACGTCACTGACAGGGCTGGGGTCATTGTCGTGTGCCCCGACCTTCTGCTGTCAGGGACGTCCGTCGTCTCCGGAGTCTTCTGCATGAGGAGGTAGGGCGTACTGCAGTATCATGTCATTACTCATATTAGGAGATACGGGGGCCTGGTGGTCCAGTCGTCTAAGGCGCTGCAATTTGCTGTGCAGAGTTGTGTCCCTTGGGCACACCAGAAACCTATGATCGTGGGTTCGAATCCCGGTTCGCCCAAATTGTGTTTGTAAGTTTGTCAGCACTATATTCATGCTTGGTGGTTTCACCGAAGTGGTAAACTTGCATCACTTCAGGGTTTCCTCCCACATTAAGCTGACACGCCGTGATATAACTGGAATACTGTTTAAAGCGGCATTAAACCAAACTCTCTCACTTTGAGGACATATACAGAGTTATGTCCCTTAGTTGTCAGAATCCACTGGTTGTGGTTCAAACAGCACATTTTCCTCCCATCACACACGCTCACAGTTTCATCGTAAAATCAGTTACCATCCAAAACTGCTCTCCACAGAAGATATCAGTTGGATGAGCTCAAGCGATCTCCTGGGAGATATATCGCTGCAGTGAAATTGCATCACAATGCTTAGAAGACCATTGTGATATCAGTTACCATGATGTCATAATCACATGACATCACAAGTCTCTCTGCTACTGAGGCTGGGTAGCTGCATTTATTACACTCAAAACACTGATTTGTACTGTTTACAAACTAAAGAGTTTGAAAAATGATTTTTAGATAATAAGTAGAATCTTACCCTCATGTCTTTTGATATCAAATATATGAATACTCATCAAGAAAAGTTTAAAAGTCCTCGTCAAGCCTCAAACTATTTATCTGTTATCAACTTGTTATACATATGATATCAAAAACATGTTGATGAGATTCACTATATCTCATTACATCACCTTTGGCCCCAGTGAAATGAATGAAAACTCTCAAGATGGCATTAAACTCACCTTATTGAAGGTTTTGCCCACAAAGGTCGTTCTGCACTGGAAAAGTTTGAAAGCTGCAAAATCCATTGATAAGATTTGTTTGTTGTTTGGCAACACACACAGCAATATTCCAGCTTTGTGAAGGCGGTCTGTAAATAATCCAGTCTGGACCAGACAGTCCAGTGACTGACATCATGAGCATCAATCTACGCATTGGGGATATGATGACATGCATCAATCAAGTCGGACAACCTGAACCATGAGTCGCCTTATGCATTGGGGACCAGTTCTCACCAAGAGGGGCGGTCGGGTAGCCTAGTGGTTAAAGCGTTCGCTCGTCACGCCGAAGACCCGGGTTCGATTCCCGACATGGGTACAATGTGTGAAGCCCATTTCAGGTTTCCCCCGCCGTGATTTTGCTGGAATATTGCTAAAAGCGGCGTAAAACCACACTCACTCACTCACTCTGACCAAGAATCCCAACTGGGCACGAGTCCGAAAATGAGAATCTGTTTCATATTCAGTAATGTAACAAAGGAAATTATTTTGATACACGTTTGACTGTTTCAGTTGAAGTGACCTGTTGCATGATAATCTTGTTTACCTGTTTGGGCTAAAGCATCTTATTCATCAGGGCGGTTGGTAGCCAAGTGGTTAAAGCGTTCGCTCTTCACGCCGAAGACCTGGGTTCGAATCCGCACATGGGTACAATGTTTGAAGCCCACTTCTGGTGTCCCCTCCGGAATATTGCTTGAATATTGCTAAAAGCGGCATAAAACCATACTCACTCATTCGTTATCATTCATCATTTACATGGCTTATGTCTGTTGCAGGTCGGTGTTGAATGAAAAGTTCAAGGTGAGTTTTCACAGGTGAATTATGTCTGTTAGGAATCTGTGGCCGAGCACCATGTTTCATGATGGCATTGAGAGGTGACTGGCAGAAGTATCAGGTTTCACTATGGCTGCTCAGTAGGAGTTGTGTGAGGGTAGGCGACCTGAGGGAAAACAACTGTGGTTAATTGCAGGGGTTAATTCACATGATAATTATCTTAAGTTTGAGGGAACTGAGTGTTCACATGTTGTGTTTCAGGGAAGTGTTGACAAGAGTATTCACATGTTTGTGTTTCAGGGAAGTGATGACAGGAGTATTCACATGTTTGTGTTTCAGGGAAGTGATGACAAGAACATGAAGAGTATTCACATGTTTTTGTTTCAGGGAAGTGATGACAAGAGTATTCACATGTTTGTGTTTCAGGGAAGTGATGACAAGAGCATGAAGAGTATTCACATGTTTTTGTTTCAGGGAAGTGATGACAAGAGTATTCACATGTTTGTGTTTCAGGGAAGTGATGACAAGAGCATGAAGAGTATTCACATGTTTTTGTTTCAGGGAAGTGATGACAAGAGCATGAAGACATTTCACATGTTTTTGTTTCAGGGAAGTGATGACAAGAGTATTCACATGTTTGTGTTTCAGGGAAGTGATGACAGGAGTATTCACATGTTTGTGTTTCAGGGAAGTGATGACAAGAGCATGAAGAGTATTCACATGTTTTTGTTTCAGGGAAGTGATGACAAGAGTATTCAAATGTTTGTGTTTCAGGGAAGTGATGACAAGAGTATTCACATGTTTGTGTTTCAGGGAAGTGATGACAAGAGTATTCACATGTTTGTGTTTCAGGGAAGTGATGACAGGAGTATTCACATGTTTGTGTTTCAGGGAAGTGATGACAGGAGTATTCACATGTTTGTGTTTCAGGGAAGTGATGACAAGAGCATGAAGAGTATTCACATGTTTGTGTTTCAGGGAAGTGATGACAAGAGTATTCACATGTTTGTGTTTCAGGGAAGTGATGACAAGAGTATTCACATGTTTTTGTTTCAGGGAAGTGATGACAAGAGTATTCACATGTTTGTGTTTCAGGGAAGTGATGACAAGAGTATTCACATGTTTGTGTTTCAGGGAAGTGATGACAACTGTATTCACATGTTTGTGTTTCAGGGAAGTGATGACAAGAGTATTCACATGTTTGTGTTTCAGGGAAGTGATGACAAGAGTATTCACATGTTTGTGTTTCAAGGAAGTGATGACAGGAGTATTCACATGTTTGTGTTTCAAGGAAGTGATGACAGGAGTATTCACATGTTTGTGTTTCAGGGAAGTGATGACAAGAGTAAACACATGTTGTGTTTCAGGGAGGGTGATGACAGGAGTATTCACGTGTTGTTTTTGTTTCAGGGAAGTGATGACAAGAGTATTCACATGTTGTTCGGGAGCATCATCCACTGCTTGTTTCAGCAGGTAGGTCAAGGACTTAACCCTATACATGGGATTATAATAGAAACAGAATGTACACCACACGGTTAGCCAGCATTCAAAGGCCTTCAATATGGCAGTCCAGCCTTGATAGGCCTTCATTATGGCAGTCCGGCCTTGAAAGGCCTTCATTATGCCAGTCCAGCTTTGAAAGGCCTTCAATATGCCAGTCTGGCCTTGAAAGGCCTTCATTTTGCCAGTCTGGCCTTGAAAGGCCATCAATATGCCAGTCCAGCCTTGAAAGGCCATTAATATGGCAGTCCGGCCTTGAAAGGCCTTCAATATGCCAGTCCAGCCTTGAAAGGCCTTCATTATGCCAGTCCAGCCTTGAAAGGCCATCAATATGGCAGTCCGGCCTTGAAAGGCCATCAATATGGCTGTCTGGCCTTGAAAGGCCTTCAATATGGCAGTCCGGCCTTGAAAGTAGGGCTGGCTATCGATGCAGATGCATCATGCTAATGCATGATGACGTCACATGTCAAAAGATAAGATCTTGACCAGATTGAAACACAGTTGGTGATGACTACATTGTAGTTGTACTGGTTAATATTTATGATCATGCTTGTGTAGCTAAAAATTGTGAAATGTCCATAATTTAATGGCGATTTTCTTTATGCAGTTCTTAGTTGATCCAAATAAGGATAGAAGTTCTCCTGTTTCTTAAGATCAATACCATTAAAATTAGAAAATAGAAATGATATCTATAGCAAATCAAGGCGGCAAGATCAGAGTTACCCCCCTTCAAAATATTTGCCTCATGATTTGCAATCTGGGTTTATTATATTGATACCTTCACAGAATAAAACTTCTGGAAAATTAAACTGTCACATACTTATTAAAGGTAGTGAAATTGGAAACTGTCCAGTAACTTTTAAGGTTAGCTTGCCCACATTGCCAGTGGTAATATTTTGAGACTGATATCGGTATACGAATCATGTCGCACCCCTAATATCTTGATCGTATCATATCATGACGTCACAACTCCATGTCTATTGTACAGGTTGTGAAGCAGGGTCTGACTACGGAGAAACACATGCTGGAGGTGGCCAAGTCTGTCATGAAGCTGAACAAATTCCTCCACGAAATGTAAGTCCCTCCAGTTAATGATAAATTATCACCGATCGCAGATCAACTTTAGGATTGTAGACGAAAACTGAAGGTCTAAAATTAATCCAAAAGGAGAGCTCCGCTGGGACACGTCCTAGCTGTGCTGCGACAAGCAGTGATGTGAAGATGACCTTAGGTGTCATCAAGGTCACAGGACAGCGACGGAAGGCCACTGATTGGGACTTTAGAACCACAACTTTATTTCTTCACCCAGGACCTTCGTAGTGCTGTCCTTCTAGTTGTCGCAAGTAAGCAGTGAATGCATTAAGGAGTAATGCAGGATAAGTATACAAATGTAAAAAATATTTAGATTTTACTAATATAATACGTCCATTAATAATGCACCAGATTCCATTCACCAAGTGAATGCTTGTGTCGCTATATTATTAATAACCCGGTCAATGGATCAGTGTGCACTCGATTTTCATTCTCAGCTCCCTGGGGAGTATACAAACCAAACAGTTTGTGAGGCGCTAGAAGGTTAACAGTCTCATTACCATCTCATCCTACCAGGTACCCATTCACTGCTGGGTGAACGAGGCATTTTTCAAACAAAGTCACTTGCCTCGGGAGACACCACATGTTCTACATGTGCTTCTAGGGGGCAGGACCAAAGCCCTAGAAACTCTCAGGAGTCAAGCTGTCGAAAACGGTCACTGAAACTACTCTGGACAACCACTGTTGCTTAACTTCATCTGATTCATGACAGGGGTAGACACCATTGGTCAAAACCAACTAGTCTGCTGCTCAAATCAGACAAGTTGTGTATGTATAATAACTAGATTTGGGGAGAAATCAACTAGTCCTTCTTGAATTTCACAAGTCTCGGACGAATGGACTGTGTCTAACTTTGTATAACACTGTACACAGGACCACCTACCTACAGATCTACTTCCACTATACTTCTCGTAAGAGGCGACTAACGGGATCGGGTGGTCCTACTACAGATCTACTTCGACTATGCTTCTCGTAAGAGGTGACTAACGGGATCGGGTTGATCCATGTCATCGTATTCAAAAAGTGTGGATCGATGCTCATGATGTCAATGGGGATAGAATAGGTCTTCGGCAACCCATGCTTGTCGTAAAAGGCAACTATGCTTGTTGTAAGAGGCGACTAACGGGATCGGTGGTCAGGCTCGCTGACTTGGTTGATGCATGTCATCGTATCCCAATTGTGTAGATCGATGCTCATGATGTCAATCACTGGATTGTCCGGTCCAGACTGGATTATTTACAGACCGCCGTCATATATCTCAAATATTGCTGAGTGCGGTGTTAAACAACAAACAAACAAAACTTCCACTGTCTTGCTATAGAATATCAATTCAGTTAGATTATGCTTCTGCTTGTTTTAAATCTCTCCTTTGTAAGTGCTAACATGGTGACATGGTGTTTCCCTCCAGGTACAGTCATGTGACCAATGAATCTGTGGTGCTGGAAGAAATACACAAGTACATTCCAACGCTCAAGAAATGGGTGGAGAAATACTCTGCTCTCACACCTCAGACCCTGGCAACAAACAGGTAGGCATCACCTCTCCTGTTATAACATAATCACACTTACTTATTCCCCCGCCCCTAGCACACCCAGCCCCCTCATACTGTGCCCCAAGTCACACCCCTTCCGGTCATAAACCGCCCTCTACTACCCCCATCCCCTTGTATCAGGCCCCATCGTACCCAGCCCCCTCATACCCCACCCTATCACACCCCGCCAACTCATAAACCGCCCCCTCGTACACCGCCCCCTCATAACCCAACCTATCGTACACCGCCCCCTCATAACCCAACCTATCGTACCCTGCCCCCTCATAAACCGCCAACTCGTACCCCACCCCCTCATACCCCACCTTGATGTACCCTGCCCCCTCATTTGCCGCCCCCTCATACCCCACCCCATGGTAAACCGGCCCCTCGTAAACCGCCCCCTTGTGCCCCGCCCCCTCGTGCCCCACCCTATCATACCCTGTCGTCTGTCCTACCCCACCCAAGTGGAACTGTGATAAATGTGTGATATAACATTATTTTGCTTTCAGTTCCGACGTGAAGGTGGTGAAGGTCCATGACATCGAGGAGAACATCTGGTCACCTCGGTAAGTAAAAACAACTCGTAAAGACTGTGCATCTCATGTTATGGCCATGGCAGCAATAAGAGTTTGTGTGCTTGTTTATGTAGGGAGGCCCTTTCCCAGGTTGATGGTACACAACTGTTTATTTGGTTACATACTAGCGTGAACAAGCAAAACAAGACTAAAACCATCGCCTGCCCACACTACATGTTCAAAAGTCAATACCAATTTCCTTTATTTCTTAAGCCCAAGAGTATGTTTCCTGTATTGGGTACTTTATAGCAGTACCCTTTAAATTACGGCCTCATATTGAGCAGTCCCATGTGAATGGGGCAGCTTTCATGTTTTTCCTGAATTAGACTGCCGCCGCACTTTGTCTTTGAAACAATGCAGCGCTTGGACATCTTGGGGATATCATATCATGCATATATCCATTATAGCCCCGGGAAATGTGGACTAATTGATATGTCATGTCAAGGTCATCCTCAAGGACATTGATATGTCATGTCAAGGTCATCCTCAAGGACATTGATATGTCATGTCAAGGGTCAAGGTCATCCTCAAGGCCATAGCTTACATATATTTGCTTGCCTGTTTCAGATTTGGTGTCAAGGGAAAGATAGATATGACAGTACAAGTTGAGGTGGGTAGATATCCTGTAGGCTATTCGTCAAAGTTTGTTTAATTTTTGCTTGCACTTTTACACGTGTATATTTTATGTATTCAAACTTGTTTCACCTACATTGAGTCATCAGTTAACTAAACACATTATTCGTAGATGTTCGGACATTATTACAACTGGTATACAAGCAAAATATTTCAGGTTAGCACCTCTATCATTTGCATAAGATAGACATTTATAGAGAATTACAGTGTTCCCTCGCTATTGCGCTCTTCAATATAGTGCTAACTCGGTTATAGCATGCGGTAAAGTATGGCTCCCAAAGCTTACTAACATAAACTCAAGTTTTCCAATGACACGATGTTTTCCCCCATCTCAGAAATCATTATCAGCCGATCACCGCGATCACGTAACACCGGAAATACCAGTCAACAAATCCGAACTGAAGAACACAATTTAATCCTATTATTATATAATATCTGGTTATAAACAAATTGTTGATTGTTTATCTGAACTAATGTTTGCAATGTATTTTATTAATTGTATTTTGAATTTCATTCAATATTTTTAATAATGTTTACAATAATTTCGGCGAAATCGTATGCGAAGTGATCAGTAGATCGCACAACTCACCGTTATTTACAGCAACCACGGTCAGATTACCGCTATTGATGCCTTGAAACAAACTTTAGTTGCAAAGAATGGATACACATATGATAAATGCCGTACCATGACTCGCTAAAAGTCATATTTGAGGGAGTTTGACTTTTTAATGTTAACATACCGTTTTCGCAACCGAAATATGTGTAGCGCGGGAAGTCCCTACGGTGAGTGATCAAATTGTTCCATACGTTAAAAAATATCCTGCATACCATATGTACCAAAGTGCTACGCTTATGATTCTTGTAAATTTAAGTATATATATATAGTGGAAGCTGCAACTAAAATAACACGATATTGGAATATATTATTCCTGATAAAATAATAATTTCAGATACAATTTCTTCGACCAATGCATCAAAATTCTTTGAAGTTGGGTCCTTTTTAACTGAATCACCGGTAGATTGGAAGGAAATGTGTGTACAGCTGATTGCTATTTCCGGCTTAGTTTACAAAAAAATACACACGGTAATCTTAATCTCTGCATATAAAACATTGCCTTGGAGAGCAGGAAAAACATTTTAAATGGTAAATCATAATGTCTAGTGATGTTTTATATCAAATTTCATACTTTTATTGACCATATTTGTTATACCTGTTTATTCAGCTGAAATCCGTGGAGGGATACGATGTGGTTTTTTTAAAGCACATATTAATACTCGATAAATCTTTTTTTACACTATGAATCATAAACAACTTCTATTCTAATCTTTTTTTAAACTCTGAAACATGCAAGGTAGATCGTGTTAGGTAGGCAGAGCATGTATACTATGTTGGTCATCTACCACCTACAACTCGACCTTCGTTAAACCGCTGATCATCTATAACACTCATTAATTATTTGGACCCCAAAGGTAGCATTGTAGCGAGTGATCACTGTACTATCAAAATTGGAAGAACACTTGAAGTTTTGACACTGAAAATGATACATGTAGGTCTGATAGCTGTCAAGTCTTTGTACTGATTGATATTGGTTGGAGTGAGTGAGTTGGGTCGTCTAAGGCGCGGCAATTTGCAGTTGAGAGTTGCGTCCCTTGGGCACACCCAATATCTATGATCGGTTTGAATTGTAGTTTGCCCCGACTACGTTTCTGGTTTGGTTGGTGCCATAATTGTGTTTGTGGGTTTTCACCGAAGTGGTAAACGTCTTAGATCTACAACACTGCAGGCTTTCTTCCAAAATTAAAGTGACACGCCGTGATATAACTGGAATACTGTTCCAAGTGGTGATAAACCAACTCACTCACTCACTATGTTTGCCCTATGTTGCGTTAACACTTTCCTGCTGGGTAATTTGTAGTTCCCCAAAGCAGCGAAGCAGAAGAAGAAAGTTCTTCCCCTGGAGCTGAAGACGGGAAGACCCACCTTCTCCATCGAACACAAGGGCCAGGTGACTTTATTCTGTCATAGTCTGTCTCCCAGTCCCTTGAGAACAAATCATAAAGGAAACCAACTCAAGTCTAGCTTAATATATCTCAGCTCAATCGACCAGCTGTTGTCTATCAATTTTGAATTTGTTTTAATAAGTTGACTATGGCACATTAAAACATGTTGATAAGATGAATTAGTTGTAGCAGTATCACAAGGGGTACATGTGGTGATATAAAAGGGGCGGTATAAAACCTAACACAGGATGCACAAAACCAATATATCCCCCGTGACACAATCTCATTAAAATCAGACCTCAGTTCTCGCTATCGCTGAACAAAGATCAGAGGACATCCCAGTAGGGGTCATGTCAGAGCGACCTTTCATCCGACCAATCAGAGCGTCGCTTACTAGATCATGAAAGTGACAGTCGGAATGTGATTTTTAATCATGCATCCTCGAAAACTTTAACACGGGGTATTCCGAACGATAGTTACGGGTTTAACGACTGAATCCATACAATCTGACCATCTATTAGCCATTCCAGAATGTTTTTTTGTTCAGGTTTCAAATTTTTAATCGAGAATTTGTCAGAATACGTTTCGAAGCGTAGTCGCCAATTTGAAATTAGTGCCGTAAAGCACGATAAAGCTGCCTTCTGATTGGTCATTCCATTGGTCAGTCAAAGTTCGCGCAAGGTCGCTCTGATGTGACCCGTAATGGGATGTCCTCAGATCTTTGTTAAGCGGCAGCGAGAACTTAGATCTGATTTTAATGAGATTGGAAAATGTCTGACCAACTGATTGCTTGTGATACTGCTGCGACAAATTTATTTTCAATCTGCCATCATAAAATAATTAAAACAAATCGAAAATTGATAATAAATAGCTGTTCGATTGAGCTGAGGTTAACACGTGCTGTTGCACATGACTTTCACTGACCCATAAACAACATGCAGCTTTTTCCTTTGTAGCAGGTTGCAAGAGATTTATTGTCTCACTCAGAAATCATATGCAACCTGTTTTCTTCATGGTGGGGTATACAGGATTTATTTTCCCGCTTATAGATATATTTCCCTCCTGGGCTGGATACATAGCATTTTATCAAAGCATAGATCTCAACATGGAGGTCAGATAATGTGTGTTGTAGGTGACGTGTGTTGTAGGTGACGTTGTGTGTTGTAGGTGACGTTGTATTCTATGATGATGTCTGACCGTCGTGAGGATCCAGAGGAAGGGCTATTGCTGTACCTCAAGGAACCTGTCATGACGAAAGTGGCTGTCAAGGGAGACAACAAGCGAGGTGTGTGATACAGATACTGCAACTAGGGCATACCAGTCCATGTGATCCACCTCACCCAGACCAGTCCATGTGATCCCACCATCCAGATCAGTTCATGTGATCCACCTCACACAGATCAGTCCATCTGATCCACCTCACCCAGATCAGTCCATGTGATCCACCTCACACAGATCAGTCCATGTGATCCACCTCACACAGATCAGTCCATCTGATCCACCTCACACAGATCAGTCCATGTGATCCACCTCACACAGATCAGTCCATCTGATCCACCTCACCCAGATCAGTCCATGTGATCCACCTCACACAGATCAGTCCATGTGATCCCACCATCCAGACCAGTCCATGTGATCCATCTCACACAGATCAGTCCATGTGATCCACCTCACCTAGATCAGTCCATGTGATCCACCTCACCTAGATCAGTCCATGTGATCCACCTCACCTGGATCAGTCCATATGATCCGCCTCACCTGGATCAGTCCATATGATCCACCTCACCCAGATAAGTCAATGTGATCTACCTCACCAAGATCAGTCCATCTGATCCACCTCACCTGATATAGCTGGAATATTGCCGAGTGCAGCGTTAAACAACAAACAAATAAAATATATACACATCCTTGCAACGAGATCAGTGTCCTGTGTCAATGTCCTTGTTTTCCCTGCAGGTCTCCTACAACTGCGGAATGAGCTGGCATTCTACGTGAAACAACAGGTAACCAAGTCCGTGGAGGATGGTCATGTCACCTACCAGTACGGGCATCTGCCCACGCCCATCAACAGTCACCGGTCCTGCAGCAAATGTCCACAGCTGCTCAACTGTGCCATTTACCAGCGGTTGGTATAAATTACTACCCTTGCCATAACTCCAGGAGCAAGCTTAAATGTATGGGACTTAACCATTGGTTGCAATGTCCATGTCCCCAGTCCTGCTTGACCAGGTTTCATTTTTAACCCCCGGCACTTAATGTGGGGGGGATACCTCCCTCCCTCGCTCCCTCCCTCCCTCTATACATGGGATCGTATTATCACTGATGTCAGATGCACATGTGCTCTGTATCAGTGAATCAGGACACTCTTAATGTGTTTTCCTGCACACTTAAAGTATTTGTGTGTATTTGATGTGTAGAGTTATGTCCCTTTGCCTTGTCAGAATCTGGTTAGATTGAGTTTGAATGTCACATTCACCCCCATCACAATCCTGTTCTGTCAACCCCCTACACACATGCTTTTGGGTTTCACCATGATACAGTAGACGTGCTGATCCAAGCAGCATTGAGCCCAGCTCCATCCACCATCCACCATCCACCACCCCTACCCCCACCACCACCCCCACCCCCACCCCCACCCCCTTCCCACCTGAAGCTGACCCACCATGATACAACGGACATGCTGATCCAAGCAGCGTTGAGCCCAGCTCCATCCACCATCCACCACCCCCACCCCAACCCCCTTCCCACCTGAAGCTGACCTACCATGATGCAACAGACATGCCGATCCAAGCAGTGTTGAGACCATCCACCATCCACCATCCCCACCCCCTTCCCACCTGGAGCTGACCCACCATGATACAGTAGACATGCTGATCCAAGCAGTGTTGAGCCCAGCTCCATCCACCATCCACCATCCACCATACACACCCCTCTTCCCCACCCCACCCCCTTCCCACCTGAAGCTGACCCAACATGATACAACGGACATGCTGATCCAAGCAGCGTTGAGCCCAGCTCCATCCACCATCCACCAACCCCACCCCCTTCCCACCTGAAGCTGACCCACCATGATACAACGGACATGCTGATCCAAGCAGCGTTGAGCCCCGCTCCATCCACTATCGACCATCCACCATCCACCATCCCCATCCCCATCCCCATCCCCATCCCCACCCCCCTTCCCCATGCCCACCCCCTTCCCTCCTGAAGCTGACCCACCATGATACAACGGACATGCTGATCCAAGCAGTGTTGAACCCAGCTCACTGTTGCAGACATGTTGAGGGTGTGAACCACGGCGCTGGTCATGCGATGGAGACGCTGGTGCCGGAGACTCTGGGGCACCTGCAGCAGCGGCACGTGGACTACTATCTGCACTGGTGTGTGTGTCTGGAGATGGAGAGTCGTGTTGCCAGGGGCAGCAACATCACCGACATCTGGTGCTGCAGCAGCCACGACAGGTGAGATTGTTGCTGAGTGCTGCTTGTGAGAAAGAGGTACGACCCATGAAGATCCGGGGTAGAATAGGTCTCCAGCAACCCATGCTTGCTGTAAAAGGTGACTATGCTTGTCGTAAGAGGCGACTAAAGGGATCAGGTTGTCAGACTCGCTGACTTGATTGATGTATGTCATCGTATTCCAATTGCCTAGTTTGATGCTTATGATGTCAGTCACTGGATTGTCTGGTCCAAACTGTCGTAAAAGGTGACTAACGGGATTGGGCATGTCATCGATCTCAATTGCGTAGATCAATGCTCATAATGTCAATAAATAGTTTGTCTGGTCCAGACTCGATTATTTACATACCGCCGTCATAAAGCTGGAATATTGCTGAGCGCGGCGTTAAACAATAAACAAACTATGAAGATGTAGTCAAACCACGTTTCCAGACTACTTTTTTTTTTGAGTTGTCCGGTGTTTGAGACAACCAACAAAGTGAATTTCATGGAATCTAGTCATCTTTCAACGTTTCAGCATTGATAACCAAATTGTAATATATCATGTCATATTTGAACTGTTTGAGTCATCAGGGGCATTTGGGGATTAATTTGGATACTTGGGACTCCCAAATGAGTTGAGACAACTGGTAATTTGAAACAGTGGAAATATTGCGGATGTGATGTAACTCACCCATCCACCCACCCACTCACTCACTCACCCTCTCACTCACTCACTCACTCACTCGAGTTCCACATCGTCATGATATGGCTGAAATATTGCCGATGTGACGTAACTCACTCACTCACTCACTCACTCACTCCAGTTCTACAGTTCTGAGTATGAATGATTTTAAATATAGAATGAATTTGCAGAGAGTGGAAGTGGGAGTTTGAGACAACCGGGAATGAGACAACACAATCAGGTTCGACTGTACTGCTGCTAAGATTGAGGCATTGCTGCAAAATAGAGTGTGTATTATTGCGGAGAAGAGGCCACAGGCACTGATGAAATAGTTGTAATGTTTTCTGAGCATGAAGGGGAAGTGTGAAATTGCCAATTTGATTATATTTTTGTATGTGGACAGAGAGAAGAAAGGAGACTGCTTGTCAGGAATGGTGATAAAACACACCAAGATGGCGGATGTTGCAGAAAGTCAGCGTTTTGCTGAGGGAGAGAGCTGTATTGTGACATTCAAGAGACACCCTAGTCATCTCAGGTAGGCAGAAATCTGAATCTTCTGTATATCTGTTCTTTTGCAGGCAATGCCTGGCACCTTTCATGTATGTTTCTCTTCTGCGGCAGGCAATTCTTGGTGCCTGTCATGTATATTTCTGTTCTGCTGCTGGCAATTCTCGGTGCCTGTCATGTATATTTCTGTTCTGCTGCGGGCAATTCTCGGTGCCTGTCAGGTATATTTCTGTTCTGCTGCGGGCAATTCTCAGTGCCTGTCATGTATATTTCTGTTCTGCTGCAGGCAATTCTCAGTGCCTGTCATGTATATTTCTGTTCTGCTGCAGGCACTTTCCGGCACCTCTTCACACTCTCGGATTCTCCAAGAACGACTCGGTGGCCATCAGCTCTGATGATGGGCGTCTCCTTGTCCTCTCCTCCGGCTTTATATACAACATCAGTGAAGGCACAGTGGACATTGTTGTAGACAGGTATCCCCACACATAAGCGTGTTGAACATTGACTGTACCAGTGCAGGAAAATACTCCAGCCAACAAGTTACCCACTGAACCAGTAGTTCACTAAGTGACCAACCGTTTAATATTCAAGTGGGGGGGGAGGGGGGCTGAGATTATATTACAGATTTATTGGGGCTATTTTCGCGATTACGATTGTATTGCAATGGTAGCCTTACTATTGCAATAGTATTATGAATGTATTAAACCAACTTAAAGTCTTGATAATTATAATAATGTGTGTAATAGAAATGAATAAAGTATTGCCAACAATGTCAAAATCTGCCATTTTCCTCCCTGTCCCTACTCAAACCAAAGGGAAGTAACTCTTATCTGGACTTGTCATTATCCACGCTAACCAACACACATGCAGCAACACACATGAAGGTTTGAAATTCGTATAGTTTCTTTTATTTATAATTAATTGCAACTATTGAAACTATTGTAGGGCAAACAATTGCAATATATTGATAGTTCCATGCATAATTACTCCTTGACGTAATTGTCATGTTGGGTCCATCATTGCTTGCTGGAGAAGTTGACTGATTGTCATCATACCAAGATGTCAGAAATGCATCATCTAAACCATTACAGATATGTCTCTGATTACCAGAACAAATCACACGCAAAGATCCGGGGTAGAATAGGTCTTCAGCATGCTTGCCGTAAAAGGCCACTATGCATGTTGTAAGAGGCGACTAATGGGATTGGGTGGTCAGGCTCACTGGCTTGGTTGATGCATGTCATTGTATTCCAATAGCGTGCATCGATGCTCATGATGTCAATTGGGATAGAATAGGTCTTCAGCAACCCATGCTTGCTTTAAAAGGCGACTATGCTTGTCGTAAGAGACGACTGACGGGATTAGGTGGTCTTGCTTGCTGACATGTTTGATGCATGTCATGGTATCCCCAATTGTGTAGATCAATTCTCATGATGTGGTCCTGACTCGATTATTTAGACCTCCTTTATATAGCTGAAATATTGCTGAGTGCAGCATTAAACAAAAAGCAAAACAAACAAATAAAAAATTACCAGAACAACATCTATACCCCCACTGACTGAGACTTAGCGCCTCATGACAGTTGTTATCACCTAGGGGCGTCTTCCACGAGGACCCAGCACTGCGGAACATCACCTACCGCCTCGACCGCTGTGACAACTTCAACACCCTTGGCTACCTCTTCACCAACCTCTCCCGACTGCTTACCAACCAACATTCCAAGTAGGTGCAACCAAGCAGCATCAACAACCAACACTCTACATAGGACACACCATATATGTAGTGTTAGATATTGGCACTGGTCCTATAGTCTTTCCCAACTGGTTAAGGTATCATAAGGACTAGTAGAAATTTGCCCTTTTTAAGGGCTTTGCTAAATGTTATCATTATAAGGACTAGTGTTTCTATTGCTGTAGGAGGCACGGGTGGCCCAGTCGTCTAAGGCGCCGCGATTCGCTGTGCAGAGTTGCGTCCCTTGGGCACACCAGAAACCTATGATTGTGGGTTCGAATCCCGGTTCGCCCCGATTATGTTTCTAGGTTTGTTAGCACCATACCCGTGCTGCGCGTGGGTTTCACTGAAGTGGTAAACGTCTGAGGCCTGCATCACTTCGGGCTTTCCTCCCACATCAAGCTGACACGCCGTGATATAACTGTAATAATGTTAAATCCAACTCTCTCACTCACTCTATCGCTGTATATGTACTCATTCTTTGTTAACAAATAACACTTCTGTCTGTTAACTCTACACATTGTTACTCCAGTGTAGAAACCACTAGAAAGTAGGGCTGGGACGAGTCCAAAGTTACTACCCGGGTACCCATCCCCCATTACCCGACCCTACCCAGGTACCCACTGTAGGTCTCTAGAGATATGAAATGTCCGATTCTGAATTGTTTTACCACAGCACTTGCAAAACGTATTTAGATACACGTGTAAAACGATCTGGTCATGCATACACTTAAGTTGACTTAAGTTATATCTTTATTCAACCATATGAAAAGTCAAAAGGAATGGGTGCATAGTCAGAAAGAAATGCGAACATTAGTGACTTGTAGTGTAACCATAGAGTTCTTGATAATTTTTGTCATTAAACAATATATCACATGACTAACCACGGGTCCGGGTAGGCCTGTGGGTAACCGGGGTCCTACTCAGTACCCACCCGATCCGGGTACCCGAGTTACCCGTCCCAGCCCTACTAGAAAGGTAAAGAAAAAACATTTGAGAAAGTGGGCTTTCTGGTAGATATCAATGAAGTGATCTTGTCAATTAACAGGGAGAGGCTAAGAGAGCTGATCATAGACAAGAAGAAGCCCCAGTTCCAGCTGACAATGTCCAAGGGCACCATTGAGAAAGGTGTGTGACCATGACACTCGACCTTCAGTACACCAAGTGGGGCGGGGCGATATAGGAACAGAGTCCCTTCGTCCGTCTACTTCTCAAAGGGGACAAATTTTCTGAAAAACTCTTTAAGTCAGAGAAATGAGATTTTACACACATATTTTACTGGTCAGTGATCTCAAATAAATTTGAATATTGGTGTTGTAAATTAAATTTTTACAGAGTGATGGCCCTTGTTTTCTCAGATACAACTGAAGTTACATGAATAAAAGTTTGCATGCTTATGTAAGAGATACTTTTCAAGACTGAGTTCATAAATTGGTCCCATCAATTATTTCTTTATAGAGTTTCGGCCCTTGATCCATGTTCTTATACTAAGTGCATAGTGTCTGCAAAAGGAACAAATTTTTCAAGAAACTATAGAAGTTACCCTATCTAAGAGATATGTGTCAAGACTCAGTTATTATTTGTATTCATTTCACATTTAATCATTTTTTCTTGTGACATAACGCGACCCTAGTGTCTATATCTTCTTAAGGCTTTATAGGACACTATTTTATAGTTGATATTCACTACTATATGAACAAACAAAATTCTCACATGCCCCATGGAGGGAGGGATAATTATAAAGCTGTTTTCTTGTTTAGTCGTGGTTTACTTATTCTTAAGTAGCACTTAGGTAATATCAGACTTAGGTAATCTCACCCTGCATGTGACATACATTGTATCCCTTCTCACCTAGCATTATACAGTCATGTTCATGGACTTGTGATAAACTGGTGTAAGGTGCTGCGATTAGAAAATCTACCAACCTCTTTTTGGTAAGCAGGATTCAGGGGTCTGTTAAGAGGGTTTTCAGGAAACAGCAGTGTGGTATGGGGATGCAAATGAAATCGTATTTGCTCTGTAGATTCAAAATTTAAAAAATAATAATGGTGTGCATAAACAATTTCTTTATATATCTAATTTTTTCAGTAAATTAACTTGCCATTGAACCTTGACCTAGGAACGTGTTCTATAAGTTTTCATCTGTGTCAACACTCTGCCTTTGTAGAGTGAATTCTGACGTGCTTTTGAGTAAGTAGTATTCGGGATTCAGGGGTGAAATATTAGATGGGATTCAGGTGAAGAGGGGTTGGTGTCTTCATTAGAGTTGCAACCGCCTCTGTGGTCTAGAGGTAGAGAGTCCGCCCGGAGAGCGGAAGGTCCAGGGTTCGAACCCCGGCCGCGTCATACCCAAAGGTGTTAAAAGATGGTACTTGTTGTTACCCTGTCTTGCGCTCGGCATTAAGGGGCTAAAACAAGGACTGGTCGGCTTGGAGTCGGTATACTGTGTCTGAGTGGGGAATTCATGTTAAACTGTGCCATGGTATCTTAGTGAGCTAACACTATAAATCGGCATCAGTCCGGACTAGTACAAGCAGCCACACACACACGTGCATGCACGTCGCTATATAAGTGCAATAATCTTTGACACGACGTTAACCCCAATTTCACCTTACCTCACCTCACCTCACCTCACCTCAACTCACCTCACCTCATTAGAGTTGCAGGTTTGTGTTCCTTGGTTCTGGATCTTGGTTTTAAAATCATTGTCAGTCTCTCACTTCAGTGAGAAAGAACGAAAGAGATTTTGCGTAGCCCGTTTAAAATACAGCCATACAATGTTGGCCATCTATTAGACATTCCAGAATATTCTTTTGTTCAGATTTCAAATTTTGAATCGAGAACTTGGTCGAAATGATTTAAAAATGTAATTGAAGTTGCCAGTAGGAAATTAGTTTTGTATATCTCTAGTAAGCTGCTTTCTGATTAGCTAATATCGATTTTTTGTTAGTCATTTCATTGATTGGTCAAAGTTTGTGAAAAGTTGTTGTGATGTGACCAGTAATGGGATGTCTTCAGATCTTTGATTAACGGTAGTGACAACTAAGATCTGATTTTAGTGAGTTTTGTGTTCCACCAGAGATAAGTATCTGACTGTGCATCTCTTCAAGCTTTCCTCCTAAGCTGCCATGTTACATAACTGATGTACTGTTCAATGTGGCATGAAATCCAACTCACTCACTACAGTCAAGTCTCGTTAATCCGACACTTGTTAATCTGACGATCGGCTTTATCCGAGACTAATTATGAGAACCGATTAATTCATTGCTATTCAGACCCGTTAATCCGACAGTCTCGCACTCCGACTCTGACATACCTAGATTGCAACGAATTACCGAAATCACTCATTTATCAGTCTTGTTAATCTGACACAGTGATCAGCATACTCCATGGTCATCTGCCCGCGAGTACACAGCCCATGTCATACAGTCATACAGTCTGTAACAGTTGTTTTGTGTTGATCTTTAGGGGTTGCATGATTAGAAAACATATTCCGCTAACAATGTAACATAACAATATGAATATTTCATTTTTTTTTTTTATTACGTGTTTGTATCGTTATCTATCATGTAGTTGTCCAATTTTCGATCACAAATGTTGATACTACTTAATTTCATTTTTCCGACATACTCGCTAATCCGACATAATCATATGCAACCATGTCAGATTAACGGAACTTGACTATATATATTCCATGTCAATCTCATTAAAATCAGATCTTAGTTCTTGCTATCGCTAAACAAAGATCTGAGGACATCCCATTACGGGTCATGTCAGAACGACCTTTCATCCGACCAATCAAAGCGTCGCTTACCAGATCATGAAAGTGACAGTCGGTATGTGTTTTCTAATCATGCAACCTCGAAAACGTTAACACGGTGTATTCTGAACGACAGTTACAGCCCGTACAACTGATTCTGTCTATCTTTCGCTTCCGTGGGATAAACATTTGAACTGAGGAGGCATTGCACAGTACGTGGGAAGCACTGCCATACAATCTCAACCATATATTAGACATTCCGGAAAGTTCGTTTGTTCAGTTTTCAAAATTTTAATCGAGAACTGTGCCAACATATTTTTCAAGCGTAGTCTGAAATGGAAGTCGTTAGGTTGAAACGAGTGCTGTAATGCTCGAGAAAGCTGCTTTCTAACTGGCTGATGTCGATTTCTTGTTAGTCATTTCAATGGTCGGTCAAAGTTTCGTGAAAGGTCGCTCTGACGTGACCCATAATGGGTTGTCCTCAGATCTTTGCTTAGCTGCAGCGAGAACTAAGATCTGATTTTAGTGAGACTGTATTCCATGTACACTTTGTGTTGCAGTGAAGCCCATCTTCAAATCTCTCAACAAGCCACAGAAGGCCGTCATCCTCAAGGTCAGTCTCTTCAGTGGGATTCTGGGTTAGAATAGGTCCCCAGGAGCCTGTGCTGGTGCTCCATAAAGACCTGGGTTAGAAAAGTTCCCCAGGAGCCTGTGCTGGTGCTCCATAAAGACCTGGGTTAGAATAGGTCTCCAGGAGCCTGTGCTGGTGCTCCATGAAGACCTGGGTTAGAATAAGTCCCCAGGAGCCTGTGCTGGTGCTCAATGAAGACCTGGGTTAGAATAGGTCCCCAGGAGGCTGTGCTGGTGCTCCATAAAGACCTGGGTTAGAATAGGTCTCCAGGAGCCTGTGCTGGTGCTCCATGAAGACCTGGGTTAGAATAAGTCCCCAGGAGCCTGTGCTGGTGCTCCATGAAGACCTGGGTTAGAATAGGTCCCCAGGAGCCTGTGCTGGTGCTCCATAAAGACCTGGGTTAGAATAGGTCCCCAGGAGCCTGTGATGGTGCTCCATAAAGACCTGGGTTAGAATAGGTCCCCAGGAGCCTGTGCTGGTGCTCCATAAAGACCTGGGTTAGAAAAGGTCCCCAGGAGTCTGTGCTGGTGCTCCATAAAGACCTGGGTTAGAATAGGTCCCCAGGAGCCTGTGCTGGTGCTCCATAAAGACCTGGTTTAGAATAGGTCCCCAGGAGCCTGTGCTGGTGCTCCATAAAGACCTGGGTTAGAATAGGTCTCCAGCAACCCATGCTCGTTGTAAAAGGCGACTAACAGGATCGGGGTGTCATCATATCCAAATGTCGTAGATCAATGTTCATGATGTCAATCGGGCGGTGGGGTAGCCTAGTGGTTAAAGCATACCCTCATCACACTGAAGACCCAGGTTTGATTCCCCACATGGGTACAATGTGGAAAGCCTATGTCTGGTTTCCCCCGTCATGATATTGCTGGAATATTGCTAAATGCGTCGTAAAACCATACTCTCTCACTCACTCATGATGTCAATCACTGGATTGCCTGGTCCAAGCTCGTTTATTTTAAGGCGGCTACTGCAGCATTAAACAACTAACAAACTTAATTCTCCATTGTATCATATCTCCAGTCTGTTCTGATAAATACACTGGATCCATTCTCCTGAATAGCTGTGTTTTGAGTTTGAATGACACAATGCTAAAATTAGCCGTCCAATCAAATTACGCTATTCTTACATGATTAAGACAAGCAGCGCTGTGAACAGGACTTGATGCACTTTGTTGCGTATGGTCACAAATACACCTGGAATACCTGATAGCATAACGACTTTCACTGTCTTAATACTCAGGTTGTGAGAGGCGACCAAGTGGATCGGGTAGTCCGGCTTGGTGACTAGGTTGTTGGCATGTCAGTGTACCCTGATGACGTGGATCGTTGCTCACAATATCAGTCACTGGATTGTCTGGTTCAGCAGCAATACAACCAGTGCTGACAGATGAAGATCCAGGGTAGAATAGGTCTTCAGCAACCCATGCTTGCCGTAAAAGGCGACTATGCTTGTCGTAAGAGGCGACTGACGGGATTGGGTGATCAGGCTCGCTGACTTGGTTGGTGCATGTCATCATATCCTGATTGCATGGATTGATGCTTGTGATGTTAATCACTGGATTGTCTGGTCCAGACTCGAATATTTTCAGGCCACTGCTGAGTTCAGCATTAAACAAGAAACAAACAAATAAGTTTATGGATGAGTACTCACACTGGGAAACACACCTTTCCTTTTTGGTGGAGATTCTTTCACTGACTGGGTTCAGTACACATTGACTAGATTCAGTACACATTGACTGGGTTCAGTACACACTGACTGGGTTCAGTACACATCGACATGGTTCAGTACACATTGACTGGGTTCAGTACACAATGACTGGGTTCAGTACACATCGACTGGGTTCAGTACACATTGACTGGGTTCAGTACACATTGACTGGGTTCAGTACACACTGACTGGGTTCAGTACACAATGACTGGCTTCAGTACACACTGACTGGGTTCAGTACACACTGACTGGTTTCAGTACACATTGACTGGGTTCAGTACACACTGACTGGGTTCAGTACACATTGACTGGGTTCAGTACACATTGACTGGGTTCAGTACACACTGACTGGGTTCAGTACACACTGACTGGTTTCAGTACACATTGACTGGGTTTGTTTGGCAGATACTGATGAGCAAGGACTACGTGCTGATCAAGGGCTACCCTGGTACAGGTGAGTTACAGCTTATCATATAAAGTGGAACCTGTTTAAACTGGACACTGACTAATCTGGATCAGTACCAAACCAAATACAGTCCAGAATTTACGTTGTTAGTTTCTCATCAAGTGAAATCTGTCTAATCTGGACTGAAATTGTGCGACAAAGGATTATTTATCATGTAATTTGTGTAATCCTAAACCGGATTAATTTTTCCCTAGTACATCCAGTTAGCTGTTTTCATCCGCACGGATGGCCTTGTCATCTAAGGTACCACATTTTGCTGTGCAGAGTTGTGTCCCTTGGGCACACCAGAACCTATGATTGTGGGTTCAAATCCAGATTCGCCCTGATTATGTTGCTAGGTTTGTCAGCACCATACCCATGCTAGTGGGTTTCACTGAAACGTCTGAGACCTGCCTGACTTCAGGCTTTAACCAAAATCAAGATGACACGCTGTGATATGACTGGAATAATGTTGAAAGCGGCGTTAAACCAAACCCTGTCAGTCTGATCGGTAATAATGTGCTTACAACGTTGATTGATACCATAGTATAGGGGTGACTATTGGTCTGGAAATCACTATTGCGATAACTATTCATATTGAAAGAAACTATTGCCATAGCTATTGATATTGCAAGCAACTATTGCGACAAATATTGATAGTTTTCAGTGTATCATTTTAGATGGATTTTAGAGTTGAATTAAACCTTGGAACTGAAGTTTACTTTGAATGTGATAACCATAACAACAAATAAAAAGTAAAGTTTGAGATATGGCTGATTTGTTTTTTCTTTACCCTAATAATTTAAGAAAAAGTAACTTCCACGTTACTATGTGTAAATTACTACCACTCATGATCAAAAGAAAAACAAATTTGAAGAGCATTGACTCAATCACATGATATGGTAAATACAATGGAAACTATCAATATTCCTAACTGAGATCGATACTATTGATTGGAAACTGATTTAACAATCAATTTATTGACTTTAAGTGCTTACCAATAGCAATACATCGATATTTCGATTGATCGTGACACCCCTACTATAGTACGGTACAGCCATTGAAAATTTTTGCGAGTCCCTTAGCCCAAGACTTCTAGCTTGTGTGACAGTCAAAAGTGACCCGTGAAGATCCGGGTGAATAGATCTTCAGCAACCCATGCTTGCCGTAAAAAGCGACTATGCTTGTCGTAAGACGACTAACGGGATTGGGTGGTCAGGCTCGCTGACTTGGTTGATGCATGTCATCAATCCCAATTGTGTGGATCGATGTTCATGGTGTCAATCACTTGATTGTCTGGTCCAGACTCGATTATTTACAGACCGCCGTCATATAGCTGGAATATTGCTGAGTGCAGTGTTAAACAACAAACAAACAAAAAACAAAAAAAGACAGTCAATAGTAAACAATATAATAAACATGATGAGGGTTTGAGCAACCATCACCTAAATACAACCAATGCAGCGTCGACCATGTCTGTGTCAAGACATTCTGTTACCATGGTTACCATTCATTCTATTGTGATAAATCCCCGGGAGTAATTTGCCGCCACAGCTTCGTTTTTTAGCCAGCAGGAATGTCTTGATGCTAAAAATAGTTGTCTAATCAAATTACGCTGTCCTTCCATGATGCATCAGGCAGCAATACAAACAGTGCCACCAGCTCTCGCCCCCTGCCTTGGTGTGTACTGACTTAGCTACGACTGACCCGTGAAGATCCAGGGTAGATTAGGTCTTCAGCAACCATGCTTGCCGTAACAGGCAACTATGCTTGTTGTAAGAGGCAACTAACGGAATAGGGTGGTCAGGTTTGCTGGTATACCTGTATATATACTTGTCAACCATACTCTGTACAACACTAGCTTAATAACGGTGTTAGAACCTACACCGAAACATCGCTCCAAATTGTAAATTAAATAAAAAAGTTGTTCATCCATATATATTGTCCTTACTTACTTCATGAGGGATCGGATGGTCAGGCTCGCTGACTTGGTTGATGCATGTCATTGTATCCCAGTTTCTTAGATCGATGCTCATAATGTCAGTCACTGGATTGTCTGGTCCAGACTCGATTATTTACAGAATAATAATGGTCTGTATGGATCTGTATTTATCATAACAGAATGTAGATATACTGGATAAGCCTGGTCGGTGTCAATGTAAATGTAACTGTAAATGTAACTGTAAATGTAACTGTAAATGTAACTGTAACTGTAACTGTAAATGTAAATGTAAATGTAACTGTAACTGTAAATGTAACTGTAACTGTAAATGTAACTGTAACTGTAAATGTAAATGTAAATGTAACTGTAAATGTAACTGTAACTGTAAATGTAAATGTAAATGTAAATGTAACTGTAACTGTAACTGTAAATGTAACTGTAAATGTAAATGTAACTGTAAATGTAACTGTAACTGTAACTGTAACTGTAACTGTAAATGTAAACGTAAACGTAAACGTAACTGTAACTGTAACTGTAAATGTAACTGTAAATGTAACTGTAACTGTAAATGTAAATGTAACTGTAACTGTAACTGTAAATGTAACTGTAACTGTAACTGTAACTGTAACTGTAACTGTAAATGTAAATGTAACTGTAACTGTAACTGTAACTGTAACTGTAACTGTAAATGTAAATGTAAATGTAAATGTCTCGTGAAGGTAAGACCTCCACCATCGTGGCCCTGGTCCGCATCCTCAGCTGCCTCGGTCTCTCCGTCCTCCTGACCAGCTACACCCACTCCGCTGTCGACAACATCCTGCTCAAACTCAAGAAGGTATGTATGTCATCAGTTTAGTTGTAGTATCATCATAGCCATAAAGTGCCCAAAAGTGACAAAGGGAGAAGCTCATCAAGACCATGCGTAAGTTAAATTTGTTTTCAGAGAATGAGCAGTAGTGACTAAACTTTGTTCAAACATTGATTGGGGTCACCCAGTCATCTAAGGTCCCCCCATTCGCTGTGCAGAGTTTTGTCCCTTGGGCATGCCAGAAACCTATGATTGTGGGTTCGAATCCTGGTTCGCCCCGATTATGTTTCTAGGTTTGTCAGCACCATACCCATGCTAGTGGGTTTCACTGAAGTGGTAAATGTCTGAGACCTGCATCACTTTGGGCTTTTAAGCTGACACGTAGCGATATAACTGGAATAATGTTAAAAGCGGCATTAAACCCAACTCACTCACTCACTCACTCACTCACTCACTCACTCACTCACTCACTCACTCACTCACTCACTCATTCACTCACTCAAACATTGATTGAGCTAAAACGTTTTCAATAATTGTTACTTGTCAGTTTGCATTGCAACATTGCTACATTTCTGTAAAAATAAATCTGTAACATACACAAGAAAATGTTGACTTGGTATAGGTACTTATAATGATTACTTATAGATTGGTCGAGACGTTGGTCAGGGGTTGCTTAATACGACGAATACGGTAATCATATTCCAGCTGAATGTAAACTTTCTACGGCTGGGTCGTCTCGGCAGGATCCACCCCGATCTTCATGACCACGCCGGGGAGGTCCTCACGTCCAAGATAACCTCCGTCCATGAGCTGCGCACATTCTACGAGTCACAGGTCAGTGGGATTTAAATACTGGACATTCTGTCTGTTTTTTAGCACAATAACAAGATCTCTATTAGAAGTCGATGAGCCTTCAAAGATAGTGGAGTAAATTGTTTGTGAACATTATTGAAGTCAATTATTCAATAAGCTTGACTTACCTCACAAGTTTATAGAGGATATTATATTCGTGTTTGTGTTTATGACACGAGTGTCTAAATTCCCGTATTTCCCAAGCGAGAGCCATAGAAGATGTCTACATACAGAGACGAATTTTAGTGTTTACCTATAGGGACAGCAAGTTGCAACAGCAGCAGAGCCACAATTTGCCGAGTGACATCAACAATCTTCAGATATGACATTGTTTCTAGTGTGACGTCATTCCGACCTCACATCACAATAAGAATCGAATGATATCAACAATGCCATCCGGATAACAGAAACAGTACAATGTTGTCGTGTGACATGATATGACCCTAGGGCACATATGATTTTTATGAAGCCAGATATGTTTGCCCTCGTAGGTAATAAATGCTATTTGTAAATCATTGATAGCCGTTGCGAGCTTTGTTTCTCTATATTTTTTATTAATAAAGTCATGAAAGTGGTTGCTTTAAAATCAATGTCTTTGCACAATTAATGATATTAACACACAAAAAACAGTAAGTAATAATAACCATTTCTGCCTAGTATCCTGAAACACTCAAAAAGAAGCAACCAAATACATTTTCTGGGAAATTGCAGAAATACTGTGCCTGTGGATTGTTTTCCTTTGACATTTCTGATTATGGCTTTCCTTTGCTGATTCATTCACATATTTGTTTCAGAACATAGTAGCCACCAGCTGCCTGGGTGTGAACCACCCTATCTTCTCACAGCGCAGGTTTGACGTGTGCATCGTGGACGAGGCGTCGCAGGTGCTGCAGCCAGCTTGTCTCGGACCTCTGTTTGCAGCAGACCGGTTTGTGCTGGTCGGGGACCCCAAGCAGCTGCCGCCAGTTGTACAGAGCAGGGAGGCCCGGTGAGTGGCGTCTTCCTGTCACAGAGTGTAAGCCTTGGTGGCACTTGCAGTATAAGTCTTGTCTCAATACGGTTGCCCTTACAGTGTAAGTCTTGTCTCAATACGGTTGCCCTTACAGTGTAAGTCTTGTCTCAATACGGTTGCTCTTGCCATGTAAGCATTGTCTCAATACGGTTGCCCTTGCCATGTAAGCCTTGTCTCACTTAAGGTTGCCCTTGGGGTGTAAGCCTTGTCTCAATACGGTTGCCCTTACAGTGTAAGCATTGTCTCACTTACGGTTGCCCTTGCCATGTAAGCATTGTCTCACTTACGGTTGCCCTTACAGTGTAAGCCTTGTCTCAATAGGGTTGCCCTTGCAGTGTAAGCCTTGTCTCAATTACGGTTGACCATAGGGTGTAAGCCTTGTCTCAATACGGTTGACCTTGCTGTGTAAGCCTTGTCTCAATTATGATTGCCCTTGCAGTGTAAGCCTTGTCTCAATTACGGTTTACCTTGCGGTGTAAGCCTTGTCTCAATTATGGTTGCCCTTGCAGTGTAAGCCTTGTCTCAGTTATGGTTGACCTTGCTGTGTAAGCCTTGTCTCAATTATGGTTGCCCTTGCAGTGTAAGCCTTATCTCAATTACGGTTGACCATGGGGTGTAAGCCTTGTCTCAGTTATGGTTGACCTTGCTGTGTAAGCCTTGTCTCAATTATGGTTGCCCTTGCAGTGTAAGCCTTGTCTCAATTATGGTTGCCCTTGCAGTGTAAGCCTTGTCTCAGTTATGGTTGACCTTGCTGTGTAAGCCTTGTCTCAATTATGGTTGCCCTTGCTGTGAAAGCCTTGTCTCAATTACGGTTTACCTTGCTGTGTAAGCCTTGTCTCAATTATGGTTGACCATGGGGTGTAAGCCTTGTCTCAGTTATGGTTGACCTTGCTGTGTAAGCCTTGTCTCAATTATGGTTGCCCTTGCAGTGAAAGCCTTGTCTCAATTACGGTTTACCTTGCGGTGTAAGCCTTGTCTCAATTACAGTTGCCCTCACAGTGTAAGCATTGTGTCATTATGGTTGCCCTTGCACACAGGCCTAAGTTTGGCAGTGAAGCCTTAGAAGGCCCTTAGAATGGGAAAACATCTGTGAAGAGACCTTGAATTATTCATGCATGGTTAATTGTTCTGTTAGATAAATTTTATATTTTTTCACACTTATCATGTAGTCTGTAACGTGACATTAGTGTTTGTACGTACATCTGTCAACTGTCTATTTTGAGCTACAACTCAGCCATGCTGACAATGAATTAAAGTAAGAATGTCCTAATAATTCTGTTTGAAAGTGCAGTTAGGTTTTAGCTTTGAAAATGTGATAGGCCTTAATTTGTTTTAATGATTGGCTTTGTCTTGGGTAGGTTAGCACTTGTCTTACAAGTATTGCCATTGTCTAGGTGTATATAGCAGGGTAGGCCTTGTCTTACAAGTACTGCCGTTGTCTAGGTGTATGTAGCAGGGTAGGCCTTGTCTTACAAGTATTGCCATTGTCTAGGTGTACATAGCAGGGTAGGCCTTGTCTTATAGTATTGCCATTGTCTAGGTGTATGTAGCAGAGTAGCCATGACAACGTGAATCTCTTCCATTCCCTGCAGGGAACTGGGTATGGGGGAGAGTCTGTTTGCTCGTCTTGATGACGCTGGTGCAACCTTTGACCTGAACCTCCAGTACCGAATGAACAAGACCATCATGCACCTGAGCAACGAGTTGATGTACAGCGGTCTGCTGCAGTGTGGGAGCAGCGAGGTGGCCGACACCTGTCTGGTCCTGCCTGAACCCAGTGTCCACAGCCGACTTTGGCTTGACCGGGTCCTCACGTCCGATCTGCAGCATGCAGCCATCTTCCTGGACACCAACAAGGTGAAGGTCATATTACAGAGTTATCAGTTATAAAAGTGTTCAGGATAATAGGCATTCATAACGGGATTTATTGACCACTTCAGTGAGATGTAACAAATGTTATATTGGGGATAACACTTTCTTAGTAAAGTACAGATTCTAGTACTTTTTTGGGTTGAGTCCCGTCAAAGTACGTGATCTAGACTACCAGTTGTCGGACTTTCATTTTTGTGGAAGCCTCGGTGGCTGAGTGGGTTAGATCAACACTGTGCTGGAGATTAGGTGCCTCACTCTGGCAAGTGTGGGTTCAAATCTCGGACGGGACTCAACCAAAAAACGTACGAGTATCTGTACTTTACTAAGAAAGTGTTATCCCAAATATAACATTTGTTACATTTGATCACTTTCTAAATGGCATTGTGTATTCATACTTCAGTGAGAGTTTGCTGAAGTTGAGAAAAGTGGTATTTTCATTGCAGTGACTTGATATTTCACTGCAGTGAACATAACACTTTGACAGTACTATTGTCATTCAAGAGCTACCCCCCAAATTGTCTCCCTTTATCGTAAGTGTCTGGGCTGAAAAAAAACTGTTGACTTCCTTTTTACGTTAGTTCCAAATTGACAAGGCAAAATGACAGATGGTCTTTTATGGAGTTAATATCACTTCTTGCCATTTGTTATTCTCTTGAAAATGTTTCGTTTTAAACTGTAAATTTCTCATTTAACTCGTCAATCGAGACAGTTCGTTACGCAAAGCAATATGTTTTAGTCTGTTTTCAGTCGTACAATTGGGTATCTCATACCTCTAGTCGCACGTTAAAAGGAAGCTAGAAGCTGGAATGTAAACAATAAACTTGTTTCCGTCCGGTTGCGCATGCAGCGCGCCTCTGAGCTGGTCGCTCGAGAAGGCCTTTCGCGATAGACTGCTAGTTTGTATTCTACTAGTCCGTATCGTGTGTCTACAGTTGTTCTAATACAGTAATAATACTATGTCTTACCTGTAGACTCCTGGAATGTAATCATTGGTAATCCATTGTTTGGGTTCAACACGTGTTTCACTTGATTATACACGTGGCAACATGTCGGGCATTTGTGCCTCGTGTCAAGGACAACTGTCTAAAGTAGATCCTCACAAGTATTGTCCTTCCTGCATAAATAAGGACGGGCTTTCAACGTGTTCGTGGAATAAACGTTGTTAAGAATGTGAGCATTTGTCTTCTATCAACTTTAACTTGTATCTTCGTGCGTTGGCGAAGCGGGCTACTGACCAGCGCTACAGGCAGAGGAGGTCATCGGGTGGATCCTTGGACTCTGCACCCCCTACATCTGGCCCTGGGGGTGGCCCGTTGGCCACACCCAAGAAATCAGTTGAAAAAGACCCGCCTCAGTCAACTTATGTTTTTTGACAAGACACGGGACCGTTCGCCTGCTGATGATACTACCCGCACGACTGATCTTCGTCAATCGGTTGATCGAGAGCGTCACTCAGCCACCCCCGTTACGACGGGACCGGGTGGTGACGAGGACCACGAGGGGACTACGGTCCCCAGTCGGTCCGTCTCTCGTCTTACCAACGACGATAGGAACGTTGTGCGGGTCGACAGTGAACACAGATCCCTCTCTAGAAGTCGTTCCCGTTCACGGGACGACAGGTCGAGGGCCTCGTCGAGTGACAGTAAACGACACGAGGACGTTCGTCGCCTTCGAGGTCGTCGGGAGTTCGATTCGGACGATAACTACGATGGGGATCGTAGTACTTCTACAGTTAGAGATCGTAGCCCTCGCCCCCACGGCCAGATGACGGCGGCGGTACTCGCCTTGACGGCGTCGACCGAGAAGGGTTCGTCTACATCGGAGGTCCATGGACCATCGTCCTGTACACCGGTTCCTTCATCTACGCCTACACAATCGACGTCGACGATGGATTGTGACGACAGCGTCGTAGAGAAAATGATCGATCGTGACCCTCGTCTCACTTTCATATCGACCCGGCTTTGATAGGCCAGATGACGGCGGCGGTACTCGCCTTGACGGCGTCGACCGAGAAGGGTTCATCTACGTCGGAGGTCCATGGACAATCGTCCTGTACACCGGTTCCTTCATCTACGCCTACACAATCGATGTCGACGATGGATTGTGACGACAGCGTCGTAGAGATAATGACCGATCGACACCCTCGTCTCACTTTCATATCGCCCCAGCTTTGATAGCCCAGATCACGACGGCGGTACTCACCTCCAGGGCGTCGACCAAGAAGGATTCGACTACGTCAGAGGTCCATGGACCATCGACCAATACACCAGTACCTTCATCTACATCTACACAATCGACGTCGACGATGGATTGTGACGACAGCCTGGCTATGGCTTGGCTATCTCACTTTTCTGCCTGAGTTATCAAAAGATGATGACAAACCGACGTGTGCTGGCTTAAAGGTTGGAGATACGCCGCAGTCTCTTCAGTCTTCTCCTCCCAATGTCTTCAGAGCCATGGTTCACGATATGGACCAGAACTTGCCTCTGCTCTGCCGGGGCAGAGTTTCAGCAAACCACCTGTTCGATCGCGTTACCCGATCTATGGCATGCCGTTTTCGTCACCCATGAGTAGGGACTTGGATTGGGGGCTACTCTTCAAGAAACCAGCGCCCTCCAAGATTCTTGTAGTAGACAGGCATTGGGGTTCCATGGACACTGCTGTTCGTCTCCAGCTACAACCGCTTGCTATGCTGTCGACAGCGAGCCGGCGGGGGAGGTAATGAGGTCCCTTTTCCCCGCCGTCACCGTCGTCGGAGCCTACTACCTTTAGACGAGCTACCGGTAGGGGGAAGACTTCATCACACGGATCATGAAGACGGTCGTAGAATGGCTCCGTCGGCAGGCGATCAGGGTCGCCTTCTACCTAGACGAGCCGTCTCCTACGGGCGACAGGCTCACTAAAATACCGGAATTGCAGAAAATTCTACGTGCCTTCATGGTTGAAGATGAGTCACATTAATTCCGCCTGCCGGCCTGGGACCTCAATATCGTTCTGCGCTACCTGTCTAGTTAGACTTACGAGCCTCTCGATCAGGTCGCCTTCGACATTGTCTCCGACTAGAAGTACTGCTCGTATTTTTTAGTTACCTTGTATACTGCGAGTTGCTCTGTAACTAAATTATGCGCCGACCACACTTCGATCGCATTTCATCTGTCGTGTGCAGTTGTCATGTCGCATCGATAATTTGTTGTGTGTCGAAGAGCATTAACCATGCTATTTTTCGTTACCTTGGATACGACGAGTCGTTCTGAACCACTTTATATACCGTCCACACTTCGATCGCAATTCAACTGTCGTGTGCAGTTGTCCTGTCGCTTCGATAGTTACTTGTGGGTCGAAGAGCATTAAACATGCTGTTTTAGTTACCTTGTATACTGGGAGTTGCTCTGTAACTAAATTATGCGCCGACCACACTTCGATCGCAATTCATCTGACGTGTGCAGTTGTCATGTCGCATCGATAATTTGTTGTGTGTCGAAGAGCCTTAACCATGCTATTTTTCGTTACCTTGGATACGACGAGTCGTTCTGAACCACTTTATATACCGTCCACACTTCGATCGCTATTCAACTGTCGTGTGCAGTTGTCCTGTCGCTTCGATAGTTACTTGTGGGTCGAAGAGCATTAAACATGCTGTTTTAGTTACCTTGTATACTGCGAGTTGCTCTGTAACTAAACTATACGTCGACCGCTTCGATCGCAGTTCAACTGACGTGTGCAGTTGTCCTGTCGCATCGATACTTACTTGTGGGTCGAAGAGCATTAAACATGCAGTTTTAGTTACCTTGGATACGACGAGTCGTTCTGAAACTAAATTATATGCCGTCCACACTTCGATTGCAATTCAACTGTCGTGTGCAGTTGCCTTGTCGCATCGATACTTACTTGTGGGTCGAAGAGCATTAAAGATGCTGTTTAGTTACCTTGTATACTGCGAGTTGCTCTGTAACTAAACTATACGTCGACCACTTCGATCGCCGTTCAACTGACGCGTGCAGTTGTCCTGTCGCATCGATAATTAGTAGTGTGTCGAAGAGCATTAAACATGCTGTTTTAGTTACCTTGCCTACGACGAGTCGTTCTGTAACTACATTATAAGCCGACCACGTTTCGATCGCACCTCAACTGACGTGTGCAGTTGTCCTGTCGCATCGATACTTACTTGTGGGTCGAAGAGCATTAAACATGCAGTTTTAGTTACCTTGGATACGACGAGTCGTTCTGAAACTAAATTATATGCCGTCCACACTTCGATTGCAATTCAACTGTCGTGTGCAGTTGCCTTGTCGCATCGATACTTACTTGTGGGTCGAAGAGCATTATAGATGCTGTTTAGTTACCTTGTATACTGCGAGTTGCTCTGTAACTAAACTATACGTCGACCACTTCGATCGCCATTCAACTGACGCATGCAGTTGTCCTGTCGCATCGATAATTAGTTGTGTGTCGATGAGCATTAACCATGTTGTGCGTTCGTGATAAACAATTTGTCTCGTCCGTGCATCTGGTCGAATGTTCTATTGTCACTACGGGGGTGAGGAACTTGGTACATTCGACGTGCAAGAGGTCACTTCCGGATTACTTTCCAGACCCTCCTTCCAGTGTTCCGTCGAATTCTACCCAATTGTACGACTGAAAACAGACTAAAACATGGGTTTTTCAGATTAAAAACGATGTTTTATTGGTCTGTTTTCAGTCGTACGTTCCCACCCAGCCATCCCCACTGGGAAGTAATCCAGTCCAGTCCTGCTTGATGGCTTATTCTTCGAGATTTGTGGCATGTCATCGGGAGGTGCGTGCGCAACCGGACGGAAACAAGTTTATTGTTTACATTCCAGCTTCTAGCTTCCTTTTAACGTGCGACTAGAGGTATGAGATACCCAATTGTACGACTGAAAACAGACCAATAAAACATCGTTTTTAATCTGAAAAACCCATTTTTGTTATTTGACCAGCATGTATTCCTGGCGTAAAACCATACTCACTTACTCACAGCGCATTCCAAGCTGGTGGTTTATGTAATATAGCCATATTTGTTAAGAAAACAAGTTGTCCTTTCATATTGTCCACTTGCCACAGGACAAACTGACTGGCTTGTAAATGTTTATGGCATGGTTGGTTTGGTTTGGTTGGTTTGTTGTTTAACGCTGCGCTCAGCAATATTCCAGCTATATATGTAGGCAGTCTGTAAATAATCGAGTCTGGACCAGACAATCCAGTGATTGATATCATGAGCATCGATCCACGCAATTGGGATCAATGACATGCATCAACCAAGTCAGCGAGCCTGACCACCCGATCCTGTTAGTCGCCTTTTACGACAAGCATAGTCACCTTTTACGGCAAGCATGGGTTGCTGAGGACCTATTCTACCCCGGAATCTTCACAGGTCTTTTTGGCATGGGTATAATGAGGTATTCTAGTAAGAGAAAATTTATGTACGTCAACTTCTTTATTATAAGGAACACAACGTATCGAAGTATACGCTTACTCCTTCATCAGGTGAAGTATGATGGCGTAAGCATTTACTTCGAAACGTATTTCTCATAATAAAATAACTTCTTTGGGAGGCATTTACACGTTGGAGTACTAAGTAAGGAGGTTGAACAACTTCTTTATTACAATGAGGAGCGATGTTTCGGTGTAGGTTCACTTTTTTTTTATAAAACTGGCTTCACCTGTTAAGGTGTTTACCTTATATCCCCCCTTTTGTGTACATAGCAGGCTTCACTCCAGTGTAACTAGATCCTAATCTACGCTAGACCCGTGAAGATCCGGGTTAGAATAGGTCTTCAGCAACCCATGCTTGCCGTAAAAGGCGACTATGCTTGTCGTAAGAGACGACTAACGGGATCGGGTGATCAGGCTTACTGACTTGGTTGATGCATGTCATCGATCCCAATTACGTGGATCGATGCTCATGATATTAATCACTGGATTGTCTGGTCCAGACTCGATTATTTACAGACCGCTGTCGTATAGCTGGAATATTGCTGAGTGCGGCGTTAAACAACAAACCAACCAACCAACTAATCTACTCTACTGTATAGACACTGCCTCCTACCTGTATATACTTGTCAACCATACTCTGTACAACACTAGCTTAATAATGGTGTTAGAACCTACACCGAAACATCGCTCCAAATTGTAAATTAAATAAAGAAGTTGTTCATCCATATATCTTGTCCTTACTTACTTCATGCGGGATCGGGTGGTCAGGCTCGCTGACTTGGTTGATGTGTGTCATTGATCCCAGTTGCGTGGATCGATGCTCATGATATTAATCATGGGTTGTCTGGTCCAGACTCAATTATTTATAGACCGCTGTTATATAGCTGTAATATTGCTGAGTGCGGCGTTAAACAACAAACCAACCAACCAACTTACTTCATGTCCATAAATTCTCTCTCTAATGTGTATCTCTTCTAAGTGCCATTCCACGACTAGGTACTCTAGTGTTAAGGCTTGTTGCAGGTGCCGGCCCCAGAGTCGTCCGATGGTAAGGGCATGTTGAAGAACACCGTAGAGGCTGAGCTTGTCCTCATCATCGTGGCATCACTGGTCCAGGTGAGTAGTCGTCTGTATCCCCGTGAAGGTCTGGGTTAGAATATGTCTTCAGCAACCCATGCTTGTCTCCCCCCGTGAAGGTCTTGGTTAGAATATGTCTTTAGCAACCCATGCTTGTCTCTCCCTGTGTAGGTCTGGGTTAGAATATGTCTTCAACAACCCATGCTTGTCTCCCCCCTGTGTAGGTCTAGGTTAGAATATGTCTTCAGCAACCAATACTTGTCTCCCCCTGCGAAGGTCTGGGTTAGAATCTGTCTTCAGCAACCCATGCTTGTCTCCCCCCGTAAAGGTCTGGGTTAGAATATGTCTTTAGCAACCCATGCTTGTCTCTCCCTGTGAAGGTCTGGGTTAGAATATGTCTTCAGCAACCCATGCTTGTCACCCCCTGTGAAGGTCTGGGTTAGAATCTGTCTTCAGCAACCCAGGCTTGCTTTATGCTTGATTCTTGGGCAGAATCAGCACCCAGTACCCCGTGATTTTCTATCTTTGTGGATTCTTTAGCAGAATCGGCACCCAATAGCCCATGCTTTCCTAATATTTGGGATTCTTAGGCAGAATTGGGACCAAGTACGCTGTGGTTGTCTACCATTGGGAATTCATGGGCAGAATTGTCCCTCCCCCAGTACCCAAAGCTTGTCTGCCATTAGGTACCCCGTCCTCGTCTCATGTACCCGTTCATCTCCTTGCTTTTGTTGCCAGTGTGGCTTGTCCATGGAGGACATTGGAGTCATTGCTCCCTACCGCCACCAGGTAAAGCTCCTGCAGCAGCTACTTCACCAGCGCCACCTAGTGGCAGTAGAGGCCAACACCGTCGACCAGTACCAGGGCCGAGACAAGAGCATCATCATCATGTCCTTCGTCCGCAGCAGCTCACAGAACAACAAGGTGGGTTTATACTGGGCTCAGTGGTGACTAGGTGGACGTGGAAGGGGGATATCGGGATGGGTGCTGCCCATCCATCACGTTTCGTTTCCATCACGTTTCGAGATATCTCAACCAAACTTGGCACATAGATAGGTCTAGTGGTGAACTTGTGCTTTTTGATAGTTTGTGATTTTGAAAATTTATTTTGCGAGTTTCCATACCAACAACTTTGAGCGGTAGTGCTCATTTCTGAAGCAGATCTTGAAAACCATACAATATTTCTTCCCTTGCACACAACCAGACATGTCATATTAGCGGAGGATATGAGTATGTCCTGCTTGTTTCAGTTCATGCCGCAGTTGTACATGAAGCAGGAATATTTCCAGTGAAAAATCGCGGTCAGGTAGCCTAGTGGTTAAAGCGTTCGCTCGTCACGCCGAAGACCCGGGTTTGATTCCCGACATGGGTACAATGTGTCACTGTGAAGCCCATTTTTGGTGTCTCCCGCCATGATATTGCTAAAAGCGGCTTAAAACCAAACTCATCCATCCATCTTCCATCCCGTGAAAAATCAGAATCCAATTTTCATTTGGGAAGCAAAAACGTACCGAATAAATCTTTACATTTATGAAAATTGTAGGTTGCTTTTCGATATAACTGACATCGCAATATTCAAGTGTCAATGTCAATCTAACATTGAAATCCCCATCTAGAATAGGCTTTGGAGCATCTGCAATGATATGAAATGAAAAGAATTCTTGGAAATCAAGTGAAGCGGGAAACACGTCACCAGCCTTTAATCGCTGTGACCTTCATGACATGAGACGCCAAGTTTTCTTGCGAGTCCCGTGGTGATTGCTAGTCTGTGTTGAAATAATGTAAATCCCACCGCAGTCGGGCAGGTGACCCATAAATGTTGCTTGCACATCTTCAAACTTACCTGCCCGCATTCAGACATTATAAATAGTGAAAAATCTAAAAAATAAGAGACAAATCACATCTTGATTCAGTTGATAATGCAAACAGTTAATTGAGGAGTTAATATAAAACTGGATACGTAAGTAGTCTTAGGATTATCTGCCAGAAAGTCGGGGAAGGTGGAGGAAAATCTCATGCCCAATAGAATAGTTACCAGCCACGGTCAGGCAGGCAGGCAGTTATTTCGGTCAGTGTCACTGGTGTAGGTGAAGATTTATGTCCTCCCGTGTGATTTATATACTGTTACTTTCAGTCTGGAGAGCTGCTCCAAGACATCCGGCGCCTGAACGTGGCCGTGACGCGAGCTAAACACAAACTGATCCTAGTCGGGGATGCCAGCACTCTGCGTCAGTTTGATCCTCTCCTCAAAGTCATCACGACCATGGAACACGACAACCAAGTATCCTTTCACACACAGACCAGTGGGCTCTGGTGTTGCAATTTGCTTACTGCAGTTATATCCCTTAGTTGAGCTAGGATCCGATGATCAGATTTGACCCAATTATGATCCATGGCCATGATAGTGTGTCATCACCACACCCATGCTCAGGGATTTCATGAAAGCGGTAAACATTTAAGACCCACGTTTTTCCTCCATATTATCAACTGCCTTCATGGTCTAGTGGGGCGGTCGGGTAGCCTGGTGGTTAAAGCGTTCACTCGTCACGCTGAAGACCCGGGTTCGATTCCCGACATGGGTACAATGTTTGAAGCCCATTTCTGGTGTCCCCCTGCCGTGATATTGCTAAAAGCGGCTTAAAACCATACTCACTCACTCACTCATGGTCTAGTGGATAGAGTTTCTGCCCGGGGAGCAGAGGGTAAGTGATTCAATTCCTGAGTCAGTATATTATGTCTTAATCATGTTATCACTTATAAATCTAAGTCATCTCAATGCCCTATGGTCAGCATTAGAAATTGGCACAAGTCCTATAGTCCTTGTCAAGTTGCCCAATAGTTAAGGTATCACAAGGATGAGTAGAAATTTGCAATTTTAAGGGTTTTTCTGTTTGTTATAATTATGTATCGACAGGTGGACTAAAATTGTTAGTTTCTATTGGATATAGAAAACATCATATAGTGAATATCAAGCTGAGACATTAAATTATGATTTAGACACAGCAGAATATTTGTGTGGTAGTAAGTGTGAAAATGCAGTAAAAATTTTCTTTGAATGCAAAATGTTAAATGAAGAAAGAGACACTTGACTTAGAAATGTAAGTAGAATAGTCGAAAATACACCAACTGATCTTAAGTTGATATTAAATGGAAATGGGGATTCACAAGAACATAATGTTAAAATATTAAACTGTGTACAGTTTTATATATGTTATACAAAGAGATATTTGTAAATTATTCTCACTGTTCACTTACCTTTCCTGGTCTTTTCTTTACTGCTGTTCTGTTCAAGTATAGTCGGTGAGGTGAGGTGAAATGAGGTGAGGTGAGGTGAAATGAGGTTAGGTGAAATGAGGTTAGGTGAAATGAGGTTAGGTGAAATGAGGTGAAGTAAAGTGAGGTGAGGTGAGGTGAGGTGAGGTGAGGTGAAATGAGGTTTAACATTGTGTTCAAGATTATTGCATTTATATAGCGTTGGGGAGGCGCGTGTGTGGCTGCTTGTACTAGTCCGGACTTATGCCGATTTTATAGTGCTAACCCACTGAGATACCATGCCGCAGTTTAACATGAATACCCCACTCAGACACAGTATACTGACTCCCGAGTGGACCAGTCCTTGTTTTAGTCTCTTAATGCTGAGCACCAGACAGGGTAACAAGTACCATCTTTTGGTATGACGCAGACGGGGATTGAATCCCTGACCTTCCACCCTCTGGGCGGACGTTTTTCCACCAAACCACGGAGTTGGTCTCATGTATATGTGTAGTACTAATTGTAAATCAATTTTGTAAATATCTGGGAGAAGGTGTCCAAAGTTGGAGAACTTGCATCCAATCCCATTCACTTTTTTTGTGAATAAAATAAGTTTAAACCAAACTATGGTGAGGTATCTGAGTGGGCATTTATCTTCAAGGCGACATTAAGTCCCTTTTGACCTCACCTCCACATCAGCAGTAGATAGTGCCTGGGCATTCAAATGTTTTAAAGGCTGGTCTACCTTTATAATTCTTTTCAGAGACCTGCTCAATCTTCCACAGAGCAATCCTAGAGCTAAGACAATCACAAGTTCCTTACTTTAGCAGAAGCTGTCGGGTAGCCTAGTGGTCAAAGTGTTTGCTCCTCAAGCCGAAGACCTGGGTTTGCCCCGATATGGGTACAATGTGTGAAGCCAATTTCTGGTGTTCCTCGGCGTGATATTACTGGAATATTGCTAAAAGCAGTGTAAAACCATACTCACTCACTTACTTTAGCGTCAACTTATGACAGTTACAGCGGTAAGATCGCTTTGTGGAACAGAGAACTGTTAACATACTAACATCAACATCAACACTGGTGTTTGTTCACTGATATCACAGACTGACGTCTAGTTTTTGTGTCCTTTACATCTTGTTCCTTAGCTCAACGTCAGATCCTTGCCTTGCCGCCTGATGCACACGGGTGACATGGAGTGCTGCTACGTGGTCGTGTTTGGGACAGTGAGCGTCAGCCGCAGTACCCTAGTGGTGCTGTCATGGTGGTCCATGCTGGTGCCCAAGTGGTGGTGGTGCCATAGCAGTGTTGGTGCCATAGCGATGTTGGTGCCGTAGCGGTGGTGGTGCTGTAGCGGTTGTGGTGCCGTAGCGGTGTTGGTGCCGTAGCGTTGGTGGTGCCGTAGCGGTGTTGGTGTCATGGCGGTGGTGATCAGTGGTGCCCTCACCACTGTGGCACTAAGAGAACAGCCCTAATGATTTGTCACCATAAAGTGCTACTGATGGACATATCTACAGTAAATATGACATTTGCTATTCAATACATGAAAATATTTATATACACAATTTTAATAAATTCTTAACTTGTACTGTTTGTGTTGTGTTTTGTTTTGTTTGATAACTGTCTTGGCTACAGCTTGACCCTTTTTTGTGTATACTAGGGCTGGGACAGGTAATTCGGGGACTAGGATCCTCGGGTCCTCGTGTCGGGTTGGTCTGAGTAGGACCCGGGTACCCACAGGACTATCCGGACCCATGGTTATTCACGTGTAAAAATTCTTAATTGACAAAAACACACTGTGGCTCAGTGGTTACACGACAAGTTGCTGCTGTTCGCATTTCTTTCTGACGATGCACACATTCCTTTGACTTGTATATGTTTGAGTAAAGATAAAGCTTCAGTCAACTTCAGTGTATGCATGATCTGATCATTTGATACATGTCTAAAAAAGGCCACAGTAAAACAATTGTCAATCAGACATTTTGTACCCATCTTGTACCCGGGTCGTAAATTACAAGCCCTAGTGTCAACCATCACCGAAGTGATGAAGTGTGAAATACCAACTTCGAAATTTCTCCACAATAACATGATTAAAACAAAAGTCTCCATCAACTCAGTTGAGAGGCTCTAATGTAATGTATGGAACAGTAGACACCACATCTCATGACAACACCTTGTCAGAATTCCATAGTATCTCATGCTTGTCGTCAGCCAAGTCAGGATCTGGTGGTCAAGGACTTCCGACACTTGGTGTGGGTTCAAATCCCAGATTTGCTCTGATATTGTTTCTGGGTTTGGCAGCACCGTTATTCTCGTTGGTTACACCAAAGCCATAAACATCTAAGACCATGCCATGATCTGACAGAAATACTGTCCAGAGAGTTAAAACCGGACCCAAATCAAATTTTTTTCCTTCCGTGGTGTTGGTTATGATAACAAAGAACATTACACCATTGTCCATTAAAGCATTTATTCCAAATATTAAAATACATCCAGAAGAATTTCTGTTACCCCCATTATACCACATTCGCCACCCACAACATAGAGTCCTGATGTCCCCCACAGGACTTGTGTGAGGTGCTTCTCCCACCACTGACCGGTGTCGTTCCAATAGGGCTGCTGGTAAGACCCATCTGCCACATACCAATACATGGTGCATCAGTGGGATGAATCCCCAATAGTTAAAATAAAAAATGTAGTTAGTCACTGGATCCCTTTCATTGAAGGAGTTTCATCAGGATAAAAAAGAATAAAACCGAAAGCTTATCCAAGATGGGGAATTTAGGCCGAAAAATATTTCTGATGAATTTGATTCCAACATTCCAAATTGTCAATTAAGTTTCACATTCAGATAAAAATTCTATAACAATTATGTACATAAAGGTTAGTATGATATGGAAACAATCATATGTGCATTTAACCTTGACCTACAGAAGCATGCCCAGCAACAAATGTGTGGTGACATATGTACATATTTGTGACAAACAACATAAAGAGAGAATGTTTCAGCAGTGCTGATGGAAACAAGAAAATATGCTACAAGACATTTAGAGTTGAAACCTGTTTGCAACATGATGCCTAATTCTCATTCCTGTGTAGAACTTTATCTTATAGCCATCTTTATTCTCTTGGGTAAATGTTCTTACCAATGCGGACAGAAAACAATACATGATGCATGCAAGAGTCATAAAGCAATACAGATATATATAGTGATACAGGAGCCACCACCATTTACAGTTCGCCCTGACCTGGCGTTTTTACCCCCTTCCCTGGTCATCACACTGAAGCATGCCCGCTGCCCTTCACTGCAGGGAGGTCTCATGGTCATCACGTGGTCATCACACTGAAGCATGCCCACTGCAGGGAGGTCTCATGGTCATCACGTGGTCATCACACTGAAGCATGCCCACTGCAGGGAGGTCTCATGGTCATCATGTCATCTCATGGTCATCACGTGGTCATCACACTGAAGCATGCCCACTGCAGGGAGGTCTCATGGTCATCATGTCATCTCATGGTCATCACGTGGTCATCACACTGAAGCATGCCCACTGCCGTTCCACTGCAGGGAGGTCTCATGGTCATCACGTTGTCATCTCATGGTCATCACGAGGTCACCACATGGTCATCATGTCATCTCATGGTCATCATGTGGTCATCACACTGAAGCATGCCCACTGCCGTTCCACTGCAGGGATGTCTCATGGTCATGATGTTGTCACCACATGGTCGCCACATGGTCATCATGTGGTCACCACACTGAAGCATGCCCGCTGCCGTTCCACTGCAGGGAGGTCTCATGGTCATCATGTTGTCATCACATGGTCATCATGTCATCATGTGGTCACCACACTGAAGCATGCCCACTGCCCTTTCACTGCAGGGAAGTCTCGTGGTCACCACCTGGTCATCACACTGCAACTTTAGCAAGCTCAGCTCAGCGGTGGTGGGTTGTATGCCACACACCACAGAAGTGCCTCTTGCACTGAGCTCAGCAATGGTGGGTTGTATGCCACACACCACAGATGTGCCTCTTGCACTGAGATAGGCGATGGTGGGTTGTAAGCCACACACCACAGATGTGCCTCTTGCACTGAGATAGGCGATGGTGGATTGTAAGCCACAAACCACAGATGTGCCTCTGGCACTGAGCTCAGCGATGGTGGGTTGTAAGCCACACACCACAGATGTGCCTCTTGCACTGAGATAGGCGATGGTGGATTGTAAGCCACGCACCACAGATGTGCCTCTTGCACTGAGATAGGCGATGGTGGATTGTAAGCCACACACCACAGATGTGCCTCTTGCACTGTGATAGGCGATGGTGGATTGTAAGCCACACACCACAGATGTGCCTCTTGCACTGAGATAGGCGTTGGTTGATTGTAAGCCACACACCACAGATGTGCTTCTTGCACTGAGATAGGCGTTGGTGGATTGTAAGCAATACCTAATATCGTGTATGGCCCCTTCTGCACAGACTGCATGTGAACACAATCAATGCGATGACCAGCAAGATTAACAAGACCACACCAATAACCATCTCGGCTCTACTCTGAATCCCTCCAACCCCGCTACCCCCATCATCGTTGTGTGACTCCCTACCACCCATCATCTACGATACAGTTTCCATGGTCCCACTCATCAAATACATGATACATACAGTACAAAAGAGTATTCTTCTCCTCACATCAGCCAAGTACGACCCACTTGGCAGCAGCTTTATACTCAGAAGCAAGACATGTCCATCCACATGGGATTAATCATGTAACGGAGATTGAATGCAAAAAGCCTAACTCTGCCAGACTCACAATTCTGTTTCAATACAGGGAACGTCTTTTAGTTCCTGAAGGGAAGCTGACACGGTCCACTCAAAGTATTAGTGGTTTGTTTATACAGCTAAAACAAAAATAACCTGTAAAATATCTTTATAAATAAACTAGGGAAGCCATGAAGCTCTGTGGCTCACCTTCACTTGGGTGAATACATAACTCACTATCAACTGTAATAGAAGTAAAATAAAGAAATCTACATATTTATATTAATGACTGAATTCCGAACCCTTGGGAATAGCTGCTATCATGTTTAGAGGCGTGGTAGTCAAAGTTGGTGGAAAGATTCCTGCATTGAATAAATATATCGCCACTGATTCCGTGACAAGATGCCGTAATTGGCTAACAAAGACACTGATTCCGTGACAAGATGCCGTAATTGGCTAACAAAGTCAATTGTTTTGGTATTTATGTTTCCATGATTTCATATTTTTGCCTACAGCTTTTTGTATGTTGAACATTAAATAAGCAGTCTGTGAAGTTGTTGTGGTTGATGTGTTTCTTTTTAAAAATTGACTTCAATGTGTTTTTCTTCTGTGGAGTAAACATAAAAACTGGTGTTTACACTTGATTTTATGTTTATATTGCAGTAAACACAAAAATATTGAAGTCATTTCTTAATAAAACAAGTATCCATTCCTTGAGAGACACCATTATCATGTATTACAGATTATTACCTGTATTATCTATTACCTTGTGTATCACACAGATTTCAGATTTCTTGCATTCAGAGGTCATGTATTACGTGAACAGAAAACAGAAAAGTTCAACAACAGACATGACGGCCTGACAAGCTCACACTGACCTTTGGTCAGAGAACTGATTGATAGGATACCCAAGATTTGGGTATCTTGAACTTGTCTACATTCTACTTGTTATTTAGGGGTTGAAGATACAAATGTCCAGAGTCAGTGTACATGGAGTCCTCTACCTCCTGCCTTTATAAATATACAACTTAAAACAAGTTGAATGACTGTGCCACTAGCTATGACGGATAAACTACAGTCAAATGAAAACGTTTGGGTGTTCAACTTTTTTTGAGTGGTATAAATTACAAAATATGTAGAATTGTAGAATCTAGGTAGACATTTTTTCAACCAGGTTTTGGACAGACAGTGAGTGAGTGAGTGAGTTGGGTTAAACGCCACTTTTAACAGTATTCCAGTTATATTGCGGCGTGTCAGCTTAATGTGGAAAGAAAGCCCGAAGTGATGCAGGTCTCAGACGTTTACCACTTCGGTGAAACCCACGAGCACGGGTATGGTGCTGACAAACCTAGAAACATAATCGGGGCGAACCGGGATTTGAACCCACAATCATAGGTTTCTGGCGTGCCCAAGGGACGCAACTCTGCACAGCGAATCGCGGCGCCTTAGACGACTGGGCTACCCGTGCCCCCTTTGGACAACCAGAAGGTGATGATTCACTGACAAATGCCAGGATGTCGGGCAGCCTCTGCAGCCAGATGAGGAGCTTTAACACTGAGTCTGGACATTTGAAAATGCTTCAACCCCTAATTGTCTTTGGCTGTCTCTGATGAAGCAGTCTGTTGCTGTCTACTCTACGTTGCCATGGTTACTCCATTTAGTGGTTGTGGCCAACATGAAATTCCTTGTCACCATGAACCTTCAGCATGTGCTCCGCAAACCTGATGGATAGAAAACACAACTAAACATACAGGAACCACATGGTCAAAACATCTACAGGAATCATCCTTGCAACTTATCTAACACACAAACACACAGTCTGATACACA